CCAGTCACAACATTTATATTGTGAAGAAGACTGTAGTGAATTTTTGTCGATAACTTAACTTCCATTTAAAATAAAATCAACGCTTCTCATGAACTAGTAGTTCACGGACAATCTTTTCCATTATTGAAAAGCCATTAAATATTATATTATAGTGAAACAGTGAGTGATTTAAACAACATACACACACTTATATCGTTGTGCTAGCTCTAATGCCAAGCGTTGACAATGACCAAGACGCGTCGCGTTTGGCTTTGATACGAATGGACTCCAGCCAAACCATGACGCTCTGGTACACCAATATACTGGTAAGCTTTATTCGTAATGCGATTATTGCTGAGTAAACATTATTGTTTTATTTTCCAACAATATTTTAAACTGATCTTATTGAAAGTGTGTGTCTGTAGATAAAAGTATACGCTAATCAATACTTGCGTCAATTGTGATCTCAACTTGCTGTTATTTATTGGTTACAATGGTTATACAGGTAATTTGTGTGCCTCAGTTCTATATTATCATGACATAATTCCATTGTTTAGAGTAATGATGCATAACCGCAAATAACTTTGGCAATGTAAGTGTTTAAATTTCATAAACGTATACGCCTCGAAGAGTAGAGTGTATTGTGTAAAAATATTACGGAGTTATTGTGCCACAAACGTTAACAAACGCGTTGCAAAAACTTAATCGTCGTATAAAGTACTAAATACAGTCGAAACTGAAATGTCAAGTGGTCATGAACATCTTTAACATTGAAAATGGGATGGGTTTGAATATTTTAAATTGTACCGTTACTAATATACATTTCTCAGTTCACAAGATTTATTAATTAAGGTCGATTCAATCTTTGTTAATGAACTTCTCAATCAGTCTATCTAATAAATCAGTAGCTAGATATAAAACTATCACTATGTATAACATATTTATTGGTTTTGTAATTGATTCATCAAGTCCTCTTAGGTATATTGGTGTATGATTCGATATGGTCATCAACACATCTCATCTTTCGATTATGACCTAGAAATACATCACTATCCGTAGCTAGAGGCTCTTTATTTAAGTAATTGGGGTCAATTACTTGCAGGTAATTTTAAATTTTAGATGACTTTCTTCATAATTGCGAAAGCAAAACAAGACTAGAAATCGAAACGAATTCAGTATATCGATATCATGTATAAAATTTAAAATTAATTTCCGCTGAACACCTTATTATATTTTTAAGCTCTCACATAAACAGTTAGACGACTAAGCATTTTGTACATGTAAATTGCTTTCCAGTTTGTTACATCATCGAACCACTTTAGTTTGTGAACACTGTCCTCTGACCCTCTAATTGCAGTCATGCGAATAGGTCAAGAACGAAACGTTCACAATAAACATTTAAAAAAAAAAGTATGTCAGACGTAATAAATCGTCGGAGATTCTTATCGCGACCGGTAATTTTAAAAACTATCGTATCTGTTTTCTCACTTTACTGAGATATTATCTACAAAGTTAATAACGCGCACGCGCTTAGTAAATATTATTTTGTGTTATATGCACGAAATCGACATTTACTGTATTACTTACCTAGAAATTGGGTTGTAAAATGAATATTCATTATCAACCGGATATTTTTAAACTTTAGTGAAATTCGCTGTCATTTTCCATGTAACATTTTGATTGCAACAACCACTATAAGCCATAATAATAATATGTAACCAACCACTACATACATACAACATGTCTCGACAAAGAAGGCAAACAAACCGCACACTCTCGATTTCATCTCGATAACTCATACAAATAAGAGTTCATTGAATTGAACAGAAGAGCAGATAATGTTATAAAAAAATCTAGTATAGAATATATCACTTTTTAATAAAATAATCTTATTAAGGTACCATGAAAATATGTTGCGATACATAATGCAAGTTGATGTAACAATAGATACTATATAAATAATAGTAATTATTGTTTTATACTGACTCTTAAAATGATATCAAAAGGAAAGTGAACGCGAGATGGTCTGAAATGCAAGTTATTTAGATGTTATTTTCGACCGGTAACCCACTTGTGCAGCTCATTTGATTAATGCCGCTCCGAGATAATGAAAGCAAAAAGCAGCCACAGGGCTGGCGACTACTTTTTCCTTTCCCAATTTAATATGTTAAGCCTCTCTATATAAATAAAACAAGACAACACTATTTTTACGGTGAGTTGATAATTATACAATTTTTAATAACGGTAAAAATTTGTATACGCATTATGTATTGTTTATTTTTGTAAAATATCGTACAAGAGTATAAGTTAACTAATATGTAATATGTTTTCACACTGAGTAGTTCTCACTTATGATACGTCGTAAAGTTTCTAAGCGTGACAAAGACAATTATTATAAAGACGCATCCGTGAGCGAACCATCCACCTGGAAGTTCCTAGAAATTCAAATACTACGTAGAAATCATATTTTGCTGAGTATTGTAAGGTATTGTTTAATATAGATATTTTAAAAGATGTTGATTTATTTTCAGCCAAACTTTAAATCTTTTATCTCCGATTTAAAACGTCGTTATACATTAAACATTTCATACTTGAATTAAATATACGAAAGTTTATCAGTGAATGTGTTTTTTACTTCTTTATGGCTACACTTTAACGGCTAAACAGATTTGGGTGCAATTCGAAATAGAAATAACTTTTTATTATACGGCATATGTAAGAACGACGATGGGCGAAAATTACATAGTTATACAAAATATTCATTTAATTTGGAAATTTATTATATAGAAGCAGCCCTACCGTCCGTACGTATAAATTGCCTTATTCATCTATTCCGTTTGGAGACATAATGCCTGTAATTAGGCGAAAGCACTATCATGTCATCACGTCCGTGAGCGACATGACCCCTCTGTATATTGTTAGATTCAAGTGCCCAACCACTAATTATACTCAATGCGGATTTGGTTCTCTTTGTGTAGGAATGAAACGATTTAACTATATATAAACATAGTTCATATATTAATATGTATTAATAACGTACATATGTCATTCTTTATTAGCAATTTTATGTATAATCTGTAATAATATTATAAACTTGACAAGTTTATTATTTTGTTCTTCGTTTTTTAGAACGCATTGAATTCTGGTACCTACCATATTAAAAAAAAATGCATTCGATTATTACTTTTAATGGGAAAATATAATTTGTCTAATATCACGTCGCTACGTTCCTTTGGGACGGTGCGTGATGTAGAAATATGCAAGGAGAGCGAAGTCGTAAAGAAAAGCTAGTATAGATATATGTATAAAAAGAATTAAAATTGCATGCTTATTATAAAAATATTTATATAAAATTATTTTCTAAATATAAAACTTTCTCAAAAGATCAGTAAAACCAAAAAACAATAACTTCTTCAATTGCTTTTGTATATTTTTGTATATGTAGAAAATATTTTATGTGAATATTTTTTTTTCTTGAGAATAACTGCATCAATTTCAATGAAGTATTTATATTAATATAATAGCTTCGTTATAGCTAAGTTTTCTTTTAATAGAGTGATTAGATCCACAATTACGGTACAGTCTAGCTTTTAAACAATACCTAAGGTCTTCTATACAACTGTGAGAACATTTTATAATAGAGTCCACAAAAGTTTTTAATATGAAGATCTCTAAAATTTTAAATCGGCAATGTCACTTTTGACATGATTATCGCTCGCCTATATCTTCTCAAATTATAAGGCGGAATAAACAGCTATCATTTGCGACCTTCATGTCCACCTATTTGAAATTCTTAGAACGTTAATAATTCTGGCCCACATTCTACGCTTTGAACTTAATTAAAAAAATGTCTCAGTATGTCGGTGTCGTATGTGATTACCCGAAGGTTCTGCAATAAATTTCAATCTCAAACACGTCCAACCATTTAAAAATCTAGACACCGGTCCTTGCCTCGCCGTTATATAAATCATAATTCGAAATTAATTCTCAAACGAACTGTTAAGCCTATACAGAACAAATTGAAGCATATTTGGTCCAATGACACTCGAGGGATTGTTTAAAACTGTCGATTTTCTGTTTTAATTTTTTAATAGTAAATAAAGAGGAGTGAATTCAGCTCAAAAATATGTTAAAATTGGCAACTGTTCAGTACACAACATTTGATGTAAATTTTAAAACGATTCACTCGTACGATTGTAATAACCTTATAGCTTTCATATTGTTTACAGTAACATAATAACTTCTATCAAAAATGTACTTACATTTGTTATGATTTTTGAAACCTTGACTTGTAATAGTTTTAATATTTATTCTTAGCGACATATTTACACTTGTCAAAACTATACAAAAATATAAAAAAGAAGTATTAAATTAGATTTAGATTTAGAATTATCAGCCTACATTGTAACGGCATTGTTGAAAGATTATGATAAATCGTTTCTTATGTAGTTTTGCTCACGTCCTAACTATACTTTTCCTGCTTTTCGCCAATTTTACATTCACCTTGGTTATTTGCGTCGGTTTTATTACCGTCGCAATGCAAATAATGTCATTGAATAACTCGTTTGTTTTCTCTTATCAACGTGGAAAATTGGTGCGCAAAAATATCTAATAATATCTATAAATATTTAAAATTGACTTTTTAATATACGAATCACTTACAATTAATTTCATCTGATACACACCTATACATACATTTTTTATTTAGTTGAATAATTTTACAAGAGAAAATACAATGAGATTACACTTAATAAATGTGTGGTGGGCTATTGCTATTGACCTGATCTCCATCCTATTGAATTTTCATATTGTAGAGGCCTGTATCCTGTATCCAGCAGTGGGACGTTCAAAAAGGCTAATTACATACACATAAAATAAAAATAATTTACTTTCAATTAACGTTTTTTTAAAAGGTGTGAAACAAAAATTTTAAGATTTATGTCTGTAAAAATCTCTACAATAACAATGAACGAATATTTATTTGTATAAAAATGTCTCAACAAAAAATTTGCTTGTTCTAGAGTCCCGGTGCAGTAAGCGGGAACACGACGGGTACAGAGAGCGGGTCGCGCGACGCGCTAGACGTGCGCTACTCGCTGGCCGCGCTCGCTGACGACTACACGAAGCGCAAACACGTCGTGCGCGTCACCACCGCCGCCGGCGCTGAGCTACTGCTACAGGTGATTTAGTCCTTAAAATATGTTTAATTTTGCCAAAAATATATTTAATTCGACTTTGTCTAAAAAAAATTGACTGTTGTTAAAAACAGGTGATTTAGTACGTAAAATATTTTTAATTGAGCCAAAACAAAATAAATTTAATTCGATTTTGTCAGAAAAAAATGTTCAAAATAAGAAAAAAATGATTAAAATGTGTATCCTCACTTCCGGAGGGTGCGTTCCTTGATGCCTAAGAATAGCCAATGTCTCCAGGACAGTGACGTTGAAGAACGTAAGAGAATAACAAACATACATTATATGCAAACCTTCGCATTTATATTATGCGATGTCCAGGCAAAATATTTTCCCATAGCAAGAATTAAGTTCAGGGCTCAATTAAGAATGAACGATGCTATTTATTTCAGTGTGCAAAGATTGTAGTGCCAATCAAATAACCATCCTAACCTAATTATATTTTCAAAAAACCGTCTACATAATGCAGATGCACTTCTACAAAAGTTATTTCTCAAGATTTTTAAGAAATATTTTATGATTTAGGTATATGTATATAACTGTTCAGTGCAAAACCTAAAACTATTGATCTTAATATATAAAAACTTTAAATATCTACCTATATTTACAGGCGGAAGGTGCAACAGACGCTCAAAGATGGCTAGCAGCTCTGCGGCGACATTCAGCTGAGCCCCCGCCCAGCGAGCCCGCGCCGCTGCCGCCCGCGCCCGCGTCCGCGCCGCCCACCACCGCGCCCGCCGTCGAGTGCCCTTCGCCGCTGCCGCCGCAACGCGCTAAGAAGATCGGCAGGAACAGGTCGCCTACCGGTAAGTCCTTTATAATTGGAAATATAGTACGTGATATTAGGTATTAGGTTTCACTATTATTATAGTCGCCTTTGACTTTATGCCAAAATTTTTGTATGTTTTATATTAGTGTATAAACTTGAAAATGAAATAAACCTAACATAAACTTTATTCAATACAAGCAAAAAGTTTATTAATTATATTATTAGTACAGAGAATCATTAAATATCTTAAATTAGTCTCGCTTCATTCCGGCGCGTTAATTTTGCGGAGCGATGATTTTTTCCGATTTATTTCACAAATATCATCATACAATATGAAAATCCGTACTTTCAATTTATACTATATAATATGTAACGATTGGCTTGTGCAAACCCAAACCAGGTCCCCCAACACCAACGCTCCCGTCGTCTCCTAAGAACAAGACGTGGAAGGGGCGCGTGGCAAAGCAGCTGCGGCGCATGCACGGCGGCGCGGCGGGCAGCGCGGCGCCGGCCGCCGCGGGCTGGCTGGGCGCGCCGCTGGAGCGCTGCCCGGCCGACGCCGACCACCCCAACGTGCCGAAGGCGGTCACCTTGCCGGCGCAGGCGGTTGAGGTATTGAGTTTTGTTATTTTTTTTCGAAATGTAATTCCTTTATTGTCAAAGACGTCACTAGTAACAGCTGAAGCTTTTTAAGCGAAAATAAGATTGTCAAATCCTTGAAATTTAAGCAAAACATTTATAATCAAATGAAAATATATTTTATTGAAATAAACTTAAACATTTTTAAATCGTCAATTAATACAGATTTTTTAAAATTTTATATGATATAGTTAGATACTGGCTCGGAAGGGAATTTTGTTGAAAAGAATCAGCGAGAAATTCAACAGTTGCTCTTTTAAAAATGAAAGTTGTTTACATTATTGCAATATAAGTAATAACACTAGGATGAAAGAATTTAATTTTTTTAATTTCGTTTTGTTTATATTTACATCGAACAGGCACACGGTCTGAGGACAGTGGGCGTGTACCGCGTGCCCGGCAACGCGGCGGGCGTGGCGGCGCTGGCGGCGGCGCTGGACCGCGGGGAGCCGCCGCCCGCCGACGACCCGCGCTGGGCCGACGTGCACGTCGCCTCCAGCCTGCTCAAAGCCTATCTGCGGAGATTGCCTGATCCCATACTGACTAAACATCTATATCCTGCTTTTATTGGTGATTATTCACAATAAATATAAAAATAGATTATAAATCTAATTCCATAGTATAGAAATCCTAAACGATGCTGTCGAATAAATGCAAGAGTTAAAAATACCAATTTTTGTGGCGAAAGGTTTCGAACTTATAGCGTTTCCATCTCGTGGGAAGTTACAATTATACCCGTCAACCTAAGTCTTTTCCTTGCTGACATACTTAGTATGATAGTCGTGTGTGCCTCATTCGTACATGTCCCGCACTGCTGTTCTGTCTAGATGTTTTCTTACGATGACTTTATGAAATAGTACTGTAGACTGACCGATGATATTATATTGTGATCTTATTTAGTGTAAACATTGTACTCAGTCTATTTAACGCCCCACTGCTGGGCACTTACTAGGTTCTCTCGAACATGCAGGTTTCCTTACAATGTTTTTCTTCACGGTGATAATCATGTTAGAAATGATTTGCAAATGAAAACCATGAACGTAATCTCCAACAGCGGCCGACCGGTCACCGGCGCGCGCGCGTGAGCTGCGGCGGCTGGTGCAGGCGCTGCCGGCGGCGCACTACGCCACGCTGCGCTACCTGGCGCAGCACCTACGCCGCGTGGTGGCGCACGCCGCCGCCAACAAGATGGAGGCGCGCAACCTCGCCATCGTGTTCGGGCCCACGCTGGTGCGCGCCGCCGGCGACGACATGCTCGCCATGGTCAACGACATGTCCAGCCAGTGCCGCATCATCGAGAGCTTCCTCACTCATGTTAGTCTATTCTCTATACTCTATACGTCTATATGGATAAAAATGAATCACCGAAATGTATGTACGCGCATAACTTCCGGTCGACTGCGCGAAATTAGATAATTCTTTTTTTTGTGTTTGTTATTGTCAGGACAAGCTGTGTACGAAAGAAATTAAAAGAAAAAATATATAACAATTTTTTTTTTAAATCTCATAATATGAATAGTGAGTAATTGAAATAGGGGATGAAGTGGATGGGGGATGAATGGAAATAGAGTAAAAATGGGGATGAAAGTTTGTATGGGAATGTAAGCGCTAGTATAATATAATTCTGAGTCGAATTTGTTGTTTTTTACCAGATTTAAATGTTTTTTTTTGGAAAATCTTATTGAAATAGTCATTGTTATCGATACAGAGGCCAAATCTACAGTTTTTAGAATTTTTGTCCTGTCAAAGATTCAGACAGGCGTTTAAACGCATCACGTGAAAACCACTGGACAGATTTTGATAAAATTTGGTATGATAATAGCTGGTTATCCGCGTCAACATATAGGATACTTTTACTGCGGGAAAATATTTCATTTCTGAAAAATATGTGCTAAACGTTAAAACGTAACTAGGGAAGAACTCGAGCGGAGCGAGGGTGAATCGCTAGTTTATCTATATTTTCAATATTTGATTAATTTATAGCCGCTCTTAAAATTCGATAAGATGATCAGAAAAATCCATACTTAGTAGTGAGAATTTCTTAAGAGGAAAACACAATGGCCAAACTCGGAAGTCTGCCCAAGTGGGACTTATTCTTAGGATCTCGAACTGTGCATATTTGCCTCTAAATCAACGAGGCGATGAATTTTATTTTTAAACAATTTTATTATAGCGATTAAAAATTGTGTGGTGACATGATCTAAATTAAAATTTTATAATATTACATAATAATAATAATAATAATAACTTTATTCATAAATAAGAAAATTGAACATAGAACATAGTAATTTTTTTACAGTAAAGGCTTGTACAAATCAATTTCATACGGTTGGGTGAAGTACTGTACTCCTTGCTAGGTTATAAAAATAATCTGTATTAAGGAGTAACAGTCCCGTTCCCCTTTGGATATTTACCAGTATATTTATGTACCGTACAATATGTTTTCATTTATACTATCAACTAATTACAATACTAGGTTCTATCGTTAGTAGTAACATTAACTTGATAACTGAGTAATAAATGAAAATGAAAATGGATGAATATGTGTGCGTGTGTGTGTGTGTGTGTGTGGTATGTGTGTGAATGTGTGTGTGCATGTGTGTGTGTGTGTATGAGTGTGGGTGTGTGTGTGCATGTGTGTGTTTGAGTTTATACGTCTAAGTTAGGTATTTCTCTGTTTCGTTATAGGTTTTGTTTTGTAGGAAAGAACGAACACTTTTTTTGCAGTTGTAGTAGGATAAGCCGAATATTGGACATTTTTGATTAATCTTATTGTATAAAGATGGCCCTAAATAATAGAAAAATCTCTTACAGAATGCTGAGCGTGCTCGTGGAAGTGCACAGATTTTGTCTTTGCGACGTTTGTTAATTTTTCTGTAGGGAGTCTTTCGGTGCTGCAGAAGAATCGTTTGTAGAATAAAATGCTGGCGTACGTTAAGAACGTTGCATTCATTATACAGCTGTATGGTTGGGAATAAAATTGGGCGGAAGGTACTTACCTTCAATATCGCTTTATGTGCGACCTCTAGCGGTTTTAAAGTTGTTTTAGCTACTCCACCCCAAGAAGTAATGGAGTATGTAATAATAGAAAGACACAGTGCAAAATAAACATTTCGTATAATATTTTGGTTAGCAATACTTCTTAGAGTTTTAAAAATATATATTAGTTTGCGGACTCTGCCTGTAATTAGGTTAATATGGGCCTTAAAATTTAGATTCTTATCTATGATTATACCTAGGTACTTTATACAGTTAACTGAAGTTATGTTAGGACATTGACAAGAGGTTGATTTTTGTGTATAGCAAGTGTGAGCTTTGAGGGATAATGGAAAATTTGGTTGAGAGGCTGAAGTGATCGAATAAGTAACAAAGTTAGTTTTTGAGATATTAACAGTCAGTGTGTGGGAACGTAGCCAGTTTAAGGCTAAGTTTATTCCAAGTTGTGCCATATGCTCAAGATCGGACCAGGTATCTGCAATAAAAGTTATAGCGGTGTCGTCAGCATATGATACAACTTTAGCATTCGGGATTTTAAGATTACATAAATCGTTGATAAAAACTAGAAATAGGGTGGGACCTAGTATGCTTCCTTGTGGGACCCCGTAATGGATGGGAAGCTCATCACTATTGTGGTTATCGATCCTGACTATCTGCGAACGGTTTGTGAGGTAATTCTGAAGTAGATCCAATTGTAACCCCCTGACACCTAATCTTTCAAGTTTGAGCATAAGAGTGGTGACGGGAATGGTGTCGAATGCCTTCGTGAGATCTAGAAACACAGTAAGAACCTTCTTGTTTTCATTTAGATTTTGTACGACATAATCAGTCAAATTTAGAACAGCGTCATTTGTTGATTTATTTTTGCGAAAGCCAAACTGTTGTCGTGATATTAGGTTAAAGTGTTCGAGATAGTGTGTTAGCCTTTTATTAATTAATCGTTCGAGTACCTTCGATAAGGCACTCAGAACTGCTATCGGTCGGTAATTATTTGGAAGGCTCCCGTCACCTCCCTTGAAGATTGGATGAATGATTGCTTTTTTAAGTGAAGTAGGAAAGACAGCAGTCTCAAAGCAGAGATTAAATATGTGGCTTAAGACAGGTGCCAGAGTGGTTGAGTATTTCTTTAGGAATGAGGGTGATATGCCATCCCAGCCAGTAGCAGCACTTGATCGTAAGGAATTTATAACTGTAATAATCTCATTAGGATCTGTACGGTCAAGGACCAGGGAAGATGTTGGTAGTGTATCATTTGAGTTTTGTAGGCCGTTTGATATATTATGCGGATAGTTTTTGCACTCGTTAATTATATTATTTGCTAGTTTCTCGCCAATGTTTACAAAATGTGAATTTACTATATTACATGACTCAGTTGGTGAGGGAGATAATGTAAGTAGTGGTGTTGGGGAGTTTTTAGTTTTAGTACAGTTCGTTACTTGCTTAAGTGTATCCCATAGCGCTTTTGGGTTATTGCTTGCCTTACTAATTTCTTGTGTGTCATAAGCTCTTTTCGCTTTCTTTAGAATACTAGTACAAAAGTTTCTATATCTCTTGTAGGTAATTTTTAACACTTCATTATCTGGAGACTTACTTACCTTCCTATGTAAGGCATCTCTATTTCTTATACACCTTAATAAACCGTGAGTGATCCAGGGTTTAAGAATTTTCTTTTTTGATGGGACTCTTTTAGTTGTCGAATTTTTGGAAATTGCGGTAGTAACCAATTGTATGAACTTATCCATAATTATATTTGCGTTCTTTAAGAGGAAAAGATGGTTAAAATCCAATTGTAACATTGATTTGTCAAGCCCTTCATTGTCTATTTTAGTAATTATTGAAGCAGTCGACGTTCGCGTATATTTTTTGTGAATGCAAAGTAGCGTGGAATAGTGATCAGTTACCGTCGTTTTATAGACAAATGTATAGGCCGGAAGCTTAGTTCTTAGAATTGTGTGATCCAAGCAGTTTTCACCCCTAGTTGGAAGGGTGTGTGCAGGTAAGTAGCCGTGAAAGGCAAGACAGTTCAGATATTCATGGAAGCTTATGTCAAGTGAAGTTGGCTTAATGTCTATGTTTATATCTCCTGTTATGACAACCGTTTTGTAGTTACTTAATGAAGAAAGAATGTTATTAAGCGCCAGCAGAAAATTATTTGTATTGTTTATTGATGGTGAGCGATAAATGCACAAGATTGCCATTTCAAAGCTAACCTTTATTATAAGACCAGAGGCTGATTGATTAAAGTCAGGTTCTTCGTATGTAGCTATTAGGTTAGATTTTAAGTATACAACGACACCATCACTTTGATTTATATGTTTGGTAGTCTTGAATATTGTATAGTCTTGCAAAATCGGTATATATATCGGTACATATATCGGTAATATGTTTATAAAGATAAATTCATTTCTTTTCTTGGTAGGTTTACATTTTTATTTTTAACAAAAAATATAAATTGGTAATAACTACAAGACTGTATCACACTAATATTATAAATACGAAAGTTGTTGTAGAATGAGTTTTAGCTTCCTTCATCCTGTAATTTGAATGAATTCAAACGAAGATAATGGAGGCTTAAATTAATAAATAAGGTGCTAGTCACCTACTATAATAATATACTATAATAAATAATAAAACAATTATAATAGGAATAATAACAATTTGCAGTACGAATGGTACTTCGAGGAGGAGGAGGGCTCGCCGCCCGCGGAGCCGCCCGGCGCCGAGCCGCCCGCGCCCGCCTCGCGCGAACTGCTCATACACAATGTCAAGAAGATCGAAGGTAACCCTAACATAAAAATAAATCACTATAAATAAAACGAAACCTAATAAAATCACTGACAAAAATTCTATAGTGTGCGTGTAATCACTTAAACTAAACTTGTGGACTCGATCTTTCTATGATTTTTTTATTGTTGTGAGGAACAAATACTTAGAGTCATAAAACTACTTTATTGTACAAGCTTTTATATATAAATATTCTCTTTTTGTTTAATACTTGTCATGTACTGTAAAAGTCATGATTATAGTAATTCAATATTATTAATTTTACTATAATTTTTTTTTAATAATACTTTATTTTATTAAAAGTTAATGTTGGTACTGTAGCAGTTTTTAGGACTTACTTAGGGCAAAATAACTGTCTAGTAACTTAAAACCTCACAAAAGAATATGTTAAACTATATTCCTTATAAAATTCAATTTAAAAACATGTCATCCAACAGGCAAAGACGTGTCGACCCGCGACATAGTGTCGTCCATAATATCGGCCGCCAACCGCAAGATACAGCGCAAGCCGCGCAAGAGCGACAAGAAGTGGGACGACAAGCCGCGCTCGCCCGCCGCGTCGCCGCCGCGCTCGCCGCCCTCGCCGCCCACGCCGCCCTCGCCCGCCCCGCCGCCCGCCCTGCCGCCCGCCCTGCCGCCGCACTGCGACGTGCTCTCGCACTACATGGACGACAATGACACTGCCGACAAGTTAGTAGTCACTTTTTTTCACCCGACTACAAGGAAAGGGTTATGTTTTTTGCGCATATCTTTGTGTGTTTGTTTATTTGTAATATTCTTTATTCCCTCGTATCTTCTAAACCACTCGATGGAATTCTTTAATTATGGTATCGTTAGATTCGTCTCATTAGTCCAAGTGTTCTTAGATAGGTGACATAAAAAATATGGGGGCTGCTAGGATGCCATAATGTGAAAAAAAAAATGAAAATCGACGAACTATGTCAAGTTTGAGTATCGTTGAATAGGTATTTAAAAATCATTTTTCATTCTGTTTAACATTCTTTTTCATTCTGTTTCATATTCATACATATTTACATTTGGACAATTGGAGTTTTAGAGCTGATGTTTTTTGGAGCATTCGATATATGTTCCATCGATTCGTATATCTCGGTCAAAAATTATGCGATATTTCTTTTTTTTGCTTTTATCTCTCACTCGCATAGTCTTGCGATATCCGACACTCGCGGTGTGAGACACTCTTTCTCGGTAAGTGTGTGTAAGACTGCCAATATTCTAACCTCCATCTGCTTCTGATATTTTCCGAACGAATTGGAATCGAAAATCGAACTTGTGTCAGAATCTGCAGCTAAACATAGTATATACGAATTACTGACCATTTGACTAATGAGACAATTAAATTGACCTCTAATACCCAATTCAATATATATCATTATATGTACATATATTCCTATTAAAAATTGTTTATGAATGTTACAGAGTCGACATGTCGTCAGTGTCTATAGGACGACGGCATGAGATCTCGAGGCACACGCTCAACAACTTCTCTATCGATGGTAAATTATGTTTGTATTTTTTATATTTCCTTATGTCTAATTCTATGGCAAGCCGCTTCCATGTGATGTTTTAATTATTTATCTTCTTCATTTAATGAAAATAAGTTTACAATCAAATGAAAAGAGGCTTAAACTTTGTTTTGTAAACACGCTGAAAATTTGATGCAATCCAAAAGTCAAAATTATATTTATTCTTTGCTTAAAACCGAAATAAAACTGTGAAACAACATTTTCCTGGTAGATATACTGTAGTTATAACAGGATATCTACATCTTTGTAGTTATTCGTTATTTATTTAAGCTGCCATCGCTTATGTAGTGTACGTGTATATATATTGTTCCAAGTGTATGTAAAGGTCTATATTATTTGCTCTATTAGGTATGCGGTTCTGACGTCAGAGAGTAGATACAGCAATCCATTTCTTTTGTCCGCATTCAAAGGTATAGGAATGTAAGCGTGTTGCAAGTATGTGTGTGTGCGTGTGTACGGCGTCTTCGTTAATCTCAGTCTTAGTTTATGTTCACTTTATTGTTAATGATTGATTCATATTCAAAATTTATTAAATTAATATGAAATTCCATTTATTAATAACATAAATAACCTCAGTCGTACGATACAATGACGGACGGACAAATAAAATTTTACTTTTATCTTTAATAAGTGAATGTAGACAAAGCCTAGCGACTCTCATTATGACTAACTAATGCTTCAAGCGACGACTGCTCAGTGCTCACAGCACGGCCTCGCTGTATATACTCACACATCATCCCACTCGCGCCATCTCGCGTCCGCCATAACCAGCTTCCGTACCATCGCCCCCTCGCCCCCTGTCGCACCCTCACTAACCCCGCCCTCTGCCGCAGGCGCGGGCGACCTGGTCACCTCCCTGACGAGCACGTTCGACCAGAAGCTGCGCACGCTCAACAACTCGTCGCCACTGGACGACGGCAGCATCCCCTACGCCGACGAGTGCCAGGACGAGGACGAGGGCAAGCGCAGCTCGTCGCCCTCCGACGCGGGCTCCGCGCGGCCCCGCGCCGACCAGCTCAAGGCGGCCTGGCTGCGCTCCGCCTCCTCCTCCTCCGACGAGCCCGACTCGCGCTGGCCGCGCGCCGCCCACGCGCCGGCGCCCGCCCACGCGACCGCCCCCGCCCGCCCCGACACCGACGACTCGGAGAAAGAGAACTGCGGCGGGCCCAAGAAGCCTTCGCGCGACGAGCGCCGCGACCGCCGCGACGACGACAAGGACGTCGACACACGCTCGCAGGCGTCCAGCGGCGGCACGCTGCCCGACAACGACAAGATGCCGCTCGAGCGCGCGCTGCTCGCCTACAACGGCGGCCACGAGCGGGCGGAGGCGCCGGGCAAGGGCGAGCGCCTCAGCAAGCTGGAGAAGGGCGAGTGGAACGTGGTGCGGCGGCGCGAGGCCGGCGCCTGGCGCTCCACCAAGCTCAAGCGCAAGAACGGCATGCCCGAGCGCGGCATCAAGCGGCGCCACACCGTGGGCGGCACCAAGGACTTCGACAAGGACGGCTGGGCGGCGCGCCACACGCGCACCTCGTCGCCCGACCTGTCGGCGGCATGGCGCGCGTGGCCCGCGTGGCCCGCCTGGCCCGCGTGGCCCGCGCGGACCGCGTGGCCCGGAGCCGGGCCCGCGCGCGCGCCTCTGGAGTCGCACGTGTGAGGCGCGGTGCTACACGCCACTTGGTGCTCTACAAACGTGCTAGTAACGCTGCAGCGTCACTCCGAGGACGTAGGATGCGTATTTCGCTCCGAGAGAGGCTATTATTTGATTCGATTCATTTGACTGAATAGATTAAGTCACAAACCTTTATATATATTTTTATTAACAAAAATAATACTCAAAAAACCTCCGCTATTGTCGTGTTCATATTTCAGGCATTTACAATTATTACTCAATTACTTGAATTGATCGATATCGAAAATACGAAATCTTAGGATACTAACCGGTAGTACCGTGATATGGAGAAAGAATGAGTCATCTGCAATTATATGTATCGAATTGTGCAATACACTTAAATGTTATGTTGATAAACACGGAAGATAGATGTTAAACATTAAATGTATCAGTGCGAGTGTTAAATAACCTAGCTCGCTAAATAATGCCAAAGAATGATGAGAGAATACCTGCAAGTGAGGCCCCGAGAGGAGACGCGGGGACAGGGAGAGCGCTATGGAAGACGGCGCTAGAGGAATGTTCGTTTAGATGTAAAGCAATGAACCTTTATCATGAATATGGACACAATATTTTCCATAGTAGTAAATTGTGCGTATATTGTGTACGCTCATTAAATATGAACCTTTCAAATCTACAATGTATCTGTAGGACTCCCGCAGTAGGTTCTGAACTACTATTAATGGAGTCGGTGGTGTTGTAATTGACTAAGAGTGCAAAATAAAGAGCATAATATAGATAAAAATAAGTGCTAATAGTATGTAATTAGTATGAAAATTAATTAGGTACGCCCGAAGGCTTCTTGTAGTGTCTTAGGTAAGACCGAAACTGTAACACCATAATAAAATGTAAGGACTGTTTAAATGTAACGTAGATTCTAGACTCCTGGAGTTAGAACTTAGATGGATAGTATATTATTGGTACATACGCATCACCTACTTGCCTTCGCCGCTCAGGTCAAATTTTAAGCACAATTTTCAATTAATAATAAGTTTTATGAATTAATAAAGTTACCATCTAGTGGTATCATTTGGTGAAAATTATAAAAACTATAGATATTACATAAAATTATTATAGCTGATTTTAGTACGAATGTACATTTCGTAGCCTTAAATTTTGAATTTCATAAGGCGATATAAGTATAGCTAGTGTATATGGTGTGTACATAGTGAAGCGGCGGCCGGCGGTGGCGCGATACTTCAGTGATAATGATCGAGTGATCCCTTAAGCTTTGTAAAAATGTACATGTTCTTTTATCATTAATTTATATTAAATTTGTTATCGTAGCTTTGTTGAATGCGATTATTTTTGTTTTGTTTATCGAAAAGTATTTTAGACTAAATTCGATTGTTATTTATTTTGGAAAGATGTAAAACGTGATTCGGCTTTTTAAATGAATATTAATGTAAATATTACGTCCTTAGTATGTTTTAGACTTTCGTTCATTAATTTTTTTTAAAATTTAATACCATCTTTAAGTTAAGACGATCTCAAGTTTGTTGAATGTTTGCAAAGCGTTCCTTTTAAAGTTTTATTTGTAAATATATCATAAACGTAGGGACAATGGATTTACAAACTAATTTACATCGTAGAGGCAGTCGACAGCGGCATATAAGCACGCTTCTGTCCACGCAAAGCAGTTGTATTCGAAGTAATGTATTCATGCTCTTCGTGTATCCGCTATGAAATTCAGTAAACACTATTAAAGACATTTTGCAAATGTGGCTCCGACCAGATTTACATTGTCATTGTGTATATTTTGGAGTAATGAAAATAAAATATCAAAACAATTTAAAATTTTGTATGATTTATCCTCTTCCCTCTCCTAGCTTTAGTAACAACTTTGGAATTCATCATAAATAATACATCCCTTTTAACGTCCCACTGCTGGCACGGGCCTCCCCTCAATGTAAGGGGAATCGGGCCATAGTCCACCGCGCTGGTCAGGTACGAGTTGACATCACTTCGTCGATGACATCACGTCTTCTCACATCTTTTAAACAGTTTTGGATTGTTGTTGTTGTTCTCGCTGACATTAGAGGTAATAATCATGTTAAATCAAATGCAATCTCAAGACAGCGAGAGCGGGGCATCTTTGATTTGTATAGGCTCTATGCTACCTACATATACTAATTTATATGAAAAACTAGGAAGAATATGCTAAAGTACTGTATACTATACAGAACACTTGGTTGTTACAAATTTATTGTTTTTATAAGTTTAAGCTTATACATTTTGAATTTTCTTTTTGAAGTTAAACTTAATTCACCTCACAAGTCACTAAAATTTTTAGTTTAACTTCACTTTGTTAATACATTCAAAAGATTGCATACAGTTTTAAACAGAACTATCATTTAAAAAATATAAATCGAAAATGTTATCCCCTACGAACCAGTTTGGACACAAAACCCCCCACTAAACAATCACCTCCAATTGGCTATAAGCTATAGTACGCGCCACGAAAGATGAGACTTGACATACCACGTGGTTTAACTTGCGCATAAGACGATTTAAAGGTCTCTTTAGCGGTACGAGGGCTGCGGCGGGAAGGGCTCCTCCCCCCGCGCGCGCCCCGCTTGACTCCGCGATACTGATGAGTGCAACTTGTGTTTATAAATTTCTACTTTGTTTATAGTTGTGTTGTATACGAGTATAATTTTGTAAAATTTTGATTAATTGAATAAATTGTAATGAATAAAATATTAAGAAGACAAAGTAGGAAGATATTTTACGACGTGTACAGTCATATGTTAAAAGAAGGAAAGAAAGTTGTACAAAATTTGAAGCAGGTACAAATGCGTACCATTCGTATCGTTTCGTAATAAATCCCTAAATAGATATAAAAATAAAATATAGACAACTATTTCGTACACGCCTGTACCTGCGCAGGCTCCCCACTACTGACGCTCGTCGAGTCTCATATTTCGTAGCGTGTATTATACCTACTGACTGACTAGGGCACAATGCACATGTTTTATAATTTTTAGTTTGTTCAAAACCATGACACCATGTAATAGTTTTTCATGTTTTATGAATTATTGCTAGTTTATATTTTATAATCCGCTTAAGATTAAATGAAATGTTATATTATGAAATAAAATAAACAAATAATAAAACCTTATATTTATTTTGTTTGTGGTATCAATTAAATTAAAATCACTGTTGGAATTAAAGGTACAATTAGAATCTACATACATACAAAATATTCAGACCTGATTTTGAACACGACACATGGAACGGTGTAAACAGACATAACAAGTAAAATAAAGTGACAATTAACGTAAGCCGTCCGGAGCCGCAACTCGTTCAATACTTCACAAGTTCTGTGACACTTATCTTTCTTATGTGCATTATTTCCTGAAACAAAAAGAGTCATGAAGTTTGTCGTAAATACATTGAAGTTAAAACTTCTATAGGAAGGTTTGGATGGGGAGTAAATTCATATAAGTCGTCATCGACATGGTCACGTGACGTGTTAACGCTAACACTGAGAGTGCCGATAGATGTCAAAACCCGATAAATGTAAACAGTTTTAATTTACAAATTTTAACAAACAATTAATTTGAATATCCAAAAATAACAACTGTTTGTTTATAGTTTTAAGTTTTCACTTCTGTCAGCAGTCTTCATGACTGCTTTTTATAATTTTTTATTGCCTAACAGGTGTATACTAATAATCTAAATAGTTTATAGTATATTTTGTTGGCTTCTTGTTAAGAAATGATGACAACACATAATGGGTTTTCCAAGCGAAAACCAAATAAAAAGAAGATGTATGATTAACGTAGTGAGTGATGAAGTTGTATTTAAGTAATGCGATTGGTTGAGTGTATAATATTTAAGTAATGTGATCGGTTGAGTGTATAATATATGATGAAGCACCGATGACATATTAAATGATGAAGCGCCTTTTATTAAAGGCAATAGGGACGACGATAGCAAATCTGACAACCAGGGGTCAACAAGTAATATAAGCTACGAAACTCGAGTCGCTTGTAAAATAGGCTACGGGAGAGGCATGGTACGTACTTGTGTTTCTTGTGCGCGCGGTCGCGGCTGTCGTCGCGCGCGCGCTTGTGCGGACGCTGGCCGGCGCCGGGCGCGCGCTCAGGCGGCGACGACTTGTGCGCGCGCTCGCGGCTCTTGGACGGGCTGCTGAGTGTGCAAACATATACAGTTGAATAAACTTAGGGCATTTTAAAATTAAAGTATCGTTTCCGATTTTTTTGCGGATTTTTGTTTTGTTTCGAATGCTTTACAGCAATCATGGTCAAGGTAGCGACTGATGACTGGTGAAGACGAGACAGAGAAAAATCAAAATAAATGCGCGAAAAAACCGCAAAAAATACTTTTAATTTAAAATATCAAATATTAACTAAATCTAAGAAAGTATTTTAAACTTAAGCTACTTTAATAATAACAAAAAAAAATACTAAAAATGAAAAAGGTTGTTGTGATTTTTTTTATCTGCTGAATATATTTTTTAAAATTTTTATTGATATTATTTAATATCCCTACGACCGCGGACACGCCGGCGTGTTAGTTAACAATAGATTTCTTAGAATTTTAATTAGTTTCTTAGAAATTAACCTGGAGGTGTTAAGAACTTTTATACAAGTTTTGTGAAATATAAACAATAATAGGAAAAGGACCGGAAATCATTGGATCAAACTCAAGCGGTCAACTTACCTGCTACTATTATGTTTCGATGGACTCTTGTGTGAACTTTTGTGATTAGAACTTGAACTTTTATGATTTGAACTTGAACTTTTATGATTTGAACTGGAACTTTTGTGATTTGAACTGGAACTTTTATGATTTGAACTGGAACTTTTGTGATTTGAACTGGAACTTTTGTGGCTCGAACTTTTGTCGTGTTTGCTTTTCTTACGGCCTTCGTCATCGAATGAGCGCGGTCTGTCGCGACCGCCTTTGCGTTTACGATCGAAATCAGTCTCACGATCGTAATTGCGTTCCTTTTTATCCTCTTCAGCCGCTTCTCGCTCCAAATCTGACCAATCCATGCCTGATTCCTCATCCTCTTCTGTAATGTAAATATTATTAAGATTATTTACTTTTAATCAGTACTAAAATTAACTTCACAAGTAAAAAATAAAAGGATAAGCAATGAGCACGAGTCTTATACTAGCCAGCATTATCCCTCGTGTGTATGTTTGTATAAAGAACAACCACTTGTAATTTTCATTTTAAGCAGAACAGGTAGATCAAGCAGTTTATGAATCTACTGAATCAATTAAAATACAATGTTTGCTTGATATAAATATAATATTGTAATATAAGTCAATTATAGCGTCACGTGTAGAGACCAGGTTCCCTAATTACATTATTTTATTTAGCACTAAACCAACACCATATGTTATGGACAAAATGTATTAAAAGCTCGATTTCTGCAGCACTTATCAGACCCTAGGACCACTGTGATCACTCATCTCAATGAAACAAATGTGTCAATTTAGAAGTTAAACCATATATGTACATAGGTATGATTATAAGTTTTATACCTTACTCGGGAAATGGTTAATCGTCCATACAAACTTTCGTCTCCTTCTTCACACCCTTAAAAGATGATTTTCGAGATAAAATAAAACTATCCTATCTCCTTCCCAGGGTCTCAAATTATCTTCATACCAAATTTCATCTAAATTGGTTCAGCGGATTTTTAGTTTATCCAATACAAACAAACATATAAAAAACATTTTCTTTCTTTTTATAATATTAGTAGGTATAGATATTTATAAAGTGATACCTCAACGTACCCATACCTTCGCTGTCTCCGGAGCCCTCAGACGCGTCAGAGGCTTCCGAGTCGTACTCAGAGTCGTCCTCAGACTCCTCCTCCGTCTCCGCGTCTGTGGGTTCGTATGCGTCGTCTTCTTCTTCCGATTCATCATCCTAAAATATTCAAAAATATCACCAATTAAAATTTATCATTTTTAAATTAAAATATTAATTGCGATTTTAATTCGCTCATAATAATTATTATATAGAAAAGTCATAGAACATATTACAAAAAATATTTAAAAATAACCGAAAGCGTATAATTTAAATATCTATTATTGTTATGGTATTACGAGAGAGATTGTGATCATGATTGCTGCAAAGCGTCCGAGACGTCGGAAACCAAAAACAAAATAAATTCACGAAAAAAGCCGAAAACATACTTTTATTTGAAATGTCAAGTATTCGTGTAAATCTAAGAAAGATTGAGAGATATTATGAAAACATCTATTATTTGTATTATAATATCAAAAATTACAATTTGTCAAACGAACCTGCGCTTCATTTTCTGCATCCGATTCTGGATCTAAAAAGGACCAACCGCCGTTGTCGAAGAAACCTTCTATGTCGTCTGTGATTGTCTTCATAACTTTGGTCCAATTCAAGGACTGAATACCTTCCGAATAACGAATATCGCAAGAACTGCAACGAAAAAGAAAAAATATACTTAAATAAGATATACCTATATACTTTTTTAATATTTAAAATAATTTTTCTCGTGTAAACCTTTTGGTTAATCTAATTGGTTATGAAAATTACATTAAGGAAATACAATTTTTAAGAATATACAGAAATATATGAATATACAATTATACTAACTTGAGCCACTCCTTGACGTGGTCCAACATATTCATCGGCACGGCGTTGACCATCGCCACCTTCTTGGCGTAGTCCTTGAAGACGAAGACCATATCGAAGTTCTTGAGATGGAACTGGACGCGCTCGAAGTGCACGAGCTCGACGTCCTCGAGCGCGATGACGAAGGGCGGCCACTCGGTGAGGTTGACGAGCGCGCCCGAGGTGGGCTGCAGCAGCACGGTGCTGCGGAAGGGCGCGCCGGGGAAGCCCAGCTCCCGGAAGGGCGTGTCGAACTCCACTTCCTGCTTGGTCATGTTCTCGACGCGCTCGCAGAAGCTCTTGAAGGCCACCTTGAGCTTGTGGCGCAGCTCGCGCTCGCTCTGCTCCGCCGCCAGGTCGTCGCGGTCGTGCATGTGCTGGTGCTTGCCGAGGTCCGTCGTGATCTCGCCCACCTCCGTGTAGAACTGCACGTCCACGTGCTTCTTCTTGCCTGCGCCATACGGATGTACATGTTATATTTTTTCAGCATAGAACAGTACAGATTATTAAAATTAAAAAATATATATTCTGAGTGATGAATCGAAAAAAAATCTTAAAACCTTTAACGACACGTTTGGCTCAGTTTGTAGTGACCCTACTTGCTGTGCCAGCGATCGCGGGTTCGAGTCCCGCTAGGGGCGGGGCATTCATTTGTGTGATGAGCACGAATGTTTGTACTCCAGTCATGGGTGTTTATATTTATAATATGTATGTATTTAAAGTTATATATGTGTATGTTTGGTGCAGGTATCATTAATATTCCTTATAAAAATAAAATTCGGAAAAATAATAATGTACATCAAGTAATAATGTACAAGATCTGTTTCTTTTTTCAAATCTCATTTTTTTAAATACAGGAGTAATAATTTTAAAATAAATTATCATATTCTTTCTTACTACATAATTTAATAATTTTCCTCTATTCCCATGAAGAATTTCGACAGTCATATTTCCACTTGATATATTCAACCTACCTATATAAAAAATACTAACCAAACATAATAGCATGCTTCAAATGGAAATGTAACAGAATGATCATCTCTCCATCACACGGCTGGAAGAAGGCGTTCTTAATATTATTGTATAATATATCCACTTTGTCCCCTCTCACTGATGTGAACCTGAAGCCGTTCGTATGCGCTTCTAAGGAACCGCTCATTCTTTTTGTAACAATATTGGGTCTTATGTATAAATCTTTTAGTTTGGGGTTGCCTTTGCTCTGAGAAAGAACCAATGTGTCTTGTTTGACGAGATCCTCCTTTTCCCTCTCTTCTGCTTCTCTTGTTTTAAACTTCTTCTGAACTTCCTTTATAAGTCTGAAGCCAGTGTTTAAATTTGATGAGGGAGGTGATATTTCACCTGGTTCTTTTGTGTTTGTACTTCGGTATGTGCTGTAAAAGGAAAATTTAAAATGTATAAAAAGTTATATTCAAATAGAAGTCAAAAAGTTTTCGTTTGTAATGGATAAACTAAAAATACGCTGAACTGATTTAGATGACATTTTGTATGAAGATCGTTTAGAGACCCTGGGATAGTTTTTATCCAGAAATCGTTACTTAAGAGGGAGAAAAGGGGGATGAAAGTTTGTATGGTTAATCAATAATTTCTCAAGCGAGGGATAATATATACTATAAAAAATATATACTAATATATACTCGTAGTCTATCTATTCCATACTATTAAAACATACCTACGGACGAACCCGAGTGAAGCTAGGGTGAGTCACTAATCTTTAAATACATACTTACACTTCTTTAACAAAGGTAGCATCAGGTTGTGCGTAGTGTCCGCCCTCGTTACGGCCCATGGTGGCTCCAGGGTGGAAGAAGTTGATCCTTAGGTACGTGTAGTCGCCCTCCACCGACTGCGAGATGTTCTTTATTGTGGAGATGTGGAATGGCACCGGCACGCCGAATATCGGCAGGATCACCGTCTCGTACTTGCGGTCTGGAATTGAGCATGGGTTGTTAATTAATCTATAATATATTAGTAATTGTATCAAAACTACTCAATTGTATTAAATATAGCATGTACAGCTGAATATTTAGAGGTTCAGAGATCGACGGTTTATGAGACTAATTCTTGAGTATATACATCAGTATGTAGGATCATAAAATAAGCGCAAATTAAGATCAATTGTAATTTTTCGCCGGCTTTTCCCAAATAAATAAATAGTGGTATCTTCCTCATGAATTAACAATACGGGTATTCAATAAAAATATAAAACGTGTAAAAATTTACGATGCAAAAGTGCTTATGAAAGTCAATTAATATGAATATTCGTATTTTCATTTGGTCTGATTCAAGACCTGGGTAGAACCTAGAATTGGGTGTCAGTGAAAAAGACTATCGCGACCAAAATACTTGGAAGAAGACACTTCACATATCCAGCAATAAAACGATTTAAATTAGACATCACTCACCGACATACAACTTAAGCTCCCGCAGCTCGTCCCGATCGCGCGGCATCTGGCCCACGCTCTTGTAGGAGACGGTGCTCTTGCGTATCTTCTCGCCCTCCTTGCCGCTGGACTGCTTGGCGAGGCGCTCCTTGGCCTTCTCGTTGAGCGCGATGGCGAGCTCGCGCTGGTGCTCCTTGCGCTTCTCCTCCGACGAGTGCTCGGTGCGCAGCTTGGACTCGATCACCGCCGTGCGCTTCCCGCGACCTGCCATTCACTACCATCAGTACCTATCTGCTACACCAGCAGTCTTGCGAAGCCTACCCTTCATAATCAAAAGCTACATATCAAATCATTCTTATCTATTGCTCAATTGAGGGCCATTCATAAAATACGTAAGCGAAAGGGAAAAGGATCTAAGTAAGAAATATAGAATTTGCCGTACGATAATAATAAATATTGATCAATCACTCTCGAACTCGAAATAACTCAAAAGTAGTGCGGCGGAGATTTATAATGTAGAATGGTAAGTTACATCAGGGAATATGCGTGATTTAAATAAATGTGATATATTTTTTATTATAATCTTTATTGCTTTTGAATTAAGCCTATATCAATATTTTAATGTAATTTCTTTTTGGTTAAGAAAATAATTATTAAAAAGTGCAAATATAGTTGGAAAATTCAAAGTAGGTACATAGTTGAAACGCACGCCGTTGGTCAGACCGAATATGACGTCAAAGTATTATCTTAGCAGAGCGATAAGCGACTTTGTGGCTACAAATTGAGTCATCATTTTTCTGTGTGCAGCATACTGTGACGTCACGCTAAGCGCGCGAAATGGCGGGCGTTTAAAGTATCCGTATCGGTAGGATATTTAAAAAAAAATATATTTACTAAATTTTAGGTTTTTGGAGATGGATATTTTTTTGACAATTATATAACGATGTTATCTATTGTATAAAAATATATATTCCTTATTATATATAAATATAAAAGGGATGGTTATAATTCCAAAAAAATATAACACAGCGAGGTGAATGGTGTTCTATAATAGCGGATTGCACTTTAGGAATGACCCTTATATATAAAATTCAACCAAGCTTAAATTTGCTTTACGAATTACCTATTCAAATGTGCATATTTTCTATGAAGAATACCAAAAGAATTATAAAGAAACTAAGATGACATATTAATAGGAGAGACCAAAATTACTAGGGCATAGAAATAAGTTATAAATGCAGTACACGCTTTTCCATACTATTTTTAACTTTGTGCTTAAACCATTGTAGTTACTATTTCCATTGGTGCAATATTTTACAACATAACATATTTTATATACAGGTGACAACATAATTTAAAACTTTTTTATTTTATATTAGAAAAGATGGCATACTTTCTTAGATTTACGTGAATATTGGACATTTTAAATAAAATTATTTTTTCAGATATTTTCGTGAAAAAAATCATTAAATATACAATTTTGTTTAAAAAAAATTGTATTACAAATTATAATGTCACTTATACAACAAGAAACATCTATTAAGTTACTTTAGAAATGCATGCAATAATAGTTTTTCGGTTCAAGACCAAACTCACCTCCGTTTTCTATCCATCCATGATTGCATGAAATGAAATAAAATATGAAAATAATGTGACACATTAGAAATTATTAGCTTCAAAACAAAAAATTCTAAAGTAGAGTTATTATGATACATGATAACTAAAAATTAAAACATTTTATATCATGGGAGAAACTTTTAAAGTGAGGCATGTTCTAAAAAAAAATATGACATTTTAAAATAGAACTTGGTTTAAAAAATAATCACTTTACTACACCCTTAAAAACATATATTGTCTGATACTTTTAAGTCTTAAAGAATTCCTATATTAAGGTCATAAATACAAACAATTTATATATACATATACTCATAACACACTAAAATTGCAAACCCTTTGTTCTCACAGATTGTGATTAAGTCTGAAGTCTGATGATAAATTGATGACATTACCATTATTATGCACAAAAATTATTCCCAGAAAAAGAAGCAGAGATGTCTAAACAAATAAGTATTAAAGTGATTGTTTTTCAAACATTTATAAAATATGATCATAAACACATAAAATCATATAAATGTACATATTAATGTATCTTCAAAAAAAATACTTTACTTAAATTTGTAGTATTTGAAGGGTGACCCTTATTTTTAGAAGGATTCATTGTTCACATACTACAATTATCAACTGTAACTTTTTATGTGTTAAATATAGCAATATTTATACATGCATTAACACTAAGAGATCACCAAAATGAATTGAATGTAAATAATTGTAATGATAATATACATATGTTTAGAATATTTCATTAATTTTAGTAATATAATGTATATTTTGGTAATCACTAATATATTAATTCATGGATAGTTTATCATATAAAAAAATAGTTGATATCTAATATTTTCTTTATAAAAACAGTTTATTGTATTTATGTAATAATAATTCATATGAGTCATGTATATTGTATATATATTCAGCCCTTCTTACATCCCACATCTAGGTCTCCCTGAAATGCTATGGACGTCAGACCACACTCTACCACTCTGGCCAAATGCAGGTGGGCAGACATTACAAGTCTTTTAAAAACTTGTTAGGTTATTTTTGACATGGTGGTTTCCTCAATGATTTCCCTTACTGTTCATCATGTATCATGTTGAAAAATTAACAAAACTATGTGAATTACAATACATAAGAATTATTATTTTAATTCTTTTATAGCTTTTAATTACTATAATATTTACAATATTTAATTATTCCAATACCATACAACAAATTCACCTCTGACATTAATCAAATCTTACATATATACTCACCAAGTATTTCAGTTTTGTTCTCTTTTTCTTCTTCTTCTTCTTCATCATCATCTTTGAGGAAGATACCAATGTTTTTGATCTTCTTCTTAGACTGTGTAAGGAGTGAGGCGGGCTGTTCCTCATTTACTAACACCGTATCACCAATGAATAATGCATATGTCTGTAACAATAGTACGGACCATGGTTATATGTCTATAACAATATACACATAGCAGAAACTAAGGATCGATTTTAGGCTGAAAGATTCCAATTGGTTCCAAATCAATAGATAGACTTTAAGCTACATAAAGATAGTAATTATGACCTAAATACTAAACCCGAGTGAAATGGGTTCAAAACCTGAGTCTCGAACATTTGATATTTTCGTGTGCCTATAATTTCCAACATGATTACCACTTGTCCTACGGTAAAGGAAAACATCGTGAGGAAAACTGCATGTCTGAGAGAACCTAGCAAGTTTTCGAAAGACATGTAAAGCACTTGGCCAGCGTGGTAGTTTGTGGCCTGATCTTCTTTGTATTACTGGAAGCCCGTGCCCAGCAGTGGAACGTTAAAAAGGGTTGAATTTAGTATATTAGCTAGTAGGTTTGCTGCTGCACTCAATTTCATTATAAGGATGTTTGTATTTATCTGGTTTACAATGGCTTGAAGCTCAATTTTCGTAACATAGACAAGCAAATGTGGCTATATCATAGGATAGTTTTATCCCGGAAATCATCCCTTAAGGGGTTGAGTTTGTATGAGGACGACTCCGAGAGAAGCGAGGGTGTCGCTAGTGGCTTATAAAGAGCAATCACGTTATAGCATTCAAATTTAAATCAAATACAAAATAATTATTAAGAATTAATATAATAGGATAAATAAAAATAAAAAATAAAACAAAGTATAGTAAAGTTAATTGAATACAAACCTTCCCCTCTTTTTCAGTGGCTGCCTTGTTACTTAGATTGCCCAAGCCAATGTTGATATTAAACACCATGCCTTTTCGCGCCACTTGCGATGTTTTTGGACCAATCACTATGGAACTTTCTCTAAATTCTATACCCATGGCAAATCTATGAAAAACAACATATTTTATAAAAAAATAACTTAAATCACTAAAGAACAACAAAAAAAAATTATATTATAATAATAAAAGTGTTTTGTTTATTACAAAGAATTAAAATCTTTTTAGGTATTCATGATTTATTTATTTTTTAAATAGAAAGAAAATAATACAAGACAGAATATACTTTACCTTTTACATATTATACAAAATGTTGTAGAAATTATTAAATATAATATGTTTAAAAAAAAAGGCTTACCCAAATGTTTTCGTAAGGTTATCAACTAACTCAGGCTTTTCCTTTTTAGCCAATTCCAAGCCAGCTTCATAGACTGAGGACAACTTAGCACCAGCTACTAACTTTTTCATGACTTCCTCTTCAATATTTAGTAAAAAATTATAATTGCTTTGAACTTCATCTGTTGGATTGACCAGCAATGTACGGACAATGTTTGAGCAATACGACTTATACCTTGCACCCAAAGAGCAGACAATTGCACCAAAATGTAGGTGATTTTTGTCTGAAACTGCACTGAACTTCAGGCTGTAGTTCCCTCCAGACTGAATGATGGGTGGGTAGCACATGTCTACTTGGCTTGTGTCAACTCCTGTTACATATTTTTTATCTGATATCGCTGCTTCCACACCCTCTGCTAATTTTGAGTGTTTTACTTTCTGCAAAAAATTCGAAAAGTTAATATGAAATTATATTCAAAATATGACTCAAGGCTGTTAATATACTGATGGGGACTGATAATCAGGACAAGAAAGGTAGCTTGACTTTGTTTTTTCATACAAATTTGATTATTAAGTCATGAATAATGAAATAGGGTCTTAGTTGAATATAAGAAGATATGAACAGAGAAGTAATAATAATATAAAAAATGTAAAGAAATATGTTCAGATAGCTCAGAATTGTATTGAATGTATAATAAAACAATAATAAAGGTTATATGAATGTTCCACACATTCATATAACCTTATAACAATAAAAATAATGTTAATTTTTTTTTCTAGATATGTCAGTATGTCATAGTAGTATATTCATTTTGAACTAGAAAGTTCCTAGGACTGCTTGATTTTTGCAAAAAAAAACATCATTTATCTCACATTTCTTTAAATCAATACATATAATAAAATTCTACCTAAGCCGAATCTGTACATTAAATATTTTTTGGAAAATCTTATTGAAATAAACATTGATACAGAGGCAGAATCTGTATTTTTAGAATTTTTGTCTGACTGTTACCGCATCACAGAAAAACTACTGGAGGGATTTTGATGAAATTTGATATGGTGATAGCTGGTTATCCGGGTCAACAGACAACATATAGGATACTTTTTACCACAGGAAAGATCTCATTTCTGAGAAAAAAAACAAAAACTGCATTGTAAGAGTATACTAATAATATGTCAAAATCTAAGAATTTGGTTTTTGGCCATTGCACGCGGGCGGAGCCGCGGGCAATGCTAGTCACAAATAAAACAAGCTATAGCATTACCGTAATATGTAGAAAATTTGAATTACATGTTTTATATAAAAATTATATCAAAAATAGACTTACTTTATCTGAATCAATAATTTCCATAATTTGATCCTTTAAGTACTTAGTAAAAACATCCACTGTGACCAAACAAGCTTTCTTTATAGTGATAACCTCAGAATCTTCTTTAGGTGCCATAAGTATAGCCACTGATGAGCTAATATCAACATTTTCAAACTTCTCCGCTTTCATAGCAGTCTTCCAGCTCTCACAAAACTCACCAGGGTAATTGTCCTTAGCAAATACGCCAAGTGTTTTTCCTGATTTCGATTTTTTAATCTCTTGAATAAGTTTACTAAAGTTTCCTTTGTCATGATCATTCTAAATATTGTAAAATAACATATTAGAATTATACTGAATGTTAAGATTTTTTAATAATTTAACCTTTTTGGTTTGTACTTACTCTGTCTCTAATGAGAAGTTTAACAGGAGGCAAATCTGAATCTTCTTTGCCATTTTCAATTTGTTTTAAAAACTCTATTTTCTTTTTACTCGCCAAAAAACACATAGACTGCTCTGTAAGGACTGTTATAGTATCTGGAAGCTCATATCCGAATAGCCAAGTCTTAAGAGAAAAAAAAATAAAACATGTTAATACAAATATAGGTATTCAGAGCACTTTGTTTATTATTTATAAAATAAGACTTGCAGCAACTTTACGTAATAATAGGATAAAATGTGAAATAAGATATGTAAACCATCTATATGCGTACATTGTGTTACTCATAAAAACGAACCTGTAGCGCGGTTGATTTGCTATAAAGTGTATCCTCATCCACTCCAACACATGAAACTAAGCAATCAATCTTAGCTAATGCATCCTCACTTTTAGAGTCTGAAGCTGCAGCCTGAAACAATAAGTGATAGGTAAATAGAAATAATAATTACAAACTAGAATAAGAAATATCGTGGCTGATGTGACCAACCTTCCACGCTGCGTACAGCCTTTTCATACGCCTAAAAAACGTTTCTTTATCAAGAGATATATTAGACATGGTGAAAAATATTTTGTATCCTAACTACTCATATAACTTGTCATATGAACGCCTTAAAGTGAAAAAAAATATCAACGAATTCACGACATTACAATATTACGGTTTTTGACAGCAAACAAGAATGGCGGGCGTTTGCGCTTTAATCTCTTTTGTCTATGAAATTGTTTGAATGCAGAGAAGAAGAATTCTTTATACCATAGACTAATAATTCGTACAATAAACAAAGATAAAGACTTTTTTGGTAATTTTGAATTTAAAGGTAATTTTCAGATCTTTTTGTTTAAAAACTAGCCCAAATACTTAAATATGTTATGCATCACTGTCGCCTAGAGAAGTACCTATAATTATCTTTTGTCTAGTATACACATGCCTTAATATAAAAATTATGGGTAAAAAAACACAAATAGTAATTGCTTCGATTTCTATTTTTTATGTCGGATTAGTATCACTGAATTATTTATCATGTTCATAATCCGATATAACAAAGTATAATCTTAACAAATAAAAGATTGTAATTAATTTTACTAAAAATTACAAATTGTTTTAATAAAGATCTAGTTTTTATGTTGTTAGTTCCTTTTTACTATAAAGAAACTATGCCTACCTATTCTGACCATTAGTAAAATAAATAGACTGAAATTGAAATTCTGCACAAAAATAAATAGACTGATGATAGCTTAAACAACATTTTTTTCGAATTTACGAAATTTCTAAATTTTAACTTAATATACTTTTAAGTTTCCTAAAGACCAACCCAAGTATGAAAAAGATTTTAAGTAATACATATTGATTATTTTTTTCTATTAAAAGTATACTATTTTAGAAATTTTGTATATAATAATTATAACTAGCAGCTCACCCTCGCTTCGCTCAGGTTCGCCTCTAGAAAAGCACAAACAGATCTATCCCACAGGAACCGTTCATTTTCCGGGATATAAAGTAACCTGTTGTTTGTGCGGCAATGTTTAAAATGGTACCAACATGCCAAATTTTAGTAAATTGGGTGCATAAGTTGTTGTGTACTAAGCTGTATAAGTTACTATAGTTTTTTAACTATCCAACGAGAACTCTTTAATTTTCCGGGATGAAAAGTATGCAAATACATGTAAATAATAATATAATGCATATATGCATGTAAGCAATAATGCATGCATAATTTCATTTAAATCGGTCCAACAGTTTCCGAGATTAGCCCGTACAAACAGACAAGCAGACAGAGAAACAAAAAATTTGAAAAAAACAACTGGATTTCTTCTATTTCTCCCCTGACCCAGTTTTTAGCATTTTTTTTCCTATATACAAGACATTCGACCTCTACAGTTTATTATATGTATAAATATAATAATAAGTATTGTAACGCGGGGTTTTTACAAACAACGGTGATCGCGGGGTATCGTGTCGGAACATGTACGATCCTGTAGGGCCGTGTTTCGTGCGATCGTATAGTTTAGGCGCCCGCGCCCCCCCGTCTCCCGCGAACGCGTGAGCGACGGCGTGGCTCGACCAGGCAGAGAGCCGCGAGCGCCGAACGCGTAAACATCTGTATCATAACGATCCTCCACGACTCTCATTTTCACGCAGTTGTAAGATTTTATGTAATTTTTTGTGTAATTTCCAATAACCATAAGTTTTCTTGTCAAACCTCAAGTGAAATAAATATATTTTAATAGACTGTTGTGTACCTATTAAACTGGCGCCCAACGTGGGGCTCGAACTTTTAAACTTATATACTAGTGCGTGAAGATGCCTATGACGAGGAGAGGGGAAACGCTTCGGCAGCAGCGAGGGGACGATGTCACAGAGGGAGAGGAGAGCACCATCGAGCACGGCCACGTGGACGGAGCTGCGCGAGCCGGCTCGACACAGCAACCAGCACCCCAGCTCCCCGAACACTTCCTATCCGCGCTGATGGAAACGATCACGCGTGCGCAAGTGGAAGCAAATAGAAGCCTTATCAATTCTCTGATGACGTCCAGCAGTGAATTTAGGGCCTCCACCCCAGTCGTGGCCTCTCAAACAAATAATGTGAACAGCGGGAGTGGTACTGCTGCCAGCGTCGCGAGTGTCGACGCCAATTTTACTAAGTGCACGGCGCGGTTCAACGGGTCGTCCCAGGACGCCGAGGTATTAGAAGCGTTCCTGGATGCCGTCGAGATATTTAAGGAGTGTGCGGCCGTGAGTGACGAGCTCGCACTCCGCGGATTGCCGATGTTGCTGGAGGGTGAAGCGGCAGTATGGTGGCGCGGCGTTAAGGCGTCGGTGACTACATGGGCGGACGCGGTCGCCCGCCTACGCGCGGCGTATGGCGTGGCGCAGCCCGCACATCAGATTCTACGGCAGATCTTCGCTACGGAGCAGCAAGAAGAAGAACGCGCCGAGTCGTTTTTGTGTAAAGTGCGAGCGTTAATTGCAAAGTTACCGTATAAACTCGATGAAATAGTGCAAGTTGATATTTGTTACGGGTTATTACACCGACGTATTGTTAAAAGAGTTTCCCGCGATAATGTTCGTAATTTAGATGACTTAATGTATAAAACGAGGATCGCGGAGGATATGTATAAAACTCTTAAGGTAAATAAGGATAACAATAATAGTAATAATTGTAAAAACGCGATTTCACGAACATCAGTCACTACTACCGGTCGCGATCTCACTCGATCGAGTTTTGATAGTACGAACGCGATCACTCCGCGTAGTAATAAAAACAATAGGCCCCGATGTAGTTATTGTAAATTATTTGGGCATATTAGTGAAGAATGTCGCAATCGTGAGAAGGTTATTAACAATAATAATAATGATAAACGTTTGTATAGCGATAGCACGCGTAAGGGTATACGTTGTTATGGTTGTGGCAAGGAAGGTGTCGTGAGGTCGAAATGTGATATTTGTGTGAAAACTTTAACGAATTCGGATGGTAAAACTTCGTTCAATAATTTGGATGTAGATTTTAATAATCACGATAATTGCGTTAATAATAATAATAGTAGTATAGGTAATACAAGTGCGTCATGTATTAAGTTAACTAACGTGAGTACGCGTGAATCGTATCCTATGGTTAATATATCCATTATGGGTCGTACCGGAGTGGCGATAGTGGATACGGGCGCTACGCATAGTATTGCGAGTCCTTTATTATATAAAATTTTAGTAGACTTGGGAGTACACTTTAGTAAAGTTAAACGATTTGTACACCTGGCTGACGGTACACAAGGGTGGAGAGACTTGTTGACAGCCGAGGTAGGTATAGATATCGAAGGCCATAGTGTAATGTGTCAATTACTAGTGTTGCCAGGTTGTGACACTAGAACACTTCTAGGTATAGATTTCTTGTCTCGGGCCGGAATGGTAATAAACGTTGCCCATCGCACTTGGACATTTATGGATAGTCCCGGACAGTGCTTTAATTTTATTTATTCGTACACACTTGACCCTGCAGGTACAGATTTATTGCACGCCGCATCTGATGAGCTGATGTTGCGCGCAGACGAAGGATCTAAGTTAACCCAGGAGCAACAGAATAGAGAATCTGTTAAGTTTTTAGGACACGTTATTGTACCAGGCGGAATCCAGGTGGATCCAGATAAGACGGCGGCTATTGATAATATGCCCGCCCCTCAGAACGTTAAACACTTAAAATGTTTCTTACAAACGGTGAGTTGGTATCGCCGCTTTATTAATAATTATGCTGAGATCGCGAGACCTCTTACAACACTCCTGAAGAAATCAAGTGCCTGGCGATGGGACGCCGAGCATCAGGAGGCGTTTGAGCGGATAAAGCGTCTCCTCGTATCCGCTCCCATTCTGCGTCAGGCGGACGAGTCGAAGCCATTTGTTCTCTGCACCGACAGTAGCGCTTACTGCCTTGGGGCTGTTTTAATGCAGGGGGAGGGACACGATGAGAGACCGATCGAGTACGCAAGTCGTCTGCTCACTAGTGCAGAGAAGAATTATTCCACGACGGAGCGAGAGGCACTCGCCGTCGTGTGGGCGTTAGGTAAGTTCCGCGGTTACGTAGATACTGCGAAGGTAACGGTTAGGACGGACCACCAGCCTTTGCGATGGCTAATGAGTCAGAGGTCACCTAGTGGTCGGCTGGCTAGGTGGGCCCTAACATTGCAAGAGTTCGACCTCAACATCCAATACACACCGGGACGCTCGAACGTGGTTGCGGATACGCTTTCGCGACCAGTTTGTGCTGAGAACCAAGGTGAGTGCGAATTATGTATGACAGTCGTTGACTTACCAAAGAGGAGTAGTGGTGATATCCGTAGCAATCAACTGTTAGATCCAGAGATTCGCAAAATCATTGAGGACATGGAGTCTGACGAACCTTCTAGGGGGAGGCCATGGTCCGATCGTGGGTACACTATTTCCGATGGTATACTTCATAGATATAGCTTAGAGTCAGACGATGGGGAAGAATGCTGTATTGTTGTGCCCGAACACGAACGCAGGCAAGTGATGGCTGAACTTCACGACGCGCCTATGGCAGGACATTTCGGCGTGGAGCGCACTTTAGGCCGTGTTCGCACTAGATATTATTGGACAGGTATGCGCACGTTCATTACTAACTATATAAAGGGGGCTGCTGACCAGAGACGGCGATCGCCGCCAGAGTATAAGGTAGGCGATATGGTGCTACTTAAAACGCAGGGGCCGAACGATGCAGGACGTGGACAGACGGCGAAGTTAATCCCACGCCAGGACGGCCTATACAAGATAGGTAAGGTAGTTAGTCCTACTACGTACGGGTTAGAGAACGTACAGACCGGAAGAGATATAGGGAAATATCACGTTTCGCACCTCACGCCATTTACCGGCCAGATAGAGCCTCCCGTTAGGGAAAAACGTAAACGTGGTAGGCCGCGTAGATACCTAGACTAGCCCAACTGTGAGGACACTTAGTTAGGCTAGAGGGGGAGAGTGTAACGCGGGGTTTTTACAAACAACGGTGATCGCGGGGTATCGTGTCGGAACATGTACGATCCTGTAGGGCCGTGTTTCGTGCGATCGTATAGTTTAGGCGCCCGCGCCCCCCCGTCTCCCGCGAACGCGTGAGCGACGGCGTGGCTCGACCAGGCAGAGAGCCGCGAGCGCCGAACGCGTAAACATCTGTATCATAACGATCCTCCACGACTCTCATTTTCACGCAGTTGTAAGATTTTATGTAATTTTTTGTGTAATTTCCAATAACCATAAGTTTTCTTGTCAAACCTCAAGTGAAATAAATATATTTTAATAGACTGTTGTGTACCTATTAAAGTATTTATTTTGGTTTGGCATAATTTATATTACATTATACCTATAAATCTTTGTAAAGTGCAATTTTCAACCATATTATTAATTTGTTTTTTGCCAATTTCTAGGTTAGTTTGTTTATCGTTCTTATATTCAGCAGAAGCAGCGCTACTGTACCACCTGATACTTGTGTACGGAGCTCCTTGGTAAAAGTATTCTGTGGTACGGAAGTCGAACTGGGCAAAATCGCCTTAGTGACTTAGGAAGTTAGGTGTCATCCATTATATATGTAGCAATATACTCTATGGTGTCATCGTCATGTGCCACCCGTTAGTCATTTTAAGTTGTAATTTTTTAAGTCTTTTTAAAAGTGTTTAAAAAGGCTTAAAAAATTACAACTATGTGAAATGACCAACAAAATTCATCTACATATGGCTTCTGTCAAGCCCAATCTAGTACGGAGTACCTTTATGGATTTATTACTCGATTACAATTTATTGAATAAAATATTGAATAGTTCATGTCAATATTTTTATCTTGTAAATATAATATTGGATTATATAAATATATAATACTAGCGACTCACCCTCGCTTCGCTCGGGTTCCTCCCTAGCTTGCTTCCCAATACAAACTTTCATCCCCATTTTCACCCCCTTAAGGGATGAGGCAGTGGTAGCCCAGTAGGCAGTGGTAGCCCAGTGGTGACGCACTCGCTTGGGAAACCGAGTGAAGCGAGTTCAAATCCCAGATCTCGCACCTCTGATATTTTCATGTGCGAATCATTTCCAACATGATTACCACTTGTCTTAACGGTGAAGGAAAACATCGTGAGGAAACCTGATTGTCTGAGAGAACCTAGTAAGTTTTCAAAAGACATGAAAAGTCCGCCAACCCGCACTTGGCCAGCGTGGTGGACTATGGCCTGATCCCCGTCGTATTGAAGGGAGGCCCGTGTCCTGCAGTGGGACGTTAAAAAGTGCTGAATACATGGGATGATTTCCGGAATAAAAAGTATTATGTCCTTCCCAGGGTCTGAAACTAGTTTCATACCAAATTTCATCTAAATCGGTTCAGTAGATCCAGAGATACTCCTACAACGTCACAAACTTTATCTCTTTATAATATTAGTATTATTACGTAAGATTTAAGTAACTGATATTTCCCATGCCTAGACAACTGGTTTACTGCTCGTGGCAAAATTTTCCTAGCTCATTCTTAGGCCTTCACAGCTTAGGCCTGGGATTTGAACCCGCTTCAGTTTGATTCACAACAATAATTATTAGTAAATTACATAAACGTATTCATGATTCATGTTAACTTCCTGTCGGCCGTCGATCACGCAGTTCCTAAACGAGCAGACCCATTGAAGATGATGGAACCGACATGAATTATAGAGGTGACCGTTTTAGTCCATATATAGAACAGCTTGCAGCTTTCTAGACTAATGATTTCAAAGACTTTTACTTAACTCATCAAGAATACATCTTTAGTTCCAAAACTTTTGATAGTAATTTAAATGATACTAACAAAAACAAAATAAATATATGTTTTTATTATTTCTCTATTTCATTCATGTGAGGTGATTTAAGTTAATGGGTTCCAATTCGAAAACATAACTTTATTAACAATCTCGCATATAATGATTTACTATCTTACACAAAATCTATAAATAACATCACAAAATTACATTGTACATTATTTACAGAAAAAATATCTACTATGACGTAGTATTATTGATTAGTTTGACCGTCAATGTACGAGTCTTGCGCGGCGACGACAGGGCCTCGGGGCAAAACTGTGATCCTTTTAGACTCAGGATGCTTAATATCTTGAGTTTTCACTGTAACTTCTTGTTCCTGTTCTTGAGTATGGCTCGAACTCCAGTACTTTTTATTGACTAGCATTAGTAACATAAGTGCTGGTAGATGAATTAGAGAGAATCTAAAGAGCTTCCTTGAACTTCCACTGTCCGATTTCTTGTAGAACTCCCATGCTGAAATAATTTATAATATAATTGTAAGCATTAATCATTTCATAAATAACATAAAATAGAACACAGTAAAAAATTCAGGTCGTTATTTACAACAAATTATTTTACTTATAATGTTATCATATATAATTTTTTCATCCATATAGTATGGAGGTGATCGCCATCTTGTGTCCAGTTACTGTTATAACCCTAATACCGTTTTCGAATCTCATATAAAAATACAAATGAAAGTCTAGATAGAACTGGTCACCCGCGTCTCAACTCTCGCGCCTCACACGTTCACCTCGTCTAGACGCCTTCATTAAACTATGTATATACATTAAATTAAAACATAAAGGGAAACTTCTATTTATTTACCTAAGTACATAAAGTACTTATATACTTTACTATTTTTCCTCTACACTTTCTCTTTCTGTCCCACTATTTAACAATATTTCCCACATAGACATACATGGGTTGATTGGAAGAGATTTCTTATAGAGATAAGTCCACCTTTGTCCACATTACTTTCTATGTATTTTTTTTTGTATTACCTACTTGTTTGTTAAATAAAGAATATATAATATAATATATTAATACAACTTACCTAAGTACATAAAGTAAATATTAAGTGGTAGCGACTCCAGCGCGAACCAGCCGTTGGTGACGCCGAGGTAGGGCGCGGCGACGCACGTGGCCGTGATCACGGCCGTGTGCCGCAGCGCCACGCGACGACACAGCGCTGGATAGACACATACCAATAACATCATAAGCATTGACGGCACGTTTGGCTTAGTTTGTAGTCATCCTACTTGCTGTGCCAGGGGTCGCAGGTTCGAGTCCCGCTGGAGGCATTCATTTGTGTGATGAGCACGAATGTTTGTACTCCAGTCATGGATGTTTATAATTATAATATGTATTTAAAGTTATATAATATGTGTCTTGTGTAGTGTATCAATTATCTGATATCCATAACCCACGCCTCATAGATTAACATGGAACTAGATAGTGCTGTGTGTGTTAGTGCAGTTGTAGAACATAAGTATTTAAGAGAACTAAAAAATATATAAATACTTACAAGACAGCACAAATATACAGTGGTAAGAATTTGATTTTTAAATAACTATATAGGACTTATTAAAACGAATCAAATAAAGTCATGGCAAAATTCCACTTTCCACCACCTGGCTCCATCATTAAATCAGATCAATGGTATTAAATTTGTAGCCATAACAGGCAATTTTATTTTTAATATATTATAGAAAAATAAAATTTTACAATATATATATCTCTATCTTTTGTTCAATCTCTACTGTGACCCCACCAATCTTGAACTCACTACCTACCCTACCCCACAAAACCTGACAACATTATAACAAAGTCTCACCGGGATCAGTAACGGCCATCATCCTGTAACCGGCGCGCGAGTAGTCCGGGCGCAGGTTCCACGAGAGCGCGTTGAAGTGCGGGAACTGCCACGAGTAGAGCAGCGCGCTGAGCACTAGCGCGCCCGCGTCCAGCCCGCCCGCGCACCCCGCCCACCCCATCAAAGGAGGTATGGCGCCCACTGTGGTAAATATTATATATTTTTATTTTATTGCTTAACATTGCGAAATGAACTCTAATACGAAAAGAAAGCTAACAAAATTCAATGACACACTGCCCTCCATATTAGTTGAACTGTATAACGGTAGAACAGTAATCCCTGCTTCCAAAGCGCTAGTCTATATGTTACTACAGGTCATTGTATATCTGCACACTAAATATCATTCAAATCCGTCCAACCAGTTTAACAGGAAGGAGTGACAAACATACACGACACATACAAACTTTCATATTTAGTATTATAGTACTCTTGCTTTGATAGTTAAGACTTTTTCTTACATAATATTTAATTTAATACATGAATTTATACTTTCTTACATTTATGCAAATAAAATTTGACATTTTAAATGAAATTCTTTCAAGATTTTAATTTTGTATTATTGTTCACGACATTTTCTTTGACTATGTGTAAGCATTCTGTCAATCTGGGTGTTATATAAAATAAGCTGATTGGACTCATATTTAATTTCATCTTTTAGTAGGTACTCTATTAAAAAAAAGAAAAACATTTACCAACTGAGCCCAGCCAAGTATTAGTGATAGATATTCTCTTTAATGGTGTATATATCGAGGTGTATAGGATAAGATTTCCAGCACCCAGTGCTGCTGTCAATGGATTAACACCAAAGTATAAAACACTAAGTCCAGTAATACTTGTCGCTGCTGCAAAGCCTATCGCATGTACTGGTCTGAAATGAAAATAAAGATTTATTATATACATTTTTTTATAAGACTTTGGGTTTAGAGTATGTATGATTAGGACTATGAGCTAAAAATATATTTCAATAACTACTTTTTAATTGTTGTCTGAACAGACAGAAGGACAACAAACTGATCATAAAAGGGTTCCTATTTTCTTTTGGGGTATGGAACACAAAATGATTGAATTTGATTTCAAATTGATAAATAGACCCAAAATATCAGCACAAGCTTTACTACAAAGCTTAGCTCACAATCTGAGGATTTTAAAATAAATGCAAATAATATAAGATTCTCAACTTGAACATGAAGAATATTTTTTCTATTAAAATATTGAAAAAAAAATCTATTAAAAACATATTACTTACTCTAACAAACCCTTTACAAGCACTCTATTCTTAGTCCTAGACATCTGAGCATCAAAGGGAACTTCATGGTACTGGTTAATAGAATTTGCTGCAGAACTCACAAGGCCCGTGCCCACAGTGCATAATGCAAATGTTGTTAAGTCGAATGGAGCTGGAGCTAGGGCGTAGCCAGCCATTGATGTCATTACTACTAAAGCTGTTGAGAAATTCAATAAAATAATACATTAAAACATTGTAAATGCTTTATTTTATTAGTATTGTTAGTTGTATATATATTCTAATACAGATGCTTATGCATAATGTAGCTTGGTAATAAGAATAACACAATTATGTACTGAACAGAAGAAAAAGGATGATGTTCTATAAGTTTTTTAAATTAAATGTAAGTAAATGCTAACACACTTTAATTTAAATATACATATCTATATATGTATTACACTTTAAAGTACAAATAATATTTTTTATGTACAGCTGATACTTACAAGTTAATCTAAATTTGGAAAGCATCATACAATAATTAACTAAATTATTCTTAACATCATGAGTAGGAGTCTCTTTCCACACTCTTGTGTCTTGAGGAACGTTTTTGCTTTTTTTGTTTGTAGGTGTTGTATTTTGAGTAGTTATAGGCAAGTTGCTTTTTAGATGACATGTTGTGGATAGTCTTGCAAGATGCTGTATTGGTTTATAGTTCTGAAAATGTTACACAATAGAAGATTAGGTAAAGATTCACTAAAGTTTATTACAATATCAATATTCCAGTTAAGGATTAAGGAATTTTTATAAAATATTAACAATATAAAAATATGTTTACAATATTAGAAAACTAAATCAATAATTATACGAATGTAGTAGAATTCATGAAGTTAATCGCTACAATTAATGTATACTTACACCAACTTTGAACAGCATAGATTTAGAAGATAGGCTAGCACCATGTTTAAGACATAAAGTGCAATGAACTACCTTTAGGTAGGACATTATTGAGGGCCTAGATACTTAAGTACTTTATGTCAACATTCTGAAAGTCAACTATAAATTTAATCATGAAGATGACCGCAATATTGTAATATATATTTTTAATATCTCACAATATTGCATTATAAATTATAAATATAATACTCTCTCTTTCTCTCTCTCTAATATACTCTCTATTACCAAACTTTCATACTCTATATAATGTCAGGTTATTGTCAAATTCAAGTATTAAAAAAAACTAGAAACCACTTTAGTAAAATTTAAGAATAGAAAATATTTATTCATGTAGTTTTTATAAACTGAATTTATATTTACATGCCTGTATGCCTACAGTATTGCTTGTATTATTATGATATAATGAAGAAAATGATATATTTACTTTGAATTTGAAGGTTTTCCAATAGCAAAGTAAGTAAATAGTATAAAATTCATTAAATTTAATGATAAACAGAATTATTTTCAAAAACAGTATTTATATGAAAATATCAACTTATGATAACATTTTATTTCTTTGTAATGTTTATTACTAATAAGTTTTGTGAACACTTTTACTCACTTTCTATTATAATTTAGGTAGACAAAATATTCTAAGCATTAATAATATTTAGCATACATATATTATTAAATTTGATAAAGCAAAACAGACTAGGTTAGTTAGCTAACCTGACATATCTCCGAACTCCGAAGGACATCTCATAGTACGGTGTTACGTCATAAACCTCGAGATAAGTGTTTAGAAACATATTATTTTAAATTGTCTATTAAAGTTTAAATTAGAAAAAATAAGTAATATTTTTGTTCATGAAATTATTACTTTATTATATATATAAAAAAGTTGTATTTTTATATATTAATTTTGAGTATTAAATTATTTTGCTTAAATTTTATAAATGGCAATATTTTTTATTGACAATTTAACAAATCAATACTTGAAAATACTATGCATATTTTCCCACTTGTGGGGTAAAATTTGTTCTAATTGTGCGTGTTAAACATAATTATTGCTACGATCAGTTAATATTTATTGTTTAGACAAACATGGATTATCTTTAAATTTAAACTATGTTTCTTTGAATTTCGACTTTAATAATGAAAAATCTCATTTTTGCTTTATATTTTAAGCAATATATGTTAAATAAAGCTTTTATTAATTCCATACCCATCATGGGAAATTTTAATTAATTATGTAGCAACTCGGGTTTTTTTTTTTGTTTTTATTTTGATTTCGGTCGAGAATCGAGATTCGAACACGGAAGTGGTTGGTTTCTCATTGTTGACGCTCGCATTGCGAAACATGTATTATTGTTGTTTTAGAAATATATGAAAATGTCTAAATTATGGTGAAAAAAACATCATCCTCGTGATACGAATAGCGTAGCTAAGATATGGCTGCGAGAGGAGAAAAAACAAATGGAAATGGCGAGGAGCAGATCGTCGAGGTAAATCGATTTGCCCTACTTTCTGTTGACAGATAAACTTGACCCGAGTGTTGTATGGATCGATGATTATGGGATTTACAGACGTTGGCGGAGGTGTTCCGGTGCTTCATCTGTATGGAGAAGCTGGTGGACGCCCACCTTTGTCCTCATTGCTCGAAACTCTGCTGCTACGGCTGTGTACGACGATGGCTTACCGAGCAGAGATCTCAATGTCCGCACTGCCGCGCTGCACTGCACCTTCATGAGCTGGTGAATTGTCGCTGGGTGGAAGAAGTAACACAGCAAATAGAAACCATGCAGCAGACTAATTCTGTTTGTCAAAGGGAGAACTTTCGAGACAGGTAAATATTCACTGTTGTCATAAATTATAAAGAGTATAGCTATAAAATTAACTTAATATTTTAACATTGTTAGATATAATCTAAATTCCATAATATTATAAATAAGTTTGAGTTGACCTTGATCCCTGCATGATTATCTTACCCTAAAATTTAATGACCATTATTATTAACAATGATTTTTTTTTATTTTTCAATCATTATTCTTTACAAATCATGTTTCTATATTTTGCAATAAGTTGTTTTTGAAAAATATATAACTGAATAATGTAAATAAACATTTTAACTTACCTCCTGATACTCAACTCTTATATCATTACAGCTTGAATTTGAAATTTTCAAATTAGAATAAATACTTGAATTTAAAATATTTGTGTCTAATTTTTCCTTATATATTTTATTAATATTAACAATAATTGTAAATAAATTATACTTTATGGTTAATATAATTAGATGCCCCACACATCAAGAAAGGTTAACTGTATACTGCTGGACATGTCGCCGCTGTATCTGCCATCAGTGTGCGCTCTGGGGAGGAACACATTCTGGTCATACCTTTAAGCCTTTAGAAGAAGTATATGAGCAACATGTTACTCAGATAAGGGATGAAGTGTCCCAATTGAGGCGAAGACTGATGGAGCTCATTAGTCTTGTCCAGGATGTGGTATGTAAATTTTTTCATTTCTACAAATTTTTGAACTTACAGAACATTTTTAGTTTATAACTGACTAAATTATCATGATAAATTTAACAATGGGTCTCTAGGCTTGTGTATTCTATAACTTAAAACAAAATGTAATTTTTAATTTATTTCTCTTGAACTAGACTTGAGGAAACTTGGCTAGTTACAATAAGTCTTGAAATTATCTGGAATAGATATTTATACTATAAAGAAGTGATAAAAGTAAGTAAAAAAACCTTTACATCTCTACAGCACATAACCTACAGTTATTTAACTTACTTTAAAAAAGGAGCTGTACAGAATAAATGCAATGTATACTAATATTATAAATGTGAAAGATTGTAAGTATGGATGTTTGTTATACACTTTCACGCCAGAATGGCTGAACGGATCTCAATGAAATTTGGCACAGACATAGGTTATAGTCTGGAATAATACATAGGCTACTTTTTATCCCAGAAAAATGTGTTTCCCGTGGGATAGGTTTGTTTTAGATTTCATAAATTTAATTGTGAATGTCGTTGCATGGTGTTTGTTATACAGCCATATAACATTTCACAAGAATTGGGCTATCAATTCAACTTCAGTTATTTTTAAAGTGAAGTGTAATTTACTAACGGTTTGTTTCAAGTAATCTATTATAATAATTATTAAATAATAATAAAAAGACTAAATCAATAAAAATTTCAAAATCTAATGTTAAACTTGTTGATAAATATTAAAATCGGTAGAGTTCACAAAATTCCTAAGTATTAATATTAATCAGGATAATTTGTTGTAATTTTATCAGGAGCGCAACGTCGAATCCGTACGCGCTGCTAAAGACGAGCGTGTTCGCGAGATTCGTAATGCGGTAGAACTAATGATCTCAAGACTAGATTCTGCATTAAAAGCAAAGTTGCTTACTTTGATGGGGCAAAAAAATAGCCTTACGCAAGAGACAGAACAGCTAGAACATCTATTACAAGAAATTGAACACCAGCTCCATGCTAGTACTAGGTACGTTTTATAAACATACTAGCGATTTGCTTTCGCTAGTGTGCTTCTCGTAAGCAAAGAAACAGACAGAGGTAGACATCAACTTTTCTATATCTTCTATATAAATAAAAATGAATGTTACTAAACGCAAAACTCGAGAACGGCTCGACCAATTCAGATAATTTTTGTTTTCGTATATTCCTTAAGGTACACGGAAAGTTTTAATTAAGAGAATAAAAATATAATATATATATATATATATATATATATATATATATATATATATAAAACAAAGTCGTGTTAGTTACACCATTTATAACTCAAGAACGGCCAAATCAATTTTTATCATATTTGATTTTTTGCATTTCTCTTTGTCCGGAATAGGATAATAATGAATAAGTATTAAAACATCAGAAAAATTAACGGAAAATAATTATATGGCTAACGCTGGCTAATAACTATTTATATCTATTTAAAACGTACCTAGCAACAAACCCGAGCGAAGCGAGTGTGAGCCGCTAGTACCAAGTATAGATATAAATATTGATGAGTGACTAGTACCCGAAATAAATTTTGTATTTTCCCATGAAATAAGATGAAATGACACGGAATGACAGATTTTCCTCTAGTAAAAATATTTTAAATGTTGACCCAAACAATAAGTTATCACTCCACAAAATTTAATTAAATTGTGTTTAGTACTTTTCGCGTGAAATGCACACAGATATACAGACAAACGGACTAAAATTGCAACAACTTTTGTTTTGGGGTCTTTAATCTGCATACAACATTTAACAGTCATTGTTTTTAAGAAAATATTTTATATACATATTTCTCTTTGTTACTATTTTCTTATATGTAAAGTGTGATGTAATGTTGTCTAATTTCGATATACCTATTTGTTTCATTTTTTTTATTCTTTTAAATATTTACAATATTTATGATAATTAACATTGTTAGTTAATATTTTTTTTAATATATTCTTCTTGTTTGCACAGGTCAGAACTGATAATTAAAAGTGGCGAGCTCTCTAAAATGATTCACCAAGTGAGAAAGAAGCCTATGGCCAGCTTCGTCACCGCGCCCGTACCGGCGGATTTCCACAGGCGAGTGGCACTTACTTTCACGTTTAGTATGCAGCCCTAGTACCAATGTAGGTAAAGTGATAGCTGGTTGTACGATTGGAATGTTAACGGAATTCTAATCTATGCTAATATGTTTGATATAATTTTTTCCTTTAGATTTATTAGTAAAAAAAAATTAATCTATTAAGATTACAGATATTCATCTGTAATCCTTAATATAAAGACATTTCTTATCATATTCTCTTAGATTTATACAAATATATTATAATATAAATAAAACGATCTTATCGGTTTTTTTATGGATTTATTTTAATCGGTTGTCGGGCTCTCACGTCACCCGTGACCATGATTGCTGTAATGCATTCGAATTAATCGGGAACCAAAAATCAAACTAAATCCGCAAAAAAAATCAAAATGGTAATTTTATTTAAATAGAAAATTATTAGATAATTTATGTTTTAAATATGAAATATTTAATTGAAATAAATAAATATTTAACTAAAAATATTTAACTAAAAAAATAAAATATTATAATAGTGAAACAATTTGCTGTAACCCACAAACATTCACAGTGAAATCGTGCCGAGCTACGACAGCAGCACGTTCCCACTGAGCAACTTCACGCAGCTGCAACACGCCGCGGCGCCGGTGTACTCCGCCCCGCTGCACGTGAACGGGCTGTGTTGGCGCCTCAAGGTGTACCCCGACGGGAACGGGGTGGTGCGGGGCAACTACCTGTCGGTGTTCCTGGAGCTGAGCGCGGGACTACCGGAGACATCTAAGTGAGTCATGCGCTCCTGGTACTTTAGATCGTAATATAGGTAATACATACTGAATAGTTAATTTTTTATGTTTTAAGTATGTCACTTATTGATAAAACGGGGGGTGAACGAGTTTTTTTTTAACTTTGTTAGTTAATTGGGTAATACACAATTTTCTTATTTATTTGACTAGTATAAGATATCATTAATTTAAAACCAACTGAAGTTATAAATAAATTGATAAGCAAACTTAATAATGTACTAAAATATATTATGAAACTTTAAAAAACTAATGAATTTGTCAATAACAACAGTCCCAACTCCCAACAAATTGTAACATCAATGGCCGATTATGAAAAGTGCCACTGAGCAATGATAAGATGTACGTGTAGTAACAAAGTGTTTCGTGATTGCAAGCGCTACTGTGTTCAGGGTAGGCAAGAGGTGAGTGCTAGCGTAGTGACAGATGTGTGTGCCGCATGCTGGTTTCTACCGACTTCGACTTGATCTGTGTGCTGGTTACGCTGTTTACATCATAATGTTGTGCCACAACTGAATAGTTTTTTTTAATCAATTATTGAAATTAAAATATTTAAAGGTTTTTAAAGTATTTTGTATTAATATTCTCGAGATGTTCCTCTATAAAATGTGTAAATTACTATATTATATGTTCTATGTTAAATTTAAGAATATAAATATAAATTGTCTTTTAGCATCACATAATTTGAAACTTGATTAATAATACCAATAGTTAGATTAATACCTTATTTGATTAGTGCTAACTGCTAATATTACTATTGATAATAGTGATGTTCTTATTTTTGGCTTCTCTGTGTGCTTGTGAAAAGTAAATAAAAAGTGTATTTTTTTAAGTTATACTTCTTTTGGCATGTTTGGAAAAATTTTTACGATGCGCGCGCACACTGACAGCCAAAAAGCGACATGATGAAGTTAGCTGATAGCAACATGAATAAGTTAGCTGCATTGCTTTTACAAACAGAGTTGTGACTACTGGATGAAATCGACCTATTTTTGTTCTGTTATGTCAAAGAAGTATAACTTCATACATGCGTACATACGTACAGTCGTACGTCGTACACACACACTTTTTTTTCTTATATTTAATTTTTGCTCCAATATAATATACCTTATTCATGAAATATTAAAGTCAATATTAGTAATAAATACAATTATATAATAAAAATGCATTTCAGTTGTGGTAGCATTATAGAGATGTGAGGACAAAGCTTATCATTGTAAACAAATCATATATGTATAATCCACGTTTAAAATGTACAATCCATGATATAAAAAAAATCATACATAGCAATTTTGCTTCAGAAATGATTCATTTATTAAATGTTTTAAACAACTCGTTTACATACTGTTAGCTGTTAAATCATTTAGGCCTCTCTGCTTGCGCTTAAATGTATGGAAGTTTCTTCTGGCTGGAGCATTGTAGCTGAACTGACTGTTCTTTCTCACTAGAATAACCACATCCTACAAATTACTCTGACCTCCAGTTATATTATTTGGTACACATTTGATTAGATTCACATTATATCTGTAACAGGAGTTCGATTAAAATTAAAAAAAAAACTTGTATTCATTATAGGTACAATATAAAATATTTCAATATAAAACAAAAACATACTCCCAAACACCTTATTAACTTGTGACTTTCATAAAACCCAATTTAACCCATTATATTAAATCTTATAATGCCATAACACAATAAATAATAAAGAACAGTCAATTCATTGTAGTATAAGATTATTTATGTGAAAGTTATATGGAATAGGTACGAGTACCGCGTGGAGATGCTGCACCAGGTGTCCCGCGACCCGTCCAAGAACATAGTGCGCGAGTTCGCGTCCGACTTCGAGGTGGGCGAGTGCTGGGGGTACAACAGGTTCTTCAGGCTGGACCTGCTCGCCAGTGAGGGGTATCTCAATCCGGATACCGATACCTTGATATTGAGGTATGGTTATGTTTTTAATTGTTTATTTGGGTTTTTTGCTTAATTTTATATTGCAATATGTCATCCAGATTTTTTGAAGTTATATATTGTATGGGGAAATTAAAGATGCATCATATATATCGTGATTCTTCTCAGAGATGAGAGATTTTCCAGCAGTAAAAAGTTGTTGTTGTATGTTGACCCGCATAAGCAGCTACCATCATACGAAATTTCATCAAAATCCCTTCAGTGGTTTTTCCGTGATGCGGTAACAGACAGAGAAACAGACAAAAGTTCTAAAAATATAGATTTGTCCTCTGTATCGATTATAATGACTATTTCAATCAGATTTTCCGAAAATATTTAATGTATAAATTCAACTCACTTGGAATTTTATTATATGCATAGGTAGATATAGATATCCCTTACATCTATACAAACCCAAATATTTTTATAATACTATTAATATTATTATATACAATACCTAGCATTGTCCGCGGCACCGCGCCCGCATTCAGATGACCAAAAACCAAATTCTTAGGTTTTACATATTAGACTCTTACATTGTAGTTTTTGTATTTTTTCTCAGAAATGAGACATTTTCCCATATAACCAGCTATCACCATACCAAATTTCATCAAATTCCCTCCAGTGGTTTTTCTGTGATGCGGTAACAGATAGATAGACAGACAGACAGACAGACAGACAGACAAAAATTCTAAAAACTATAGATTCGGTCTCTGTATCGATAATAATGTTTATTTCAAAAAAAAAATAATGTACAAATTCGTCTTAGTTACAATTTTATTATATGTATAGATTTTTATAATTAAAGATTCCAAGTGCGACCGCCCACATTCTACCAGCGTTGCCGCGACCAGCAGTGGTACATTAACCAGCTCATCACCATGCAGAACCAACACATTGTACAGATAAATGATCTCAAAGAGGTAAACATTATTCTATTTGGCTTACCATGCATTAATTAATGTGATTCTTGATCTTTAAAGGAACTGCAAATTATGATGTCTGGCTTGAGAAATTTATATTATTTATTTATAACACTATATTGTACATGAAAATGGTACATAAAATATATCTGCAAAGGCGGCCTTATCACTAAAAGGGGTCTCTTACAGGCAATTATTATAGTTCAATAAATTAATTTTTAATATTAGTTTTCATACAAAAATCATATATAAATAAGCGCTTCGGTTTTGTCCGAATTTCCCAATTTTACGGAGTTTTTTCCTGCTATAAACCCTATTCGGAATATTATGAGTGTTTTAAAATAAAAGTTAACTTGACATATAGATTCTTTTACTAACGAACATAATTTCATTTTCATATAAATAATATTAATCCGATTTTTCTCTCTTATATCTAGTTCTAAATATAATCAATATATAACATATTATGTCTATTTTATTTCGTTTGTCAGCGCTTAACACTAGAGATGTCGCGCAACTCGCTAACGGCGACGCGCGCCAGCCCCGGCGCCGCGGCCCCCGGGGCCCCCGGGCCCCCCGCGGCCCCCGCCGCCCCCGGGGCCCCGGCGCAGGACAACCCCGTCGACGGCAGCGGCCTCGCCGACCCCCTCGCGTACGGCAACCAGTGGAAGTTCAACACGCCCCACAACATGATGAGTGGACAGCGGCTGACCAGTCCAGGTTTGTTTGTATGGTATAGCGGTTGGCACACATCGACAGCAGTAAGTCCTTTATGAAGTTTTCTGCTTGTTTCATGTCTCTTTTGACTTTAAATAGCCACGTTTAATTTCGTTAAATAAAACATTAAATATTTATTATCACAAATTCATAACATTCTGGTGATTTACCCTCGCTTTGCTCAGTGCTTCTAGGGGACTGCGCAAGTCAACTGCCACTTTTCTTCAATTATGTAATTTTTGACAGTAAGGCCGTTTTTATCGAAATAAAAATGGCCTATAAAACTTTGTGGTAATGTAGCCGCCTGCTGTGCATCATCTATTGTTTATATCTTCTTTTTGTATATTTATTTGTGGTGTACAATAAAGCATCTATCTATCTATCTTCCTATTAATAAAAGAATTTTCAGAATCTGATCAGTAGTGTCAAAGATAATCTACTACATACAAAATTATAAACTTAAAGTTGGGACATTAACACACAGCACCGTATAGTTTCATGGTAAGCTACGAGGCTTGTGTTATGGATACCAGATAGTTGATATACTACACATATAACTTTAAATACATACATATTATAAATATAAACACCATGACTTCAGTACAAATATTCGTGCTCATCACTCAAATGAATGCCCCCAACGGGACTCGAACCCGCAACCGCTGGCACAGCAAGTAGGTTCTCTACAAACTGAGCCAAACGTGTCGTCAAATTAGTATATAGATAACAATACTTTAAATGTCTAAATGCAATATTATATTAATAAACGAATCCGTTAACAGGTATTCTGAACACAGCCATGTTCGAGGAGTCATGCGCCAGCACGGTGTGGCGCCGCGCGCCCGCGCAGCACGCGCTCGACACGCCCTACAACCTGCCTTCTACATCTACTTCTAGGTATTTAATATTTATGTTACTCTTATAAATAAGCACTGGTAACGCGCTCGCTTGGAAACCGAGTGAAGCGAGTTTAAATCTCGGTTCTCGCACCTCTGATATTTTCATGTACAAAGCATTTCTAACATGATTATTTACTTACTCTTATTTTAAAGTCGGTCGTTCAAGGGTAGATCGGTGAGCTCGTCGTTGTGACTCTGATTTTTTAATTTAAAGCGATCATAACACGCGGACTTTATTACACACTGGTACAGATCGACGAAAACATCGCTGTGCGTCGTATTTTTTTGAATCATATATACTAATATAATAAATGAAACGGTAACTCTGTTTGTCTGTCTGTCAGTTAAATAGTTGGCTTTTGACGCCTAATCCGCTAAACCGATTAAGATGAAATTTGGTGTAGAGATACTTTAAGAGCTTGAAAAGAATAAAGTATAGTAAATTTTTATTTCGGAAATCAACCGATAAGGGGCCGAAATGGCGGGAACGGGAGCGTGGTATAAAACTCATCATACCTATGTGTATATTTGTTCCATAGCAACCGTTGAAACATACTGTAATAAATATTGTTTTAGTCATAATACTAAGTATTTTGCCCTTTCACTTTTTGTCTTGTCACCTTTGTCTACCTTTCAATGTATTTTTTTTATATAACAACATTTTTGTGCAACAAAGAATATATAATATGGTACACTGGTACAGGTCGGCGAACTCGCTGCAGGCGGGCTCGGACAGCCTGGCGCTGGTGAGCCTGCACTCGCTGCTGAGCGCAGCCGCGCGCCGCCCGCGCGCCGACCGCCACGCGCCCGACGCGCCGCTTACTGGTATGTGCGCGCTGTCGGTTTGTGCTCACCCTGCTTGCTGTGCCAGCGATCGCGAGTTCGATTCCCGCTGGGGACATTTGTTTGTGATGAGCACGACTGTTTGTACTCCAGTCAAACACCCATGACTGGAGTACAAACGTATTTACGATATGTATATATTTAAAGTTATATATGTGTAGTGTATCGAATACCTGGTGAACTAGATGGTGATGTGAGTTAATGTCCCAACATATCATATATTAATGTGCTGTATAAATCTGTAAAAATACATTTTATAAATATGAAAGCTCCTGCCAATTAATAATTTTTTTAATTTTAATAATGAATCAGCTTTCTCTAACTAATTTATTAAAATAAGATAATATAAATAAATGTGAAAAAAAGTAATTTTTAGCACACCATGTTTGTTTGTATAAAAGTAACATACAAAAAAATCGTTCTTTCATTTGCTTATAAATAGATTTTAACAGGAATATATTTTTTAAATTGGGTTGTAAAGTAACACATATTAAGTAATAAAATAATGTTTTTTATACCTTTTTAAGTATTACCTCTCCAATCCATTCCCCATCATTCAACACTATACCACCATAACCTATTTATACAGGCCACAGATCGTTCGAGGTCCGCTTGAGGCAAATTATTTTGTTAGCGTAATGAAACACTTAAATTTCCATTTGTAAAAACATAATTTAAATAGAAAAAGTGTCAACCCTATGAAAATCTGACCAATGCACATGGAGTATGCAAATACTAGCGATTACACTGCAGATAAGCCCATTTGGCTTCCACTACGATAACATCATGCATCGCAATCAAACTCATTACTGCTGTATCACTTGAGCTTACATGACCTCCGACTCCGCAGCCGCGGCCAGCACGCCGGCGACAGAAGTGAGCACAACAAGCACAAATGCACTCTGCTCGTCGCTCTCGTCGCCGGAGCTGAACGCGAGCGCCGGCGCCGAGGGGCCGAAGCCCGAGGGCGCCGCCGGAGCCCCCGCCAGCCCCGAGCCCGCGGTCCAACCGGTGTCGGAGTCTAGCAGCGATACTGGGGTGGGTTTTATTTATTTATCAACTACCAGCGATTTAATCTTGTTTGTTAGTCTGTATCTGTACCTGTATACTAAATTCCATCGTAATCCGTCCAGCCGTTTTAGCGTAAACATGTAACAAACATGCACGCAAAATTTCACAATAGGGAATATGCGTGTGATTTAAATAAAGATGAAATATATTTTTTTATAATCTTTGCTTTTGAATTAACCCTATAATAATATTTTTTAGTGTAATTTCTTTTTGATAAAGAAAGTAATTATTAAAAAGTGCAAAAACAAGTGCGCAATTCAAAGTAATTGAAACGCACGCCATTGGTTAAACCGAATATGTCGTCAGAGTGTATCATAACAGAGCGATTAGCTATTTTCAACCGCCTTCCTCAAAAAGGAGGAGGTTCTCAATTCAGCTGTATTTTTTTTTATGTTTGTTACCTCAGTTCTCCGTCATTTATTGACCGATTTTGACAATTTTTGTTTTGTTTGAAAGTGTATACTTCCAGATTGGTCCCATTTAAATTTCAAAAAAAAATACCACCCCTAAGGGTGGGAAAATAGACTAGAATAAGATAAACTAATGATGAATTTAACCTACTTCTAATTGTCATATTGACTTGAAACTTTGCAAGTGTTTCTATTTCCGTTGATAGTACAGTGGTTCAGTATTGTTGACCTGATCTGATGATAAGGCCAGAAGGTGGACAGGTGGAACTCTTCAACGGCTAATAGTAGATACTTTGAGTTTGGGCTTATTTTGTTTGATTTGACAAGCCTAACACGTTAGAATTCTTACTTTGCTACTACTGTCTACACTAAAAAGGGAAAAATAAAAACTTTTTAACAAAAAAATAAAAACCGACTTCAAACAAAAGCCAGCCGATACAAAGCAAAGCACACCGACTTCGAAAATATTTGATTAGGTATGTATAGTAAATGAAAACTACCAATTAGTTATTTTTTATTTTTTGCTTTTGTTTAAAGTCGGTTTTTATTTTTTTTGTCGCTTACAAATTGAGTCGTCATTTCTCTCTGTATATCTTAATGTGACGTCACGCCAAGCGCGTGAAATGGCGGGCGTTTAAAGTATCCGTAACGATATGATATTTAAAAAAATTTTAGTTTCTTGGAGCTTGATATATTTTTTGTAATTATATAACTAAAGATATAACTATGAAAGCTATTGTATAAAAAATTAAAAAAAAACATGCATATTCCCTTTTATTATATTATCCTGATAGATGTATGTTATGTTGTGCTTCACTATTTAAAAATATATTATTTTTAAGATTGCAAAACATATTAATAGTACTGAAAATATTTTAATTAGTTTTTTTTATAAATATTTAAAACAGAGTTCATGTCAAGTAAATATGAAACTAAAATAGTATTATAATAGAGCAGTGCATATCCATACACTATTTAATTTTTTGTTTTGGTCCACAGGATTTTATGTTCAGTGAGTTAGATGGTTTTGTAGATGATAACAATCCTAGTCATATTGAAGAGAATTCCAATGAAGAGAATGATGTTGACGAAGAGACTATGTCTGGTAAGATTTATAAATTTTTATGTTCCCAATGAATATTTTGGTAAATATATTCCGTTACTATAGTATGTTTTTCAATCTCCGAGACTAAATTGACACATGCAAATGTCAAATTTAGAAATAATGCTGCCAGTTTTTTTGCGATGTTGTACCTACGATACCGGTTTGTTGAATCGTAACTTTTTATATTTATTAGACGATTCTCTTGTAAGTTTTATATTCCAAAGTGTATCATTTAAATTCACATTGTTAATTCTGAATCATTAAATATCATATTTATTAATTTTAAATCATTAAGTATCATTATAATCCACATTATTACCTTTAAATTTGCATTATTAATTTTGTATTATTACGTTTTAAATAAGTACCTACATATTATTTCAGGATGAAATTATAAAAAAGCCGAACTTATTATAAAAACGAGACTTGATTTTATTAACATTAATTTTCGATAGTGGCACATCAGTATTTAAGAATTGCAAAAACCTGGCAACCCACATAATGTCAGTTTTGTCTCTGAGATTAAAAAACAGACTATACTTCCCTGCTTCCTTATCCGTATCCCTGTCCCTAACCCCGCCCCCGGTCCCCAGAGGGCTCGGCCGCGAGCGGGTGCTCGTGGTGCGCGCTGGCGCAAGGCCCCCCGTCCCCGCCCTCCGCCCGCTCCGAGGAGGGCCCGCCGGCCCGCCGCCGCCTGCGCCGCGCACACCCCTACCGCCTCCATACTCACCTCAGTTGCGAAGGATACAAAAACAAACACACACATTGATTGTTAACTGTTTTTTATTAGTAAAATTTGGACACTAAATTTTTTGCTTCTATTTTTATACACGGTTGTACTTAGTTTTGTTTACATATTTCTAAATGGTAATGGTGAGGATAATTAGTTAACAATTACCTACTGTATATGCTCGCCATCCTTTTTTTTTCTTAATACATGTTCCATTATATATTGATTTTTTATTGGTTTAATAATTTTTTACTCGTGTTTCTTTTAAGACAAAATATTCGTATTTAGTTAATTTTTATTCAAAATAAATAGTAATGTTCGAAAATGTTTATAATATCATTAAAAGTTGTATAACACCTAAATAAAGAAAATTATTCATACCTATATTTTTTGTTTTGCTATTGGTAAATAAAATTTCAATTTTAGTCTGTTTTCAATAAATGCGATATTTATATGTTAAATAGTTTATTTCAACAAAATGTAATATGTCATTAGTAAGTAATTGTTTAAAGTACACCAACATTTTAAATACATACATATATTATGTAAAATATACTGTGATACTAAATACATCAAACAGGTGAGAACGACATCGAAGGCGCTTGCGGAGGACGCAACAACGACGCAGGCGACATCCTTAGTCGCTTGCTGTGCGCCGTGCACGGGCGAGGGGTGACCCCCGGTGACCCGCGGGGCGTGTCCCTCGCGGGGAGTGACACGCGGGGCGTGTCCCTCGCCAGCAGCGATACGCGGGGAGTCACCCTCGCCAGCAGTGACACGCGGGGCGTCACCCTCGCCAGCAGCGACATGCGGGGCGTCACCGTCGCCAGCAGCGACACGCGGGGCGTGCCCCCCGCCGGCAGCGACGCGCCGCCCTCGTACGCGCACCTGCAGAGCACGCTGGCGCACGTGGCGGTGCCGCCGCCCGCGCGCCACGACGACCCGCAGCTGTCCACCGCGGCCCACACCGATATGCTGCTACTGAACCTTATGCGTATTAACGGCTTGACGCCCAAGTGCCCGCGTACTGCAAAGCATGGTAACCATGTTTTTATTTATCTATATGGTATAAACTAGCTACTAACCCTCGCTTCGGTCATCGTATCGTGCATAGTAGTAGCTTATGTGTTACTTACAAGTCATGGCCTATATGTGTACTAAATGTGAAAGAGTAACGAACATATACATAGATTCGCATGTATGATTACTATTATTTTAAATATTTGTATCGATATTCTAGATTTATATTCGACATATAAGCAATCTCCATGCTGAATATTATTTAAAAAGCTCTTACAGTGTACAAGCTAGAGATTGAGGAAAATTCTAATATATTGATTTATAAATATGTATATAAAATACAATTTCCACACTAGGTCCAAAACGTAACTGGTCGACGTCATGTTTAGGCGAGGCCCGGCCGCGGCCCGCGCCAGCGCGCGCGCGCCGCCCGCCGCGCACGCCGCGCGCCGCCCCGCTCTCCCCCGGGCAGCTGCACCGGGATAACACTGGTATTATCCTCGTACCCTCTATCTATACCTGTATTTATTTATAATATATTTTTTTAATAGAGTTTTATCTATAATAAAACAAAAATGAATGTTTAAAATGTATACAGGTGCCATAGGATGGTCGGCCGCAGCGAACTCTGCGAACTCGGCGGGCGCGGGCACGGGGGCGCTGCGTGACTGCTACTGGCCCTCCGCCTCCTCGCTCAGTGACAACGACGACGTCATTCTAGACTACAACGTAATGGATACTAACTTTTAAGTCACATTCAAAGTTCATTGACCTTTCAGTTCTGATATTACTATATATATATATTAACCTTTTTTTATACGCCTTCTACCATACACATAACTCCCCCGTCTTAATGGGGCGTCGCAAGATCGCTTACACACGAAACCACGATGCCCCGATGTCAGGTCTGCTGCTTCTAACCATGTGGTTGCCCCTACGGTCTACTTTGTTGTCGGAGAAATACCAAAAGCAACTCGTATGGTACACCGCTCACTGACGCGGTTCACCTCCCTGTGTGTCTCTTGGCTTCGCGTCCGTCTGGATTCCCGGACGCTAATGAGTCCCTAACAATTTAAAGCGTTTTCTGGTATTAGTTAATACTTTTTATTCATTAATGCATATATGGTGTATATTGCCTTTTAAAGAAATATATTTTTGTTTTACAGGACACGCTTTTCGACATGCTTCTCAACAGTCTGTCTCTTGAAGGTGGTAATATAGCAGAGTGTGATGACGCACCCCAAGCGCCCCCCGTCCAGCCCTGGAGCCCTGCGCGCGAAACCCGCGATCCCCGCGATCCTCGTGATCCTCGTGATCCTCGTGATCCTCGTGACACCCGCGACCCCCGCACAGACTGACCATCGCAACGCCCGCCACGCCACTACCCCTCACACCCAGCACCCCGCTGCCCGCCCTCGCCCAAATACCATCAGTTGGAGCACTATCGTCGGGAGTACCATCACTAAACCCTGTCCCGACCATTCAGCTTTAGTATGAATGCAGAAGTGTACATGCCGAAATTTTCTTATTTCTAAACCATTACCTGTCTTTGTTGTACTATATAAGTCATTGATTGCACATTCACATTTTGACTGTAGCATTACTTAAGTCGAGATTTCAAAATTTAGTTGCCAATGCCAATTAATAAAAAAAAACAGCATAGTTAAAATATTTGGCATGTTTTTTTATAACAAATCTATTTTTCTTTATTTAGTATCTGAGTAATATGATTGAATACATAGTATACAAATACAGGTAATTTATATAAGAATTTTGTCTTTATTTTTTGAATAATGCATTTAATAAAAGTTTGATTAAAAAAACGGGATGAAAATTACAACATTGCATTTAATAAATTAATTCAGAGTGGTGTTGTAAAGTAATTCTATTAATTTAACAAAAAATAACAAGATTTTATTAACTTTAAAATTTAAAGTTTAAAAATTTAAAGTTCTTGGTGTTAAATTAAATATGATAATCTTAATTAATAACAAGTGCTATCAATTTATATAACGTCTTGTATGCTTTATGTTGATAAAATTAACATTGTAAGTAAGGCTTATTTATATATTCTTTTAATTTATTATTAACATTAAATTTTGAAACGCATTATAAATAATTATTATAATAATATTTTCATCACTGTGAATCAACTTTTATTTTACAAGGGTTATAATATTGTTGAAGTATCGCGTGCGGTGTAAAAATATACTATTTTTCGACATGTGGTGAGGTGAATGTGATAGAGAACAATTTCCATATTTTTAGTATTATATTTATTTAACGCATTTTAATACAGTCCTTTGTCAATGTTGTAATCTCAGCATAATTTAATTATACTCATTATGATATTGTAGAGAGAGAGACTTGCCTCGACTCGCTACAAGTCAATGGATTTAGTTTAATGTTCTGTCATTTTAAGGAAAATGTTTTTTTTTTCTATTGGGCATTAAATTATCTATACTCAAAATTTTGATCTCGGAAATTTCCTGTGTAAGTTTGCCCATGACAGTGGAGATAAGTTACTTCCGCCTCTGTGTATCGCTACATTGTTAATTAAATATAAATAAAACTTATTTGTGTACAATAATGGAATTCAATATTGATGTCTAGATTAGGATTTGACGAATGCTACGTGTAGTTGTCGTAAATGCGCCAAAAATAATATACATTTTTTTTTAAAATACTGTTTCTTTCGTCTGTCACACTACTATTTTATTAAGTAATCTATGTTAGTACGGAGCATTCGTCTACACAGTATATGATTAACGCGACTACTTTTCCCGCTTTTGTTTGTTTGAAAAAAAATTAATTTAAAATATTTTTATTAATTACTACTAGTTTGAATTTATTATAATACAATTAAGAGTTAAGACTTATACTTCTACTAAATAATTAATTTTGCAATAATAGTTTGTCCATATAAAATATGGTCGACTATAACAAAAGCGGGATAATCAGTACAATATATCTTTTAATTACGTGTCACTTTAATCTGTTGTAATAATCCATTGAATGTTTTTATGTGCTTGTAGCGATATAACAAGTCCGATTGTTGTATTTTATTAGATAGCTAATGTAGTATGTTGACTGAAAGTTCAAACTTAGTTTAAGGTTTTGATCGCTAAGTGTTCGCGTTGAAGCTTATTTTTGTGCTTTAGCTATATTTATGGCTGTAAACGCTGATTCGAGCTTTACATTGTAATTTAAGAAGTATAAACTTATCTACAACTACAAATACAGTGAGTGTAATAGAAAAATCTTAAAATATCTCAATTGGTCTCGTAGTGCAATATTTTTCACTCAAATTCATAATTAAATTGTTATTTAAGGGTCGAATGAGCGGTTGCCGGCGAATAATGATGTGTACCTAAAGCTGTCGATATAAATTATATTTTTATTTATGTAGTGTATTGAATACAATTGATGGGTACAACACTAATTTTTAGGAATCTGCTTTGACAAATTATTATTATTATAAACGAAAATATATTTTTGATTGTCTAGAATGTTGATGTATTGATGTTCTCGAATGAAAGTAATAAAGCATTATATGTTGTTTTATTTAAGTTCATAGAAAGAGGAATTAAATTAACTAAGATTTGAAACATTTAAAGAGAGCAGTCTCACAGTAATTTTCTATTGGATTTCTTTGTAAAATTAGGGTAAATTTTTATATAATAAAAAGAATTACAGTAAAATCGATAGTCAAGTATCGAGATAAATAGACCCTGTTTTCCAAGTACAGAGCATAATGGCGCACAATGCCGAAGTGTGCTAATACTTAGGAACGTGAACAAATTTTCAAGTGCACCAGTAGAGGGCACTAGGTTCAGTCTTGAAAGAAAGAAATATAACTTATAAATATATAAAATTTTGATCAATGCCACCTTGAAAAAAAAGACTATTTAATACTTATATTTTCTGCTAATGAGTTGGTATCGTTGGGCGCATCACGCTAAAGCAGTACTTTTCAAAATGCTTGATTGTGCGAAGCGTTGCTGTAGTTAAAACATTCGAAGTTAGCATTATACCGTATAAATCGCTTTTATATTATTATGATCTTTGCTAGATGATGGATCTTTTATTAGTGACGCCAAAAAAAAACTTGAGGTTACCGCCACCTCTGGACAAGCACATGAATTTACACGTTAGAATATAAAACATAATAATTACGTCATAAAGTATAGCAAAGTAAATCTTATTTATAGTGGAAATAATAAAAATTAAAAAGAGATAAATTTATAATGGGATATTGTTGATTATGCTAGTTTTAACTAAAGTAAAACATACCAAGCCCTTCTATATTTGTAGTAGATATGACAATTTAGAATGGTGTATTCATAGCATCTCTTTATAGTTTGTAAGTGTATTCGTATTTCGTATGAGTTTGGCGACACAGGTGTCGATACAAACACGTCCCATCGCACTACTCTTCCGTGACCAGCAGGGCTATTGCGTATCTCAATTGACAGTTCATAGTGAAGATCACTAGACTTAATGCTCAACGATGAACTGTCAAACAGCTAGTTTCGTATTGGCTAACGTCAGTGACCAACTGGGATGATGTCATAGGCACCGAGCCTCATTGATAGTCACCGTAACATATTTTGACAAGTGTTTATGTATCGATAAAGTTTAAGTTGCGATTGTGTAAGCATAGTTGACATCATATTAATAGTCATTAGACACTATCCACTTTTTTTGAAAAACACTACTCAAGAGCAGTGTTTTACGGATTCAAGGTGATTATCACTGTAATTTTAATACATACACTTTGTGTACTTGCTACTCGGAACATTAGGCTACATGGATTTGTACACTGTGTGGAATTGTTTTTTTTATGTTTTTCTTTGTTATTAAGTAAGACAAACTATTATTTATTATATTTTTTTTATTTCTTTGTTATAAGTAAATTTGTGAACATAATGGCGCGCGCTTTCTTATTGGGATATGCGGAAGAAGAACGTAGACGTAATGTTCTACGAATTGAAAGACGCCGTCTGCGTGACGCTAGTGATCCATTGCAGTTGCCAGAGAGAGAGTTCATTGGACATTTTCGTTTAACAAAACTTGGATTCCAACAGGTTTTGGTGGAACTTAGTTCTCATCTACCATTAGTTAGACGAAATACAGGTGTTCGCAATGAACTCAAAGTAAGTAACAATGTTCATTTACTTTGACCTGTCATTTGCTTTTCAACATTAGGTATTTGATATCCACTTGTAAATTTATATTTTCATTTACATTGTTACTATAACTGACTGATGATGACTTTGTTTGTCTTTCTATTGTAGATTTTAGCAGCATTAAATTTTTATGCAAATGGATCCTACCAACGGAATGTAGGTGCATCATTTCTACTGAACATGTCACAACCAACATTCAGTAAATGTCTACATGAGGTAACTGGTGCACTCAATACCTGCGAAATCCTTAGGAAGTACATAAAGTTTCCTATGACACAGCATGAAAGGGAAATAATTATGAAAGAGTAAGTTTAAATTTAAATAGTGTTACAATAATTATGTACTTAGTAGATACATACCTACCCAAGTAGCCTAAAACTTTGAATTGTTTTTTTTTCAGTTTTATGGAGAAATTTGGATTTCCAGGTGTTATAGGTTGCATTGATGGTACACATGTGGCTTTAATCCGTCCTAAGGATCATGAGGAGGCTTATTTTAATAGAAAGAATTACCATTCTTTGAATGTTTTACTAGTAAGTGTATTATAATTAGTATTGTAAAGTATAGCAATACATAGCATTAAAATAAAAGATTGTTCCAGTAGTGAGTTTGTACCTGCACAATTTAATAGAACAAACTTTGTTTTGATTTCAGATTTGTGATGCTAAACTAACCATCCTCCATGTTGATGCATCATTTGGTGGTGCATCTCATGATTCATATGTTTGGAATCAATGTGTAATAAAAGCATTTTTAGAAGGATTAGAAAGAAATGGAGAGCGCCTTTGGCTGTTAGGTATGCATATGCAACTTGTATAATAGGGTACAGATTAAATACAGACAATCATTTTGATAGAAAAAAATATATATTACACATTAGACAGTAATTTATCTGATAGTAGGTACTATGTTAAAATTAATTTCTATTTGTAGGTGATTCTGGATATGCTCAACGCCCCTGGATGATGACTCCAATCATAGGTGCAGCTCCGGGATCACCAGAAGAGTATTATACAGACCTTCATTGTCGGGTCAGAAATACTGTGGAGCGGTGTATTGGAGTACTTAAATCACGTTGGCGGTGTTTGCTAGCACACAGGGTACTTCACTACGACCCAGTTACCACTGGCAAGATAGTGAATGCATGTGTCGTCCTGCACAATATAGCCAATGCACAAAATATTCCAATACCTGACCCACAGGATGGTGATCTTGACAATGACCAACAGCACCAACTTTGCATACAGGGAAGGACTGATGCCCCTCTAGATGAAAGTAGGCTTATATTAATTAATAGGATTTGGAATGCTAGAAATATTTTGTGATTATAATTTTTTTTAATATAGTTTTGATTGAAATACAAATAGCCTTTATTTCTGATAAAAAATAAAATACATTTTGACAATTATTATCATTTTACAATATTATCATGCTATAAAATTAAAATTATTACTTATTATTATATAAAAATAGTCTTAATTATAATTATATTAAATATAATTAAATTTTATACTTATATTTTCAATACTACATCATTTTATAACTCTGCCTACTATATATATATATTATCATGCTGCTAGTTGAAATTATTACTAAATACTAATTATTATTATTAGGTATTTTTAATAGATTTAATTATATCAATTTGTCACTTATACTTTTTTTCTTTATATAATTTTACAACATTATCATGCTGCTAATTTAAATTATTGGTGATTATTGTTTATTATATAACAATAGTTTTAATTATATTTAATTCAATTTTACACTTATAATTTCAAATATAATAATGTAAAAAATGGTTTCATATATTATTTAATTGTAATAATTTAAATACTATTTTATTTAACATCATTGTATAGTCCTGTCTACTACAAAGTCACTTAACAATATTATTGCATGCTAATTTGAATCAAAATGAACACACATAAAAATTTATCAAAATTGGCCCAGCCGTTTAGAAGTAGTTCATTCACATGTGTATGTGACTGAGCTTCTCCTAAACGGCTGGGCCGATTTCCTGTGTACGAACAGAGGAATTATATATAAAAAGATAATAATACTTTTAATTATTTTTAATTCAAAGTGTATTCTTAAGTTTAATTATATTTTTAATTTATTTGTTTGATGTCATCCTCATACTATTTACTATAGACATTATTTATTAGTTACATTAGGCAAGATATGTAGTTATTTACATTTAAAACTAGATTAATTATGTTAAAATGTTAAATAAAAATGTAAGTTTTAGTTTTTATTATATGTTTAAGGCTTCTCTTGATGTCTTGATGACTCTGAAAGATATTTTTTTATATAAAAAGTTGAAACAGACTCAGAATATAGCAGTAAGTGTATTATTAAAGTTAGAATTAGCATGTATATTTAGTCTTAAATTAATTGTAGGTATAATATTATTATTAATAACTATTTCAAAAAATATATGTTTATACCTGAGATATGGCAACATTTTATTTCCCTCATTAACTCCACCATGGCCTCCAATGCGGATGCAATGCGTTCCTCAACAGCAATGCGTCTTTCCTCCAAGTCGTAGGCCCATCGTGGTACTCGCTCATCTCGACGTACTGAAAAGTATTATTTAACATTAATGTAACTTACATAAGTGGATAATAACATCGAAAAATTAGTACTTACTTTGACTACGTGATGTCGACCTTTGGGTAGGCAGTGTCGTGTGCACGGGAGGCCCTGAAATAATTATAATTTCATATAAAATGTAATACAAGCAGAAGGTTGTGAAAGCCAATGTTTATGCCATTTATTTATTCATACTTACTTTCTTCTCTTGGTGATGCAACTTCAGGTGGATTGACTGACTGTATAGTATGTGTGGCTGGGGCAGGGTGCTCTGTGGCTCGAGCAGGGGGCTCTGTGGCTGGGGCAGGGGGCTCTGTGTCTGGGAGAAGTGGGTTTGAGGATGAAGGCTCAGAGAATGGAACTCCTAATGGAAATGGAACTTCTTCTTCAAGCCATTCCACATCCATTGGAGGTTCTGGAGATATAATATCGGAACAAGGAGCTGAGGAATGTGGCATAGGTGAAGCTGTACTGGGGCTGGCTGGTACAGCCTCTGAGGTACCTGGAGGCTGAGTCCCTTCTGCTGTAGGTATCTATAAAATGTTTGAAATTTTATTTGATACCTACTTATTATTATAAATTATAATAATTTAACATTATAGCACTACTTAGAACTTAATTTAAGATTAGTTAATACATAAATTAGTAATATCAATTATAATACTTTAATAACTTACATCAAGAGGCAGGTGCACACCAGGCAAACCCTCCACCGCTACCGTACCAATTACTATAATTAATACCAAGTTCAATTAAAAACTACGAAAATAATGTATTTTATATATTTTTGAAGCGATAATTATTAACCGTGATTTTCTATAGAATTCAAAATAATGTATAATTTCATACATACCAAGAAATAATTTTCAAGGTTAAAAAGTTTTAAAATTACCTATATAGTTTTATCTTCAATATGGTATTATCTATCCAATTTTAATAAATTGCGTCTTCATATTCTAATCCTGATTATTAAAAACATTATATCGATCATAAAATATGAAATCAGCATTTCCAATTGGGTACACCACTAAATGAGTAGCATAATATAAATACGTTGAATCCAAAATATACTTTAACGTAATGTAATAAAATTGATTTTAAATTGATATTGTGAAAAGCCTTTAAATTGTTTTCCATTGATTAATCTTTATTTTCTGCAGCACTGTAAAACACTTATTGACATTTGACAGTTCGGTATAGGTACCAACATAAAAAGATAATCACAAGACGATATCAAACAAGTCACAACAATTCAAACTTAAAATATTATATACCCAAATTACTTAATTAATTTGACATCTAGTGGTTTTGTGTTTTAATTTTTAAAACACAACGTAATATGGACAAAATTACATTACAAGATCATAGTTACTTCACAGTCGAAATTTTGAAAGCATTAGTTCAAAACCGAATAACAACACTTATACAATTTATACAAGAAGATGCAGAAAAATTATCAGTGTTGACTAAATTAAACTTGCCACAAATCTTGGAAATAAGAAATGATATTTTTAGTAAATATTCAGCACCATTAATTAGTGGTTCTACACTGTTTGTAAGAGGTTTTACATGTAGGAAATATATAGCCACTGGTATCGAAAGGTGTACAATTTTATTAACTTATATTTTGAATATTATACTAAATAGCAATGTGGCATTTATTTGATTTTATATACTAATATAAAAATAAGTGTATTCTGGTAGTTAATCATTTTGATATTTTGTAGCTTAGATTCAATTTTGGGTGGAGGTATTTCTATTGGATATATTTCTGAGATATATGGCCTGGCTTGCTGTGGAAAAACTCAATTATGTACACAGTTAGCTATTAACAGTGTTAAAGATTTTAACAATACAGTTCTTTATATTGATACTAAAGGGGATTTTTCTGCAGTTAGAGTACAAAAAATTCTAGAAGGAAATGGTTTTTCCCATAAGGTAAAAAACTTGTCTTTTATATATTGAAATTTAAAAAATAAAAATGGTATGCACATTCATATTTACACTACAATAATATCAATAAATTAATGAATATATATCCACTCACATCTTATCGTTGCAAATCTGTATGCTTAGCATGGCTTAAATCCATTACATATGACGAGATTGAAGAACTTTTGACCATTGTTTATTAAAGAATTTTGTATTCACACACACATATACATACACACATACACACTCACACATACATCATCATCATCTTATTGTTTTTTAGTTTTTATAAAATAGTTTAAATATTATACGGAGGCGGATGTTGATATCTGCAACGCAGTTAATACTTTTGCAGTGTCGTAGCCATTGTTGTTTACTGTATACTTATAGGAATTTGATACTAAATAAATAAATTTCATTTCATTTCATATTTTGTTTCAGGATATGGCTGCTATAATGATAAAAATAAAAGTGATACATATTTGGTCTATGGAAGATTTAATAAAATTGTTGGAAGGTCTTAAACATTTTACTTTAAAAACTGAAAAATTATCATTAATAATTATTGATTCATTGCCAAGTCTTATGTTGCAGCATTTTGGAGATAATAATAAACTTGGTATGATTAATACTATGTAAAAGTCTCTATAATCTATATATAACAATAACAATTTCAAAAGTTTATAACAAATTATTGTTAATAATTAATTTATATATTTTTATTAATCATGTTACAGGATTAACATATTTGAATAAAGTTGTAAATCTTAGTAGATTTCTTAGTAAAGAGCTGGAAATTGGCTTTGTGTGTGTTAATATTCAAACAAGATGGATTGATTCAGATGTTCGAGATTCAGATGGTAGATATTATCATGTTTATTTTAATTTAGTCTATGGTCTATTTATATATATTTTTTTGTTTCTGTTAGAAAATGAGTGCTATAAATAAACTTTATGTTATGATTCTACATTTAAAAAATATAAATAAATATTTATTTTTAGTTGAAGATCAGACCACTTCAGTTTATGACTCTGGTTATATAGAGAAAAGAAACCGTGGTCTAGGCAAGTATTGGCACCACATTCCTGCAGTACTAATTCTGATGGAAAAGAATAATTATCCTGTTACTGACAATAATGGATGTTCTATAATAAATATTACAGTGTCAAAACAGAACATCCCATATATTTCTAAAAGTTGTCAAATAAATGTTAATGTACTAGGTGTAAGCTAATAAATACATGTTATAGAGCAAAATTTTTATTTTAATACCTACATCTACATTATTATTATATTATAATAAACTGTCAAATATATTAGGTCCTTATAACAAGTAAATGAAAAATTCTAGAGTGAACAAATTGTTGGAAACTTTTAGTTTAGAAAGCAGTTGGATAAAAAATGACAATTAGGATTTTCTCCTTAGGAAATAGCCATGTAATAGGTCTCAAGTCAAGGGGCAATTTCGATATTAATTAGTAAAATCAATAATTATAAGTATACTTTAGAAAAGCAGAAAATAAATTATTATATTTTGAATATAATTTTAATATATTTAAGAAACACATCGGTGTGAAGAAGTAATCGATAAAAAAATCGATTTGCATAAATACCGGTTAAAGTTGCAACACTAAAACGTCTTGTTTCGATTCCCAATTTTCGATTCAATTCTAATTTCATTTCATCTTTCATTTCTTCGCGCGCCTGTCAGGCGATGCGCAGTTTGCTGTGATGGCTCTTTATAATACTTTCGTATATTTCACATTTTTATGATATTCACGTGTCTTTGTAATTCTTATAGTTTAATTTAGTTCTAATTTATATTTATGCGTCTTAATGCGTTTAAATAAAATGGCGAATCAATCCCAGAAAATTGTGTATAAGCTGGTACTGACTGGAGGTGAGCAATATTTTTATTATTTTGACTTAATATGTGAGAATAAATCGAGAAATTACCTAAAAAATAATTACAGAAAGTGTTTTTAATTCTTACACTTGCTTTCCACAATAAATGTAATAGCATCATAATAATTAACATTTCTTTTGCACGTGGAGACTTGGCACCGTTTTCACATAGTATATATTACACTCTTTAACCTAACAGGGCCTTGCGGCGGTAAAACTACTGGACAATCCCGACTTAGCACATTCTTCGAAAACTTGGGATGGAAGGTAAATAAAAATTATCATATTTATTTAAAATCAACTTGTATTCAAAAGTGTATAGTAATGTTCCATATTATTTATTTAGTAATCGACTAAACTCTTATGATCCTATGTTTATATTAACAAAAGTAATTATAATATTAAATTCTGCCAAATAACATCTAATAATATCTATATAAAATTTGTGACATATTTCTTAAATCTTGTATGCATAAGCTGTTAGGAAAAACTCCTTCTTTAAATAAATAAAAAAATTGTTGTGGTTCATATCTCGTATGGTTTCTCCGTAAGGAGATCCAATAAAACATTGTTCCACATTGTGTTTATTTACAGGTGTTCCGGGTGCCGGAAACGGCTACCGTCCTCTTAAGGTACGAAATGCAACATACACACTCATTGAGTGCATGTTGCATATCAATCATTTCCAAAAAATATAGTTAGGATTTTATTATATTATATATTGTGACACTAAATATAAAAATGATTCATTATAAATTTATTTGCTAATTTCTTATTACTCCATAAATGTTGTAAAATCTCCCAAAAAAAATGTATAAAAAATTACTCATCTCAAAATTTTGGGAATGACATCTTTTGAAAACAAACTGTCCAGGTTTGTTTTAGCAAAATTAATGGTTATGACTATTTTATGTTGTTTTTATGTAAGTATTATGGTTCTCAGTATGGGGTCAAATAAAAATGATATATTATAAAATGAAGTAATACAGATAGTTATATCAATAAAATTGTCATATATTTTTTATTTCAGTGGTGGCATCAAGTTCGCAGATCTCAGCCCAGATGAAGGTAAGAAAATAAATTACAATTAATGCTCATCCTGAAAGATATTCTTTTTTAATTGTTATAGACATGGTCTCCCTATTCTCCCATTATAGAACATTATAGAATTAATTTATGATATTCAAGAGCTATTATTGAACATTGAATATTTTGTTATATAATACAAAACTAAATTATTATTTTATTTATGAATATTTTGAATTATTAAAATATTTTAGGATATTAGAGAGAGGTAAATGACATTGCTGTCAGTAGATGTTCCAAACGAAGCTTGCCAATAATCTGAACATGTGAGTTTTCACGCCATTGTGCCGCAAGAATAGTCTGTTTATTTTTCTTCTCCGTCTATATCTCACTATGTTACCTTGAAACGGTTTCGCTTTTGTTATTTTAATAGCAGTAAATTTTCTTTTTTTAAATAACAATGAAAATTTATCGTCAGTTTATTTAGCTATTATGCGATAAATTTAATGCGTATGATTATTTTTTAATTAGAATTTGTAAAGAGCAATGGAATTTTAATATAAGGTTAGCTATTCTTTGTATATCGTAGTTCTTCTTCGTTAGGTAAGCAATTAGAATGAAGTACCAAACATTTACTATGTTGAAATCCCATAAGTACTGTGTATTTCTTTAAAAAACAAAACGGATTCGTTAATACTTTGTTTATAATGCAATTAGATAAATTATGTTTGATATTTATTATTTGTATCATTCCATGATTAAATGTAATCCTTTTAATTTTTTTTATTACTGAAGTTTTTTATTACTAGGATATTTGAAGACATCAATAAAAACTGCAATATAGATAATACTTTAAAGATACAAAGATATTATTTATTTGTTAATATTAGTATTGTGAGCTTGATTTTATAAATATATAAAAATAGATTCATTGTGAAAATATCTTTTAGACACGCCTACCTAATGATTGAATCGCATTACGCGTAAGGTAGGTCACAAAGGTTTTCATTGCCAAGTTCGAATCGCTATGCAAAAGTGATTTATGGTGGACGTATTTTTTAATATATTACCTTATAAAAGTATAAATTATAGCTGTTCACAAGAAACAAATAAGTGGCCAAAACAAAATAGAATTATTGCTGTTGTATCTTACACGATACGTAATAGACTAAAGTCTATTTGCCTATGTCTAGTAGAGTGTCGTGTATTATCCATCATATATTTTGTCATTTTGCTTTTGACGAGCGATGATAATCATAAATTGTGTAATTTATACAGAAATTATAGTCCAGTTTCATCGTAAATTATCTGAGAATTGTTATATAATCTTGCAAATTATATTGTTGTCGTCACAATTTACGAGGCTGTGTCCCGGTCGACTTCGTCACGTGCAACGTTTATTTTCGTTTCAGTAAGCCAGCTTTCTGTTATTGCTAACTAATGGAAGCTTTATAGTTACGTGTATATTTATATATCTACGTCGTGAACATGCTAGGATGAGCGGGTGATATTATTTCAATAGCAAAGTACTATGAAAGCTACTTGCCATGAGTCATTTATAGAACCTACTGCGCATATTGTAATTTATTTATTATTATATATAACTTATTAAAAATAATAATAGTATAAAACAATCATAATTACAGTTTAAATAGGGAATTGTATGTAGCTAAAATAGTTGGCATCCTTGCTCTACTTCATAAAGACTTTGTCGGTTGAGTTTGTCCTCTTATTCTTTCTACTTATTTTCTTACCGACAAATAGAGCTACTGCCACGATTATAAATCACTTTTTAACGAATTGTATGATTTATCGCGTTATAACGACATAAAATCTAATTCACCGGAAGTCAAAATTGATAGTGTCCACTTCATAAATTATACGTGATTTGCTTCTCCTTTACTCAGCGTTTTTTTATTATACATACAATAAACAACAAGTCTGACGTGGTTAATTTAATTAAGTAAGTAAAATACTACTTCGCTAGTGTTGTAATAATCTCTGAAACCTGTCCAATCCATTAGAAGCAAGGACGGTTACATGTATCCCGTTGAATTATATATTTCGTACTTACATTGTTTATAAATAGAAATTCTTGATATATATAAGGTACGTTTATGGGGCTTCACGGTTGGCCACGCAAGTTGTTCTTTGACGCAATCGGCAATCTCACGGTCACGTTCATGGCTGGATTCAAAATAAATCTAAATAGATAAAACATACAAACACTAGTCTAAAACTGAACTGCATTGTTATGCAGCGGCGTGCAGATTCCAAAGTACATTTCATGTGATGGCAAACAACAAAGAATTCGTTTTTAAACATAATATATCGTCGTATTATGAGGAAAATAAACTTTTTAATATTCTCTTCGTATAGTTTGTCTGTTTAAAAGTATTGTTTAGGAACAAAATCTATACTTATTATAAAAATAAGTCCCCCGGCCGCGTCTTTCTGTCCTCCTGTCTGTCCTCCTGTCTGTCTGTACGCGATAAACTCGAAAACTACTGAACGGATTTTTATACGGTTTTCAACAATAGAAAGAGTAATTCTTGAGGAAGGTTTAGGTATATAATTTATTATGCTTTTATGTAAATTAGCTGAAATACGGCGACAAATGTTGAAGAGGTCGCAAAAAATCTCGCCAAATGGGAACTTTCCACGCGAACGCCGCGTAAACTAGCAAAGATACAGTTAAGTAATGTACTAGAGAATTCAAAATCTATAAAAATGCTACAAAAAAGTCCGCGATAGCATATCTCTATCTCTTACGGTTGACTTACAATAACCACTTTTATGTTAACATTTTTAATTAAAAACATTACGTTATTTTCAAAGTTATTTTCTTTAGTTCGGTATTAATCCTTATCCAAATGAATATTTTAGTTAGCTTAGTCATTTAATGCAGATTAAAATTGCTCTTTACACTAAATCAATCAGATGAATAGTTTTTGAGATATCGTTGTTAGAAGTAATTAGTAGCGAAACATTTTTAATGCTTGGCGAGCATTGAGATGCCTACGGCGAGTCCATCCCCTCTGCCCCGCATCGCTCGACCGCCTGCTCAAGCTATATAAACCGGGCGATGTAGCGCGCGATCCTAGGATACTTTTTACCGCGGGAAAATATCTTATTTCTGAGGAAAAATACAAAAACTGCAATGTAAGAGTATACTAATATGTAACACCTAAGAATTTAGTTTTTGGTCATCTGAACGCGGGCGGAGCCGCGGGCAATGCTAGTACATATAATAAAATTCTAACAGAGTCGAATCTGTACATTGAATAATTTTTGGAAAATCTAATTGAAATAGACATTATTATCGATACAGAGTGCGAATCTATAGCTTTTTAGAATTTTTGTCTGTCTGTCTGTCTGTCTGTCTGTCTGTCTATCTGTCTGTTACCGCATCACGAAAAAACCACTGGACAGATTTTGATGAAATTTGGTATGATGGTAGCTGGTTGGTTATACGGGTCAACATATAGGATACTTTTTACCGCGGGAAAATATCTCATTTCTGAGAAAAAATACAAAAACTGTATTGTGAGAGTATACTAATATGTAAAACCTAAGAATTTGATTTTTGGTCATCTGAACGCGGGCGGAGCCGCGGGCAATGCTAGTTAATATAATAAATGTGAAAGTTTGTGAGTATGGTTGTTTGTTACTCTTTCACGCCAGAACGGATTAACGGATCTGGATGAGATTCGGCACAGAGATTAGATATGGCATAGAGATTTTTATCCCGGAAAAATGTATGGTTTCCGTGGGATAGGTTGGTTTTTGTTTTCCTAGAGGAGAAACCGAGCGAAGCGATAAGCCGCTATTTAACTATAAGTAAAATAGAAATTGAGCTTAAAGAAAACTCTCGTTCGTTTGTTATCATGTGTGAATTATTAAACACTCGTTGGTAGCTACGCATTGGACAACACCAAGACGATTGGTTAATTTAATGATCAATAGCAGTGTTTTCATTTAAATAACAAGTTCCATAATATCGAACAGACTCGAATAAACTGACTATAACTTGATTATCTACCGGTGTTTGATTGTCTTCGTCATAATATGACGATACCATTGTTAACATTCATCTGGTGCAAACAAGATGACGGCAGTTGTCTGTGTTTTTATTCTGTTTAGTTGGTATAGAATCGTGATCTTCTCTTTTAATGAAAGATTTATCGTATCTTCTAAATAATCACAAGTCTAATGATAAGAGCCAACTGTTTTGGTGAAAAATACATAGACGTTACGTCAATCGTGATAATAAACATTGCTCTATATTTCTTTATACTTTAGGTATGTTGTGTTATGTGTTCACGTCGGTTTTGTGTACGCATAATTTAGTATTTGTTTAACTATGTTATAAAAGACGTCATCTGAATTAGGTATACCTACTTACTTTACAGAAAAATTATAATAGAAATAAAGATCCATCGAATATCATGCCATGCGTCGAATTTGTTTTAATCTTTACCTACCATAGAAACCTTGTTCTGATTTCTGTTTTAAAATAATTTCATAATATTACATTGTTAAAATATAGATCAAGTATATAACGTGACAACATTTTAATCGGTATGATGCAAAATTACGTTGTTATAGCAAAAAGCCCAATAATTGTCCCCGATGATAAATGTCGGGGTCACTGCAAAAGGTGCACTGCCGCCGCTATGGCTCAAGCGAGGCAAGGTGACTCTGGTGAGTTTCCACCGTAGTCTCGCTAAAGGAAAATCGATTAGTGCTAATACACCTGTCGCGACGACACTTCCTGATAACATATTGTTTCGGCCCACTCATTAATATTATCATCCGCTCATCATCATTAGGCACGTTGTGATGAGAATAGATACTACAGGTCTTTAACCTTTTTTTTTAATTGGAACATAATAGCTAGTTTTATCGTCAACCAATTAAGACTAAATTATTTTATCTCATATACGGCCATTTTATTTTTATCTCCTTAAATGTTATTATTAGCCTTTTCATTACGTTTCATTCCAAAATTAATGAAGTGATTAAATGAGTTTTGCAAACTTTAGATATATATTCATTCATACAAAGTAGGTGTTTCTAGCGTTGACGTCACGTCCGACATGTGGATAATGTCTATTCAAAATTACCAACCAATATTTGTATGTTATTTTTAGTTGCAAAGTTTCAAATGAATTTTCTTACAATTAGACTGTATGAGTGTTAAGTATTTACTTAATTTATGAGTTTTGTTGAGTTTGGATAAATGTAAAAAGCTAAAATTTTTATTACAAATTCACTGCCAACTCAGTCTTATGAGAAATATTAGTATCGTGTAATTTGTCATTTGACTTCGGATAATGAAAACCATGTCGTCATTGTAGACAGAAGTCACGCGATATGCAAATTAAAAGAAAGAATATTTTCCAAATTACTTTGAAAATATTATATTTGTACGGCTATTTTGGATGGAGAAAGGAAATGACGTACATGAACCGAACATCTCTAAACATTGTAAACAAATTATAAGTTCTTTCTGTACCGAGTTCTTAATATTAGATTTTTTTATCAGTAGGTACCTGGCATAATTATTATTAGGAATCATTCAGTGTAGGCATGATTTGTTATCTATACATAATAATAATAATTAATAAAACTGTAGAGAAAGAATGTCTGTACATAGAAAAAAAATATGCTAAAAACCGAGTCAGGGGGGTAAGAAAAGAAATAGAACAAATCCAGATTTTTTCAATTTTTTTATTTCTCTGTCTGTTTGTACGAGCTAATCTCCGAAACTGTTATACCGATTTAAATGAAATTTGCATGGTGGTACCTTATATCCCCGTTCAACATCTTAGATACTTTTCATTCCGGAAAATTAAAGAGTTCCCGGGAATAGTTAAAATCGATAGTAACTTATACAGCTTAGTACACAAAAACTACTGATATGATACTGATTGGATTTTAATAAAACTTTACAATAATATAGTTCATACGCCAGAATAACAATTAGGCTACTTTTTATCCCGGAAAAATTTACGGTTCCCGTGGGATAAAATTGTTATTGTATGTCTAGAGGCAAACCCGAGCGAAGCGAGAGTGAGCCGCTAGTTAAAAATAAAGTTTCATTTTTTTTTATTTTCTGTTACAAAAATGCTATCAGACATTTTTTTGTATAATATATCAGTCGCTATTAGCAAGATATTTCCAGTTTGGTCAACTGATAAGATGTGACCCCATACCTATAAACTTTTTTACAGTTAGCCGGCTACTGCTATAATGAAAACAAATAAATATGACCCAATTAAAAGTAATATATTTCTTGATTTCAAATTTCAATTACCCAATTTTAATGAGACTGTTATTCTTATTAGTATTTTCTCATATTATAGAATGAAATGAGTATAATACGTTTAACTTTGAAGAACTTTTTATCTAAACCTAAAGTTATTATACTGGCCCCTAATTCTTTTATCCAACGGTGATCTCGTTAAACTTTTACAGCGCTTCGTCCTTGAATTGAAAGTCATGTCTTTGACCTATCGGAATTAAATTATCATAAAGAATGAGTTACCATCAAAGAGGTTGTGTTCTATCAATACAGAGTTCATTTTACTTGTTTGGAAATCATTGGCTATATCTTGATTATTCTATATTGACCTAGTTAGTACTAGTTCTATGTTTTTAAACCCCGACGCAAAAACGATGGGGTGTTATAAGTTTGACGTGTATGTGTGTGTGTGTCTGTCGGTGGCATCGTAGCTCTCGAACGGATGAACTGATTTTGATTGTTTTTTTTTTGAAAGATGAATTAGTCGGTAGTGTTCTTAGCTATGTTTGATGAAAATCGGTCCAAGATGGTCGGGGGCTTTTAAAATTTATAATTTAATTTAGTTATAATTAATAATTATTATACTTTTGCTATTAAAAATACTACAATCAGTTCAGGAAATAAAGTAACATATATTTTTAGGAATGTTGTATACGTATTTATTTAGATGTTTCAATTCAAACCGGAATAAATCGGATCGACTTACGATTAGATCCCGCGTGAGGCTCTGTTTACGTTATATTATCTAGCTGTTAGAGCGTTAAACCAGCAATCATAACAACCCACCACAGCCTTATCAAGTTCACGGCTAGTTCCTCTTTATCGTCCGCTGTCGCTCTATAAGTAAATTCTAATACATATGCATTATGCATAGTCAATCTATACATATAATAAAATTGTAACTAAGCCGAATCTGTACATTAAATATTGTTTGGAAAATCTTATTGAAATAGACTTTATTATCGATACAGAGGCCGAATCTATAATTTTTAGAATTTTTGTCTGTCTGTCTGTTACCGCATCACGGGAAAACCACTGGATAGATTTTGATGAAATTTGGCATGGTTATCTGGTTATCCGGGTCAACATATAGGATACTTTTTACTGCGGGCAAATATGTTATTTCTGAGAAAAAATACAAAAACTGCATTGTAAGAGTGTACTAATATGTTAAACCTAAGAATTTGGTTTTTGGTCATCTTGACACGGGTGGAGCCGCGGGCAATGCTAGTTAGTTATATAACTTAATACTTATAAATATTAACCATGGAGTGCAATTAAATATATTGTATCTATGTATGTATATAATCATTGGATGTTATTCAAAACGGCATCGAAACAAACCGTTGACATTAATTTGCAGACATTAGTTGTTTGGATATATCAGACTGTTGATAACCTCTTAATATAAATTTGAAATTATCTTCGAAGTACTTTACAATTATGTAATACCTAATGTAGTATATAAGGCACTAATATAACCACATGCAGTTGTAACAATGGAAAAAGACGTAAAACTGGTTTAGTGGCGGTTTTATTACTTTTTTTCCTACGTGTCTATTGTTATGGTGTACCTATGGTTTGTAAGTTGTAAAAACAAATAACATTTAAATAGAGATCAGTGGGTGATTGAACTTTAAGTTAGTGCGTTGGTAATGGAGATAGCTCTGAATTTATATGTAGACGTTTTAATTTTTATGAATGCAACGGCTAAAACTTATTTATTAAAAATTGCATCTATACATATAATAACATTCTTCGTAAGCTGAATCTGTGCATTTTTTTATCATGTCATTATTATCAATACAGATGCCGAATCTATAGTTTTTAGAATTTTTATCGGTGTTTCTGTCTGTGACCGCATCACGAAGAAACTACTGGACAGATTTTGATGAAATTCGGTATGATGATAGCTGGTTATCTGGGTTAACATATAGAATACTTTTTACTGCGGGAAAATATCTCTACTCTGAGCTAAACGTTAAAACGTAACTAGGAACGAACGATTATAATATTATGTTTTCTTTAATAAAAATATTTTTATTTTATGTTATGTATTATTAGTATGCTTATACAAAAATACTGATTGAAATAATGATATTGCCGTTCTACAATAAAATAGTATATTAAAGCAATCATGTAAAAATTTTCATTAACATAATGGATAAACAACTAAATTTTCCTGATATAAAACTATTTTACACTTGACTGCCTTCATCGTTAATGACCAATGTTTTAGTACCTTCGACATCTTTTTAATTTATTTTTTACCTGTCCTAACTTCCGCGATGACTCAAATTCCTGCGCGGTTAAATGCGCAAAATATGAATTATTATGAATGGATAGACATGAACGGTGATTATTGGCACTCTGAAAATAAAATTAAAATAGAGCGAGACCTGTAGTCACGGTCACTAACGCAGTGACGGCATTCGTAGCGACTAAGACCTAAAACCTGTATTAGTGACTAAATAAATGACGCACTAAGACGTTGACCCCATATTATAATAGTTTAACTGCCTCGGTTGTGAAGTGGCTAGCATGTACGGCTGCACATCCGGAGGTCCGGGATTCGAGTTCCGGGTCGGGCCAAGTTTAGTTATTGAGTCTTTTTGTATAGTAAGCCTCAGTAACAGCCCAGAGTTGGGAAGTTGGCGGTGTTTCACCCCCGTGCTTCGGAGAGCACATAAAGCCGTCGGTCCTGCGCCCTCTCACCGGTCGTGTCGAGTGGTCGTCCCACCGGATTATAATGAGAGTGACAGAAATAGAGAGTGCGCGTACACTTGTGAACTATAATATCTCCTGCGCAGATGGCTAGTCTCAATGATATTGACCGCCGTGGCCGGAATCGGTCAGAAAGACGTCATAATAGTCTCAAACTTCAGCCTTTTATAGTTTTTTTTACTTAAGTACATAATAGGTACAATTCTGAAAGGTTTCACAATAGCTGCAACCGGATATTGTTGCGCTGATGTAAAACAATAATCGTATCGACTTACTGTAACAGGATAAGTCTAGAATTTTGATAAATATATCAGACAGTGCACTAGTAACAGTACACAATATGAATAGAATTGCAAGTGTTGGTTAGTTCGACATGTTTTAAAATTTTCAAATACTAATAAAATGTTTATTATATATTTGATAATTATAGTACGTCTCGGTCGGAAATCCTCATGTAAATATTAAAGATGGAAAGTATGTCACTAATCAGTATTGAACCTTTTTTTCGTATGTATTTATATTACAGCTGTTGTATAATGAATACCTTTATATTTTCAGTTTTAAACTTTACGACGTTAACATTTTTGAGTTATCAGCAATATATGTATGTAATCTATACATATAATAAAATTGTAAGTAAGCCGAATCTGTACATTAAATATTTTTTGGAAAATCTTATTGAAATAGACATTATTATCGATACATAGGCCGAATCTATAGTTTTTATAATTTTTGTGTCTGTCTGTCTGTTACCGCATCACAGAAAAACCACTGGAGGGATTTTAATGAAATTTGCTATGATGATAGCTGGTTATCCGGGCCAATATATAGGATACTTTTTACCGCAGGAAAATATCTCATTTCTGAGAAAAAATACAAAAACTGCAATGTAAGAGTATACTAATATGTAAAACCTAAGAATTTGGTTTTTGGTCAACTGAACGCGGGCGGAGCAGCGGGCAATGCTAGTTATATATATAATAATATACCTACGTAAACGTTACGAAATTATAAGTATAAAAATTTCGTTGTATTATTAACTTTGAGCTCAGCACTGCCTTATAAGTACATACCGTTGAATACGTATAATGTATATTATCATAAAAAAACTTTTTAACAAAAAAATAAAAACCGACTTCAAACAAAAGCACTAAAAAGTAAAAAATAACTGATTGGTAGTTTTCATTTACTATACATACCTAATCAAATATTTTCGAAGTCGGTGCGTTTTGCTTTGTATGGGCTGGCGCCGATTTCGAAAATATTTGATTAGGTATGTATTTAATAGGTAGGCTTTAATTACTTAGCCAAAGCACACCGACTTCGAAAATATTTGATTAGGTATGTATAGTAAATGAAAACTACCAATCAGTTATTTTTTACTTTTTAGTGCTTTTGTTTGAACTCGGTTTTTATTTTTTTGATAAAAAGTTTTTATTTCTCCCTTTTTAGTGTAGACAATAGTAGCGAAGTAAGGATTCTAACGTGTTAGGCTTGTCAAATCAAACAAAATAAGCCCAAACTCAAAGTATCTACTATTAGCCGTTGAAGAGTTCCACCTATCCACCTTCTGGCCTTGCCATCAGATCAGGTCAACAACACCGAACCACTGTACTATCAACGGAAATAGAAATACTTGCAAAGTTTCAAGTCAATATGACAATTAGAAGTAGGTTAAATTCATCATTAGTTGTTTTTCCACCCTTAGGGGTGGTATTTTTTTTTTGAAATTTAAATGGGACCAATCTGGAAGTATACCCTTTCAAACAAAACAAAAATTGTCCAAATCGGTTAATAAATGACGGAGTTCTGAGGTAACAAACATAAAAAAAAAAAACATACAGTCGAATTGAGAACCTCCTCCTTTTTGAAGTCGGTTGTAAATAAAATAACATATTTTTGTATGTTACGTACGTTATTAATATATTATTCTATTTTGTATTAAGTAAAGAGTATTTCATATACTCGTATGCTATATTACATTCATTGTCGGTAAAGGTACCTATATTGAGATGAATACATACGACATCTCTGATAGATATGAAATTACACAGTATTAAAATAAATTTAGTAGGTAATTAAAATCTTCGTTGGCTTTGTTCCAAGTCTCTGGCAATATATGCAAAATAAGTTGGAGTCCATTATTCCTACCGAGTAGCTTAGTTTAGTGCTCGACTGATCGCTAAATATGGTGCAATTCTGTGTCATCTTGTTTCATGTACCTAGTGACTACATGCTTCCATATATGTATACTGCGATATATGATCATGTTTATTATAAAAAGTTTTATATTACAATAATGCATTAACTTTTCCATGTATATCTATAAATTATAATGTTAATTCCATTCGAATGTAATATGTTGAAGTAATACATATTCATGATTACGAGCTCTCTCTCTTTTATTTTCTTATTATCTAAAACTGGTGAAATTTTATTGTTACAGCGATAAAGTTCCAGGAGAATTTGCTGAAGACCATGATTCAAATAGAAAACACATTCTTCGAACTGGGGCGAACATGTCAACGGAACTGTCTCATTATATGCGATCGAGGAGCCATGGACGCTAGTGCATGTGAGTTTACGTATATTATCTATCACTGCGAAATTGTACAAATCTATACATATAATAAAATTGAAACTCAGCCGAATCTGTACATTAAATATTTTTTGGAAAATCTAATTGAAATAGACATTATTATCGATACAGAGTCCGAATCTATAGTTTTTAGAATTTTCGTCTGTCTGTTACCGCATCACGAGAAAACCACTAGACAGATTTTGATGAAATTTGGTATGATGATAGCTGGTTTTCCGGGTCAACATATAGGATACTTTTTACCGCGGGAAAAATTTCTAAGAAAAAGTACAAAAACTGCATTGTCAGCGTATTTTAATAATATGTAAAACCTAAAAATTTGGTTTTTGGTTATCTGAACGCGGGCAGAGCCGCGGGCAATGCTAGTCTTTTATACGATAGGTAGTAAAATTTTAATGTTTTTCCCCTTTATTACATTGTGGGTTTTGTTAAAATGCAGATAAATTTTATTATAACACAGCTGACTTGTGTGTCTGTGATAAACAACGAAACGACGACGAAATTTGCATAACTGTTTTCCCGATAACTACCTGTCATACATAAATGTCGATTGTAAACAAGTAATTTTCCACTAATATACATATCCCAATTGATGACAATGGATGTTTTATGGTATGGAGTCAAAGCATCAATTACAAAATTGAAATGGATTTTAAAATGTCAACAAATGAAATTTTTCATTGAAGGCCTGTATGGATGAAGTTGAAGTGAATTTGAAGCCATATTTAATACGAATGATACGTTTGAAAGCATTTTCTTTTTCTCCATGTTATCCAACATACTAATATGTTGACCCATTATAGTGTCGTACACATCCTGATTTACGCAAAATTCTAATAGATATTTTAAAAACATTTCGTCGAATCCCTTCCTCTATGGAATGTTCCTATTGTTTGTTTCTTGTAAATTATGTTTACAGGTGATTGATACAATAATACTTCGCAAGAAAATACGCATAAAACAAATTTTGTACAATTTTAGTGAAAAATACATACAATCTGGGAATTAAATATTATATAACATACCCTTACCGCTCTTACGTCTTTAATTTGGGCGTAATGATTTTATGTATAATCGTGACGGACAGCTTATTTTTAATCCTGACAAATAATCTTTTATTAGATATCTATTATCACGAACTACTTTATACTTTACATTAGTGATTTTACATTAGGGACAACCGAATGAAGTGAGTATGCTCACACTAGTTGCCTAATAAATACTGCACACGCACACACAATCACACACGCACACAACTTACACATTTATAAATTATAATAGTATTCCAATCTTAATTTTCTACGATAACAAGTTTCTTATCAACATTCCTATAGTAGACAGAGACATATAGGCACATGACATATCATGCTTTATTTTATAATCTTATTTGTATGAATATATGCGAAGTCACGTGGTTTTGATAGTAGTAAAAATATCACACTGTTATCATCAATGCAAAAGTTTGTGTGTCTGTCTGCCTTTTTTCTTCACATATTTTGTAAACGCTCTGTTTAGCAAAAATCATTTCAAAATTTGATTTAATTCCGTTGATTTGATAAAATTTTAAAAGGATATCTCATGCGTTATGTAATGATACTCATAGCATTAACACAGACCTGTCCTTTTCATAGATCTACGTCGTACCTATCCCGCGAAGACGCGAGCACATTCTAGTAATGTAAAAATTCTAATTCAGATCGTGCTGCAAAACCTTTTAATATTATTATGAAATGTTATTAGCTAAATGGTAGAACGATAAAGTTGTTTACAATTTAGATCCATAACAAAATAGTGTAATAGCTTTTTGTGTTTTAGCTCTTAAGAAAATTAAGTGTTCACATGAATCGATTTTTGTTATACTTTTTGTTCAATGCGAGTAAATTTCTATTTTGAATATTAAGACATTAACTGAGAAGCGACCTTTCTTGTTATGGGTATTCTGCTCAAGTACAAGTTTAGATAATAGTGACAGCTCGTTGGCAACGCCCTCGCTTAAAAAAAAACTAACTGAAGCGGATTTAAACCAGGGTCTCGCAATCTCTCCTTGAGATTAGAATGTTTAGAATGTGTAAATTTAATTTTCAACACTTGTAAATTCGGTAAAGAAGTTATCATTAGGAAATTTGCATTTATATTCAGCCCTTTTTTTTACGTACCACTGCTGAGAACGAGCCTTCCTCCAATACAAGGGGAATCAGGCCATGGACCACCATGCTGGCAAATGCGTGTTGGCGGACTTCACATGCCTTTCGAAAACTTGTTAGATTCTCTCAGTCATGCAGGTTTCCTCACAACGTTTTCCTTCACTGTAAGGCAAGTGGTAATCATGTTAGAAATTATTCGCACATGAAAATATCAGAGGTGCGAGGAGACCTGGGATTAGAACCCGCTTCACTCAATTTCCCAAGCGAACGCGTTGGGATGCCACTGCCTTGCAATTTGCATATATTAAATAATAATTAAAATTAGATACCTAAAGATATATGAGAACTCAATATTTTTTAAAGGAGCGTTAAGTTCACTAATGCGTATGTGGTCAGCGTGAGCTATGATTTGATTCCTTTCGCTTTTAGGTGAAGTCCAACAGTGGGAAATCCAAACAGCTAAATTATATATATTGTTGAAGATGTTTTAAAAAATCACAAACAGATATCTAGCAGTGTAGTGTGGCTCACGGTATCTACTTATGTAAAACCTAAAAGTTAGTAATAAACAAGACTTGGAACATAAAGGTTGTCTCATTTAATAACATCGTTACAGCAGACTTTAGAAGATTTATTAGTGTATAACGATTTATTTAGAGATTTTTTCTTGTTGTAGTTATATCTAAGGAGAAGTGGGAGGCGATGCTTGTCGCTAACAACTGGCACAGTGTGGAGCTGCGAGACAACAGATACAATCACATCGTGCACATGGTCTCTGCGGCAAATGGCGCGGAAGACTTTTACTCCACTGAAGTAAGTTAATAATTAATATTTCCCCTATCTTCCTTGGGGAGAACGTAGCAGCGTTTATTATCTGTTATAAACAGAATAAATTTATTATAAAATATTGGCGCTTTGCACTCGCTTCGTATTGGCCCTCTACACCTTATGCCGATAGTCGTAAAAAAACTTTTACACAAACTACAAACTTTCATCGAAAATCTGCTAGTAAAGGTGCGATTAAATAGCTGCTTATATTATTTGTCATGCGAAAGCGCTTTTTTCAGGGCAAAATGTATCTTATGTCACTCTTGCCGCAATATTCTATCCAAGAGTCATACGTCACAGGCAGCTTTTTAACAGTTGTATGGACTTTATTGTATTGTGTTACTATTTGTCATAAAATTTACTGGCCTGGAACTAAATTTATTGGCGGATCTCCTGCAAATTAGCGTCAGTCAGATTGAAGCCAAACAGCGCTTATTTGCTAATCTACTACTATACCATACTATTACTATACTTTTAAATAAAACTATCTTTTCGTATTATTTTGCGGTTTTTTTTTTGATTTTTGGTTCCCGACCTTTCGAATGCTTTACACCAATCATGGTCACGGAAAAGATTAAGGTTTTAGACGTCTCAAAGGCATTATATACTTGTTACAGACAGTAACTAATGCTACAAGAACCTAAAATCAAAATAAATCCGCGACATAATACGAAAAGATAGTTTTAATTAAAATGTCAAATATTCGCGTAAATCTAAGAAAGTACCTATTAATATACTATTTACAAAGCAAAGTTGCTGTTATTTTAATAAAAAAAAAAAAACAATTTGCTTTATTTTATATCTCTATAATTGATTTAATTATAACAAGTAAATTAAATCTAAATGTTTCAAGTGTAAATACTCGATAAAAGTAGAACTTGAAGTAAGGCACGGTTACGTCGAGCGTATTTAAAAACCTCTTAATTAATTTTATGATATAAATTATAACTTCAATGACTACTCTTGCTATAATTGTCGGATATAAACAAACATGTGTACTTTGATAGCAACAGAAAGGCTGTGTAAGATCGTGTGACGCATTAACTGAGTAGTAATACCGATACCTTTTGATCCCAATCACTTAATCTATACATATAATAAAATTGTAACCAAGCCGAATCTGTACATTAAATATTTTTTGGAAAATCTTATTGAAATAAACATTATTATCTAGTTTTTAGATTTTTGTGTCTGTCTGTCTATCTGTCTGTTACCGCATCACAGAAAAACCACTGGAGGTATTTTGGTAAAATTTTGTTTGGTATAGCTGGTTAGCGGGGTCAACATATAGGATACTTTTTACCGCGGGAAAATATCTCATTTCTGAGAAAAAAATGCAAAAACTGCAATGTAAAAAAGTATAGGTAATAATCTGTAATACCTAAGAGTTTGAGTTTTGGTTACCTGAACGCGGGCGAAGCCACGGGCAATGCTTGTATATACTAATATTATAAAGAGATAAAGTTTGTGAATTTGTGACGTTATAGGGGGTAATCTCCGGATCTACTGAACCGATTTAGATCAAATTTGGTAAGAAGATAGTTTGAAACCCTGGGAAGGACATAGGATACTTTTTATCCCGGAAATCATCCTTAAAATGGTGAAAATGGGGATGAAAGTTTGTATTGGGAAGCAAGGTAGGGCCAAACCCGAGCGAAGTATAGTGATTTGTTTTCCTTTATGTACTACCTTTATTATATTAATGCTTTATGGACCTAGTAGCGAATTCTTGATTCAGTCGGATTCATCCCGAGGTGTTTTTTGCGACTTGTTACAAAAATATCTTTTCGTTATATATTATATTATGTATTCGTCTTTGCACACCAATTATTAGGTTTTTTTTTTTTTAATTTAAATCACTTGCCTCGAGTGTCTAAATATAACCTCTTAAGTGTGGGTTTTTATTTATAAATTTAGAGATAATCGGGTATATTTACATAGATAACCTGTATAACTGTCAAATCAACGTATAAAATATATATTTATCATCCACAAAAAAAATACTAATTAGATTCTCAGACAAGCAGGTTACCTCGCGATGTTTTCCTACATCGTATTAGGAAGTGATAATCCTGTTAAAAACGAGATTCGGGCATGGAAATTTTGTTAATGTGAGACCCAGGGTTTGAACCTGCTACAAGTTTTCCAACCGAAGGTTTTCTATTTTCATAACAAGTCATAATTATTTTACGTTCACAAAGCATAAATTGTCTGGATGTGTAGTCACCAGTGACATCTAACCACCATATTTGTTTAAATCAATACTAATATTATAAATGTGAGTGTGTTTGTTTGTTTGTCCTTCTTTCACATCGAAACGGAGAGACGGATTTGCGTGATTTTTGTGTGGAGATAGTTGGAGGGCTGGAGAGTGACATAGGCTATTTTTAACCGCGGGAGAATACCTAATTCCCACGGGAAAACACCTTATAATACTCCGTAATAAATCCCAAAAATATTTATGATCAAAATTACTTGAAACTAGGTATTAATGCTCTTCAATACAATTAATTATATACGTGTTTGAGCATTTTTCGAAATTAATCCTACAAGGGGGTAAAATAGCAGATAAAAGTTTGTATGAAACCTACCATTTTAGAGTTTTTTTGTAGTTTTAGCGCGAGCGAAGCCGTATGTTCTGCTAGTCTTTATAATAAATATCTCTTCAGTAAATTCTGGAAAACATTGTATTCCAAATAAACTCGTATGATAGAAAACGTGACTCAACTCTACAATTAGATATATATATCTACTCAATGGTATGTGCTGATTACTATGTTGGCATTTATATAATGCATCGGTACCTACATTATATAATATACATATTATGTATATTATAATAGAAAATAATCTCAAGTATATTATTATTGCATAGCACTATACTACAGAATAATATTATATGTATATTATTATACAATTTCATTTCTAAATAATACTATCCATACTTGATGTTATAAATGTGAAAGTGTGTTTGTTTGTTTGTCCTTCATTCACGTCGAAACAGAGTGACAGATTGGCGCGAATTTTAGTGTGGAGATTGTTGGAAGGCTGGAGAGTGACTTAGACCTCTTTTTATCGAGGGATTATTTCATTCCCATGAGAAAACACGTTATAATACAACCAAGAAGAACATATCATACCTATGTATGTATAATAATATAGTGGATCTATTCCATACTAACCGTTAAAACACACCTAGGGACGAACCCGAGCGAAGTGAGAGTGAGTGTCTAGTAAATTGTAAAATTCAAGAAGTCACCAAAAAAAGTTCTATAACCTTGGAAACAATAAAGTATGTCATAACCTAGTTCTGACTTGTGTCTCTTTGATGTTTGGTAAAACAATAATATATCAGAGGAGAGTTATCGCGAAGATGGATATATTTATAGAGCTTAGTATTATCTAGCAGCTCGCTTGACGCACTGGCCACGTGCCAACGTAATATCCAATATTACTATCAGACACATGACCATCAACAAATGATTGATACGTGGGAAATATTTTTTATATACATATATTGAGATTTCGTTTGTAGATTGAAGTCATAATATGAGAAAACTAAATATAAGTTACGTGAATGAATAATAAACTGGTAAGGTGGAATGTTTATAAGTTTATGTTTATACCGCGGTTTGGTCCTTGTTGAATAATGGAAATTAAAATATCAAGTTACTTTAAACTCATCGATAATATACACGTAATAGTTTCTAATGGGAACCATTTTCTGGCATATAAGCCTTTGTTCGTTTTCCTGAACATGAACTATCTCTAAAACTGTATTAAAAAAACAACCGTTTTTTAATTTTATTAATGTAAATGAGTTTCTGCCTGAGTAGTACACCGATTTCGATTTTATTTACGTTGCATACATTAGATACTATATTTTTGACTTACTTAACATTTTTATCTCATTTCATTAACTACTTATATTCTATAAAGTTAATAAATATTCAGCTCGTCTGAAAATTATAACATCGACCTTCAATTTATAGATATTGTCAGTGCAGCTGTACCTAATGACATTTGCATTCTAAATATTCTATATTAATATTTAAATTATTTTCTATTGGCAACTAATGTGCCATGCACAAGCTTAGATAAAAAATATAAGAGCGAATATATTTATACGTTTAATTCTTCAACAGGACCACGCCTGTCGCTCGGAGGGCGTGGAGATGGCGCGGGAGCTGGACTACAACGCGGCGGCGGCGTGGATCGGCCACCCGTACTTTGATGTCATCGACAACTCGACGGACTTCGACAAGAAGATGAACCGGCTGATAGCGTGCGTGTGCCAGCGCGTCGGCATCGACACCGGCGACCGCCTCAACGTCAACTCGAAGAAGCGCAAGTTCCTTGTCAAGTCCCCCCTGCTGCCCGACGGGGAGTTCCCCGCGTTCCAGGACTTCGACGTGGTGCACAACTACCTGCAGAGCGACTTCCGCAAGGCGCAGGTGCGGCTGCGCAAGCGCGGGCAGAAGGGCCACTGGTCGTACATCCACACGGTGCGCAAGTTCCACCCCACCAACGGGCAGTCCGTGGAGGTGCGCACGCAGCTCACGCACCGCGACTACCTCAACATGCTGCCGCAGCGCGACGACGCGCACTTCACCATCTTCAAGAAGCGGCGCTGCTTCATATACAACAACCAGTACTACCAGCTCGACATTTACAGGCAGCCCACGCATCCCAGGTGACTCCTTTGTTACATATAATCATATACCTATTTATTTGCTCACTTTGATTATTTATTTATGTATATGTATGTATATATTGATAAATATATTGTTGATATGTTAACATTTTATTATTTATTTTATACCTATATCTGTTGTGTGGTGGAGGGTTTCAGGTAATTAGCTAAATAGAGATAAATTTATAATGATTATAATCGGTTATCTATACGGTGTATTTTTCAGGTGTCGTGGTCTGGTGCTGCTTGAGACGTACAGCGCTGCGTACAATCAGGACGCGCTATTAGCGTCCCTGCCAAAGTTCCTAAGCATTGAGAAAGAAGTGACGGGAGATCCGGCATACTCTATGTACAACTTGTCCTTAAAAGAGGATTGGAAAACCTCTACAAAGTATTATGCAGGCTCAGATAAGGGTTAGTGAAATTAAAGTATTCTTTTATGTTGTTAATTCCGCACAAGCCTTATAATATTTATTTCTATTTGAATTCTTCCTTCTATTAATACAATTATTATATGGGCAATTAATCTAAATTTTTTATTATTGCCTATTACTATTTAAAAATTATATAATTTTTTAAATGTGAAATACTTCTGCATGATTGGATGAAGTAATTAAACTTCTAACCGGTTTTAATATTTTTTGGAAATGAATATTATTTTTCCTATATCTTTGTGCATGTGTGTTTTATTATTTAAAGTTCTGTACGACTGGCGTAATTGTGTTCGACTCTAGAATATACAAGTTCTCCATATTAGTTGTAGATGATTTCGCTAATTATGATTAGTTGTATTATTTTAGTATGTGTTAGTTTTGTGTTAGTGTCACACTGGTGTTCTGCACTGAGCTGTGTGTATGTGCAATTAACTCCCCGTAGTCACCCTTTGTTTTATGGGATTAAAGTTGATATAAATTTCCAGATGCGAAAGCCGTCATTCTGGGACATTCGTACTCTGATATACTTACAACTGACACTTCCAGCAGTAGCAACTAATGTCGGTCAAGATTCTAACTCGAATACGGACTAACAATGTAGCTCATTCTAGTAACTAACATAATTACGCCAGTGTCAATGTATAAATTAACACGTCACGTCGAATATATCGTCTGTTTTCGTTTATCAGGGCGCGTAAAGTGTTTAACTAACGGTCATAGTGAAAAACTGAACGGCCACTCCAATAAGATAAACGGTCACGCTGAAAAGCTGAACGGCCACCAAGCGGAGCCGCCGAGCGCCGACCCGCCGCTGTGCCGCCACGGCGACCTCGCCGCGCTCGACTACAACAACATCCCACACTCACCAAAGATACCCAAAAAAGCTCTTAAAGTATAAACATGAAACGTTTTAAATGTCTACGCATAATTTAAGATTAAATATGTATAAAGTTCCATTTTGTAACATTTCTGTATACACCGGATGCTAAATTATATTAGTGACGTAAGCGATCAGCGATTTCACATAAACTCTCCTTGTATTTTATTTTAATAAATGTATCGCCAGATAGAGCAACTATTTTTATAGTATTTCTTGACTAAATATATTGATACGGATCATGCGCCGCGCGACGTGCACAGCTATTGAATTTCATCAATAAAAAAATGGTTAATATTGTTTGTGCCTTTTATATATTCATACAGTATTGTGTAATGAAATACGTTTACTTATGTAGTACTTAATCTATTGCAATATAATATTATTATTATTATTATTATAAATAAATTAAAAATTACCGCCATATGTCTAGATTTTTCGTAGTGATGTACGTTATGGGAAATCATGATGAGACATTTTAATAGGCTGTATTTTAAAAATGTTAAATAAATAGTACACATGGAATTATAAATATCTCGGTGTTGTGTGTATTTTGATCTTTGCGATTTCTCACTTTGTCCTCATGATATGAATTTAAATTTTGTAAAACAACATTTATTTCGTAGCGTAGTGGGCTTTGTGTGAATTTCAAATTCATCACACATGAACCATAAAAGGTTATCTTAGAAATTGTAAAATTTTCATATTAGTAATGTACTTTATAAGTGAAAGAAATCTTTAAATGTAATTCACGAAAGTATTTGTCTCCACCAGTTTAAGACAACAATGAAGCCGCGGGGGGATCGGCTACAGACTTTATTGAGTTATCTGTCAAGAAGTCACCTGTAGTAGCATTGTTAAATGGCTGTGCTAAATAAAGTTATTTAAAAATTATAGCTATCCGAGCTTAGCTAATTGTTGGTAAATAATACCAATATCAGTATAAAAGGTTGCATTCAATAAGGTTACATTTGTAATTTAAATGAAACATGCTGAAATTGACAGAGTAAGTTCACTATTATGATATTTTTAGACAAAAATAATTTTATGCAACCTTTATTTTTAGACAAAATCTCAAAATTGCATGTTTTATACCACTTTAGCACTAGTTCTTGAATAAAGATAATGTGCGCCTTACATGTCGTTTAATTTTTTTCCTCTTCGTACAATTTAAACTATTTTAGATCCGAAAAAAAATTGTGTAGTGAGTGATCAATTTTCTTAACTATTTTTTGGTTTTATGTTATTTAAGAATAGAAACATACATACATATAAGTACCATATATTTTTGTTATGGCCTCTTAGAAGTCTGTATTTTGATACTCCATTCGATCGAAATAGACGAAAAATAATTTTTTTTCAGGCACAAATTGGCGCCTCAGATCCGCCATTTTGACTTTTAACGATATTTATATACCCTATAACACTAGATATCAAGACAAATCTAACGACGTATAAATCATTAAAATCGGTTAAGTCGTTTAGTAATCATGAGAGCACATAGGGTCAAACATACATATGTATGTATTTATACAGGTTAAACATCCAGCCAACTCAGCCCAACTGAGTAGTCGTTGGTTTCCAAGTCTTAATATACACATAGTGCCTCGATCCCTCTAGCTTTTAAAGTATGAAGTGGAAAAGTTTGAGGTTCAAAAATACTTTCAATGAGAATTATTATGAAGATAATTTTTGATATTGTGTGAAATATTTTTGGTATCACGCGTTTAATCGTCTAAATAATTTTGTAATAAATGTTATAATTAGATGGATAAAGACAAAACAATTTTTTTTCATTTTTAAATAGTAAATGTATGTTGAAACATATAAAAACGTTTCATACTTTGGAGTTATCTTGCTGGTCATTCTTGATTTACCTGATTTTTTATTATATTAAGAACTACCCTCAATTGGACTATGCTGTATTTGACAACCTAAAAATTTTTTATTTCCAATAAATTTTTATCATCCCTTTAGAATTAAAAACAAGTTTATTTTGTCATTATATATGATGATGAATATTTGGTTTTGATGTTACTGAATCAGTCAGGACAAGAACTTTTATACCTTGTTAAAAAATAAAAATGTAGAATCTATGTAATAACTGAATACACAATATTATTATATTAGGAAAAAACGCAAATGTGGGTTTACACTTTTTTAATAACATTATCTTTGATTTTCTGTTCCTTATACATTTTTATAACCTTTTTTCCTGGTACTAAGCCCTGGGATAAACCAGGTCGTTTTTTCTTTTTACCAACTTTCCCATCCCACACATCTTCATTAGTGGCCAGAGGTGAATCAAGAATAACTTGAGGGGGAGGTGCTGATGCAACAGTGCCAGCTCCTTCACAAACAACACTGTTAAGTTTCTATAAAGAAGAAAATAAAGTATATTGTTAAAATTTTATTAATATATTGTCACTGTGAATAATATAAAAATAGAAAATTATTACTTGTTTTTCTGCTTCTAATTCCTCTGTAGATTTTTGGATATCAGAATCATGTGCATACTTGCAGTTATGGCCAAATCTACATTTGCCTTTTCTATAATTCCAGCATATTTTCTTTCCATTGATCATCTGAGTATTGTCTATACCTGGAACCTACACATTCATGGCCTATGTACTTGACGATAATATATCACATTCGATACAATAAAGTGCAAATGTTAAGTGTTGTTTAAAATAATAGTAAGGGCATATAAAACAGTAGCCATGTAATTAATTCAATAAAAATGTAATATTAAAAAAAGGTTAAAATAAAAAGTTATACTGAAAAATAAAAGTATAATAGAAAGTCAACATATACCATTTTGACATGTTTTTCTAAGATTGCAGCTTTTGCTAGTTCTGCTTGGGCAAATGGATTTGAAAACACCGAAGTGTGTAGACTGTTTTCACCTAGGGTAGGTTTTGGTAACTTTGGTTTCTCGTCCTCTTTTCGATCCTCAGTTTTCTCTCTGTAAAATTTAAATTAATATTAAAAATGCTTTAATTTTCAAAATTTTCATTTTTCATTTAATATATATTACTTTTCCTCATCACTGCTATCGCCGTCTGTACTGCTTGAAGATGAACCATAATCCAAAAGAGCATTCATTTTATTAATTGCTAATAAGCAAGGAAAGGAAAGGAAAAGATAACTCAAAAACCTATATATTGCAAATACACAAAAAACAGACTCTAGCTTCTAATTACATTAAATAAGTAATTCATATTATTGTTTTGTAATTTGTATCTAATTTTTTTCAACACATTTGTATTTAACATTTGCGCTTTTGTCATTCGTGACTATAAATAGTCATGTCAAACTTCAAAGAATAGAATTTCTGCCTGTAATCTGTGACATGACAGGTAAAAATAAAAATATCTAGAAGAAAATTGAGTTAAAGGTGCAACACACGTAGAGATTTCATCCACCATCAAATCGGATTTTCCTAAGACAAATACTTTATTCACCACCACAACAGAACTGGACACAAAAAATATTATTTATTAATCACTTGATAAATGAAGGATAAATTAGTTAATTTACAGTTTTGTAAACTTACTGAACAATGATAATGACGACACGCTTGGCTCAGTTTGTATTTTGTAGTAACCCTACTTGCTGTGCCAGTTTTCGCGGGTTCGAGTCTCGCTGGGGGCATTCACTTGTGTGATGAGCGTGAATGTTTGTACTCCAGTCATTCCCCCCCAACGTGCGTTCACCTTGTCGTGGTGGGGGGGCTCAGTAGTAGTAGCGAAGCTAAGAAACGCACAGGGAGGTTGCCCACTTCGGTGGGCGGTGGGAGGTGGCCCTCTTTGGGGGGCGGTGTACCATGCGGGTTGCTCCTGGTACTTCTCTGATAGCAGAGTGGACTGTGGAGCAACCCCATGGTTGTGGTGGTCTGCTTCGGCAGACCTGCCGTCGGGGCGTCGTAGTTGAATGCGCAAGCGATCCTGCGACGCCCCATTAAGACGGGGGAAGGTTTTGTTGGGTTTTAGTGGGTAGTACTGGCTGTATTACGCCGGTGAGTCCTACACGTCGTGCGTAAATGCATTTCCCAACGTTAAAAAAAAAAAAAAAAAAAAAAAAAAAAAAAAAAAAAAAAAAAAAAAAAAAAAAAAACTCCAGTCATGGGTGTTTATATTTATAATATGTATGTATTTAAAGTTATATATGTGTAGTATATCAACTATCTGCTATCTATAACACAAGCCTCGTAGCTTACTATGGAACTAGATGGTGATGTGTGTTAATGTTGTAACATATTTATTATTATTATTATTTATTATTAATATATTTATAACTATTTACTTACCTATGTCCTTTTCATATATAAAGTAATTATAATTTCATGTCACTTCTTTTTTTTTAATTTATTGATTTTAGGATATTCAAAATTAAAGTTTGTCGTTAATATATAAATATTAATAAAAAAAATTGCTTAATTTTGTTTAATAATATGCAAACGAGCTTTACAAAAAAGTATTTTATTAAACATTGAATGCGTATCTGTACTTTAGTATTTTTTGTTGTAGGTTGCCACTAAACTCATTCATGTCTATTTCAATCCATTAAAACACAACTCCAAATTGTTAAAAAAAAGAAATCAGTTAAAAATAATTTATATAATTTTGACGTTATTCAATAGATGGTTCATAAAAAGAACTTTATAATGTTTTTATTTAAACGAAATAAAATTAAACGAAAAATTAAACTTTAATCAATTAAACTTATTACATTTTAATCGTACTCGTAATACAAGCACTTTTGAATCGTCATTTTAATTTAAAGAGCGTTAGTGTAATCAGTCCGTATTCTGTAAGGAAGCTACCACCGGTCGGCTCGGAAGACAGTTCAGCTGATACGAGCCGGCGAGAGACTCAACCTTTGCTCTTTTGAATACTGAGCTACATTTTTTAAATGTAATACCTATGTATTGTGAATATCTGAGATAGTATTTGTAAAAAAATGGATGGCTAAACTAGTGTGTGCCAGCTATTTCAATATTCAGAACTGAAAACGAAGCTGTTATGTTTTTATTTTATTATTTTACCATTATAATTGTTAATATTGCATATAAATTTACATTAAAATTTTTATTTCAAGGATTATTAAGTTTGAGATAAAACCCCGACAAAATATATATTTATCATTAATCCTAAATGGGCTTTTTTTAACGTTGGAAAACGTAACACCTGCATACATACAGATGAGACTCACTGACTAGAAAAACCTTAAGCCAGTACTACCCAATGAAACCAATCTTTCGACACCATCTTCAAGGGCGCAACAAGATCACTTACGCACTTAACCACGACCTTCCGACGATAGCCTGCCAAGACGGTTATATGGTTAATGTAGGGTCACGGTCTATTCTGGCTGACCTGGCTGGATTATAGGATGAACCTCTACCACGACAAGGTGAACAAATATCAGAGGGCCCATATAACATATTGCCTACAATAATGACAATTATAAGGATTTCAATTTTAGCATTTTAACTAAGGATCCCTAAAATCAACACATACAATAATTATTTTACCAATATGTACATTTAAATAAACATATAAGTATTTTTAGCTAAAAATTTCATCAAGCCACTAGAGTAACTTGATATTCATTTAGATGTTGTTAAATTACACATTTATGTAAATTTAATTATGCATGTATTGTATTTATTATACATAAAGGTTTATTTTATATATAAGTATTTCATGTATAACGAAAACTTTTTTTTAGGGCGTGGAGTATTCTTTTTTTTAAATGGCCACCCAATTTCTTTTTTCATCATTTTTCTATCTGTGATATCATGTGTGAATGAGAAAGCGAATGTATCTATTGCATTTGCACACTAGTTCTTCGTAGTGACGGCGGCATCAATTTCTGAATTAATTACCATTTGTCGCAAAAACTGCGCGTCCTTTACCTTTTCTAGACTAAAATCTTTCAATTGTTCTTAGATTGTGATAAATCGTTATCTAAATGGCATCTGATGATGAAGTAGATGGATCCTTTGCAGGTAAAGGTTCAATTTAGCTCCTAGCATGTCATAGGTAAGCCGCGAATAGCGGTATCATATGTTTACTTGCGGTAAGCAATTAAAATTTTGAAAAATTTCGGCTTTCATAGTGAGAAGTATTTACATTACCATGATATAAAACAATGTGCAACAAGGTGTTATGTGTATAAGTGATATATTAGTAAATTTGTTATGATTTACTTGTAAATATTTTTATGTGGCAGTTTGTGACAGAAAAGAACATGCATTATCCCCTCATTACTACTTAACAAAATGGACGCCGCCAAACAAAGGGATTAGTGACCTTATAGCTTGGAGTGCGCGTGTATTGCAAAAAATGATGATCCTCATGTGCTTGATAAGGAGTGCAGGTGGAAAGCATGCTGACTGGTTTGACCACTTTATTGTAAATATTTGTTGCAGGTGACGAGGATGTAGAGGAAGGTGAAGGTCAGAATGATAACTCAGGGGAGAGTGATGAAGCTCCACCTAAAGTTAGTATTTTTTTTTTTTAATATTTTATAATTTTATATACCAACAATAAAAATACTTCTTACAGAAAAAACAAGATCAAAATAAAATAAAATTTGTGAGAAAAGTGGTATTATTTTTTTAATGAAAATATTACAAATTATCTTTCATTGTATAGATGTAAATTATAAGTGGCATGAGCAATTGTTTAAATTGCTGAAACTGCAAAAATAGAGAAACATATAACTTATTCAACTTTCTTTATAATATTATGAAAGTAAAATAGTTTATATTTATATCATGAATTATTAGAAACAAAATTATTCTAAACTAGAATCAATTCATTTTAATAGGAAGATGATGACTATTCTCCTGAAGATGGCAGAAAGAAAAAGAAAGGAAAGAAAAGAAAAGCCAGAGGAGAAGAAAAGAAGGGTAGGAAGAAAAAGAAGAAGCGCAAAAATGAAAGTGAAGAAGTAAGTAAAACTTACATATATTTGTTAAAATTTTATTGAAACCCACAAAGTAAAATAAGCAAAATAAAGATATTTCTCATAAATACTTTTGAATATATTATATATTTCTAGGATAAAATACAGTTCATTATTTAAATATCATGTAACCATAAGGCCTTGATAGCATTAATTTTCTTAATTTTTAAAAAACCAGTTTATGATAATAAGATCTATCATTATCTTTGCTAAGTCTTAAATTATTTTTCTTGCACACATTAAAGTATCATTTAAACCGTAACCCTCGAATTTATAAAACAATATAATAATTTGCATATGGAAGAAGTAGGAGTGAGCAAACATAAACTTACTCTAGGACTAAAACTAGTTTGTTACAAGAAGGCTCAAAGAAAGAACATTTATGAATTATTAATAGTTTTTATTCATAACACCTGCCCAAGGTTATTGTAACTGATCACATAAAAAAGTTTAACACAAAGGTTTATAGCAGAAAGCTTATATTACTCTGTTGATTTTATTTTTTGGGTTCCGTACCTCGAAAGGTAAAAAAAGGAACCTTTATAAGATCACTCTCTTGTCTGTCTGTCCGTATGTCACCACTGATTTTCTCAGGAACGGGTGGACCTAGCAAGTTGAAATTTATACCAGATACTGAGGTCTATTAGGTGTATAAAAATCAAAGTCCTGAGTCAACACGATAAAAAGATATGGGCTAATTTAGATTTTCGCCGAAAACTCGTAAGTACCAAAATTTACCTTAATTTTCAACTTTTTTTATTTTTCGGAATTTACCTTTACTTGTACTGTGGGATCTTGCTTTTGACCAAAATTGACATTTCTAGGTTAACTGGAAGTTCTCTTATAGATTTTGGGTCGAAAACCTTTATGATAGTTCCCATTGATTTAGAATTACGAAATTTGGCAAAAAAGCAAGGTCTTACAGCATAAATAAAGGAAAAATTCCAAAAAATTAAAAAAAATGAAAATTAAAGTTAAACAGATTTCCTACAAATTTGTACGGAACCCCCGGTGGGCGAGTCCGACTTGCATTTGTCCGAAATTTTTACTCCTGACTTACATTAGCTTTGTTCGGGTCTAACAGTAGCCTATGTCTTATTCCAGGTCATAGTCTATCTGTGCACTAAATTTCATTCAAATCTGCTCAGCCGTTTTAGTGTGGAGGAGTAGCAAACTTACACACAAACTTTCGCACTTATATTAATTGTAGTTCGATATCCATACTTTACATTATAAATGTGAAAGTTTGTTTGGTTTTCCTTCTTTCACGTCGAAACAGAGTTACGGATTGGCGTGATTTTTGTGTGGAGATAGTTGGAGGGCTGACGAGTGAAATAGGCTAAGTTTTACCGCGGGAGATTATATCATTCCCGCGGGCAAACACTTATAGTACAACCCACAACATTTAATCATACTAATGTACATATATACATTAATATTATATAATTTATCTATTCCATACTAACCGTTAAAACTCACCTAGGGATGAAGCCGAACGAAGCAAGGTGTGATGCGTTTGTTGTTTTATAAAAGTAATTAAAAATAATTTTGTCACCAGGATGACGACTTCGGTCTGGAGATCGAAGCAGAGGGCGACAGTGACTACGCGCTGAGCGCAGTGTCGTCCAGCAAGAAGTCGCGCAAGGGCCGCGGCAGCAAACACAACATGTCAACTCCAGTTGCGTCTGACTCAGGCTCTGGTAAGTTTTTTTATTGACAAGATTGTTCGACATGGGTTTTTATTGTATTATGTATTTGATTTGATTTAAAGGCAGTGGTAGCCCAGAGGTTACGCGCTCGCTTGGGAAACCGAGTGAAGCGAGTTCAAATCCCGGGTCTCGAACCTATGATATTTTCATGTGCGAATCATTTTCCAACATGATTACCACTTGTCTTAACGGTGAAGGAAAACATCGTGAGGAAACCTAGTAAGTTTTCAAAAGACATGTGAAGTCCGCCAACCCGCACTTGGCCAGCGTGGTGGACTATGGCCTGATTCCCCTCGTACTGAAGGGAGGCCCGCGCCCAGCAGTGGGACGTTAAAAAGGGCTGAATACAATGTAGTTGAAAGGTTATACATATATGATATTAAGTAGTAAATAGGAGCTTTTAAGTAGAAAGGATGCTTTTAATCATGTCATAAGAATGGTTATTTAATAAAAATATAGAAACGGAAAAGTTGAATTATACATGACTAGATTCTTAAACATCTATTATTGATCTAACTAAGCTGAATCTGTACATGAAATATTTTTTGGATAATCTTATTAAAATAAACATTATTATCGATACAGAGGCCGAATCTATAGTTTTTATATTTTGGCTTTCTGTCTATCTGTTTGTGACCGCATCACGGAAAAACCACTGGAGGGATTTTGATGAAATTTGGTATGATGATAGGTGGTTATCCGGGTAAACATATAGGATACTTTTTATTGCGGAAAAATATCCCATCTCTGAGCTAAACGTTAGAACGTAATAAGTGCTTTTATAAAAATGAAGCTAATAATGTAAGTTGAAAGGATTGTCTTCTATTATCCACCTAAAGAAAACATCGATTTTTAACCTTAAGTATATTTATTGTATATATTTGTTTTGTATTTAAGTTCTAACCTTTAAATAAAACTATCTTTTCGGATTTTTTCGAGGATTTATTTGGATTTTTGGTTCCCGACGTTTCGAATACTTTACAGCAATCATGGTCATGGAAGAGACTGAGACTCTCCTCTCTCTACTCAGTGTCAAAATGTCAAATATTCGCGTAAATCTAAGAAAGTATTATTCTAACCTATATTTATAAATGTATTACTGTTTTATCAATGCCCAAACAAGTTTTGGGCCTAGAAACATTTAGACAATATATTACTTACATACCTAACTATTAAGAAGTTTCTTTATTTCTGGAGTTCAAATAATTATATGTTAAGAAAGGGAAGGGAAATGGATATACTATACATTTTGTTAATAAAGCACAATTCAGCACTATCAGAATATATAATATTTAAAAAAGGTTCATGAATGAGCACCAGAAAAGGTTTAACTGATAATTTTATTTATCAAATTTTTTTAATTTGATTAATTAAATCATTATGAATAAAGTTATAAATAATAGTTTTGGATTTTTTCGCGGATTTATTTTGATTTTTGGTTCCCCACGTTACGAATGCGGTAATAACGACAGCAATCATGGTCACGGGACCCTCGGAAAAAATAGTTTTATTTTAAAATGTCAAATATTTGCGTAAATCTATGAAAATATAAAAATCATAGTTGAACTATTATCCTTAAATTTGACTCTACGCTACTTACGAATAATTTCAATACGAAGATATTTGTTCTTTCACGCAGCACTTTTTTTCGTTGAGCTTATTAAGGGTTCAAACATTTCTCTATGGAAGCTGTCAGTAGCTACTAGTTGCCATTTTAATTTATTTTTCAAAGCAATTAGTAATATTCGTATTATATATGTATGTGTGTATAAGTAATATTAAATTACAACTTATTGCATAAATTACACCGTAATTAGTTTATTTGTAATGATTATCATGAATCATTGTTTTTCTATAGCGACCTTCACCTTTAATATATCTCCGTAACATTACCTTTTAGATCTACATTCGTTAATTTTACTTAAATATATTCATTCAATATATAAATATGACATTGTGCGCTGCAAGCTTAGGAAGTTATACAAATGGCGGAATATTGGCAATGCCACGTAGCTTCTATAACTTTAAAAGTTACAGTTGTATGTTAAGCATATAAGTATAATTCAAGAATAATCAAGAATGTTCTTTTTTTAAATTAGTATTTGCTTTATTTATCAATTTTCACAATTTCCGAGTCACCTACTTCTTTTTGCTCTTTCAAATCATAAAGGAGTCTATTTTCATTGTAATATCTGTAATATAATTTTTTTATGTACTATAGGTACTCTCAAATAGCAAACTGAATTACATATTTTCTTTACCTGTTATGGATTTTATCAAAATAGCTTTCTCAGTTCAGTTCAGTACTTATGTAATCAATAGCATTAACAAATAATACTTCCTAGATGTTATCACTGGTCTGTCGTAAAACCACGAGATGAGTGGATTTGGTTATCTACCTTAACACACATAACTGTCACTCAAACTTATATGAAATTGCGAGTTTTAATTGAATATAAACATTAATTAGTAGTCTTTTTAAATAAAACTGTATTTTCGGTTTCTTTCACGGATATATTTTTATTTTTGGTTCTAAAAAACCACTAACCAAACCAAAAATCCGGGAAAGAATCCGAAAAGATAGTTTCATTTACAATATCAAATATTCGCGTAAATCTAAGAAACTAATAGTAGTCTAAGTTTTTTTGACTAGTAATATTCTGCGGGCTTCGCCTTTTTATTTAGACATCCGAAAATATTGTTACCAATACAAACTTTGCCACTCTTTTACCTTCTTTTAGGAGTGGATGAAATTTGGTATAGACATAGATTATAGTCTGGAATAACACATAGGCTACTTTTTATCCCGGAAAAACGAAGGTTCTCGTGGGATAGGTTTGTTTTTTGTATAGTATATAATATTAATTTTCGCCCATAAATCCTCTCACTATGTAGGTTTAATAAAAATATCTATGTTTTATTCAGAATACAAGTTTCATTCAAATCCATTGAGCCGTTTCAGAAGAAATAATGACCATTGTATTTACACTTAGAAACTTTCATATTTGTAGTATTAACGTGATTACTGTAATAAGCTTATGTTTGTTAATACTTATAATTTATTTGTAACATTTTTGTATGATGTGAAAAATTATCATTTATTTATTTTATCGTTTACCTTTAAAATAATTGCCAATTTTATATTGACGTTTCATAAGTTTAATAATGCACGTAATTTACTTTTATAATAAATATACAAGTTAATACTTTTATATTGTACAAAAATGCTTTAAATAGAAGATTTATACATTTTGTTGAAATAAACATATGGTATACAACTCGTGACTTAGCTTGTATTAGTATTGAAAATTAGTATAATAAATAAATTTACATCTAATATGTGATATGGGATATTAAAACAAAAGACGACATTGCATCTTGACTACATTCAATGTAAATACATGTTAGCTGCATTATTGAGCTTTCTTACATTATAGATAATATATCAAAAGAATAGATAAATTATTTTTAATTATAAAAGCATTTGTTACAAAGTTATACTACATCCGTAGTAAAGTGACAACAAAAAAGTGTGTGTCTAGGACTCTAGTGTCTACTTATGTACGCACGTAAGAAGTTATATTTCTTTGTTTTTTCGAGCATTTAAATTGTGTTTTTTACTTTTTTCGTATTCTTTTCAGCAAACCTTTTCATTTGATATCCATATCATAGGGATGCATAAAAAAACAGTCTGCCATCTTTGAGAGTCCGCCATATTGCATTTACAATGACGTACGTCCCTTTGCTTGTTGTGTTTCGCTCATCAAGCCCTTTGATTGATTCTCATATCATAAGGGTCATTATGGAAATTATAAATTGATATTTAGTAGCCTCTGCCATATTAGATTAGAAATGGCGGCATTTAGGTAAAACTGTATTGTCACGAGAATCAAATGTGTATGCCAAATTTCAGGTCAATCGGACACTGAAAAATGGACCAAATTCAACTTTCAAAATTTGATTACAGACACCGGGACAAGTGAAACTAAATAAAACCTTGTAATAATTTTTATTTTTATCGATATTAAAACACGTGTTGAATATATAGAAATACCGAAAAAAATATCTTTAATATAGACAACACACTATATTAAAGAGAGATTTAACTACTAACTTCACATTGTATTCAATAATAACTAACTCCATACTGTAGTCTAAATCTATCGTATCGTAAAAAAATCACTCATAATTTTTTATGTATCATGAGGTATAGTCTGGTGACAGACGGATAGAGTCTTAGTAATAGGGTCCCGTTTTACTCTTTGGGTACGGAACCCTAATAAAACCCCAATATTATCTCAAAATAACATATTATTTTATTTTAATGTCAACATGTAATTTTCACATACATAATAACGTTTTTGTTTTTTTCTAGGAATGCCCACAGTTGAAGAAGTATGTTCTTCATTTGGACTTACTGACGTAGACATTCAGTATTCTGAAGCTGATCTCGAAAATTTGACCAGTTACAAGCTGTTCCAGCAGCACGTTCGTCCGCTCATCGTAAAGGAAAATCCTAAGGTGTGATATGCGACGATAATCGTACTACTAATATCTATTTATAAAACAAATAAACAATTTTGGTAACATATAAAATACTCTCGCGAGCTTTTTCCAAAATATATTTTATAAACATATTTACCACCTCCAGGTAAATTTCTAAGAAATTAATTCAATTTCTAAGAAATTAATTAAATTTCTAAGAAATCTATTGTTAACTGTAACGCCGGGGTGTCCGCAGTCGTTGAGGGAATAGAAGAATTTATTATTTAAATATGTTATTGTTAATATAATTAGGTTATTTAAGGAATTATTAATATTTTTTGGAATTATGTTTATTATAATAATTATTAAAGTTTACCCACTTTTAAAATTGCACATTACTTCTTATGTCTTATTATGATGGCCTACTGATGTAAATATTCAGTATTTGTTTTGAATCAAAAAATAATTATATTTATACATGTAATAGTAATCCACAACGTTTGAATGCACTCTTACCGCTATGGACGCATCCTTTCGTATTTATAAAATTATAAAGCTAAAACAGTTTTATCGGCTAAATTCACTAATATTATAGTGGTCGCTTATTTTCATAAAATGTTCATAATTATAGCCTACAATGTTCCTAGAATATCCCTCTTTCTGAGATTAGCCCTAATAAACAAACTCAACACGTCAGAGACCTCTCAACTTGCAATATGACGTAGTGATTCTGCAAAAAATAAAAATAAATATATTCTTGGAATCCTCTACTCAGGTGCCAGTGTCAAAGCTGATGATGCTAGTGGCGGCCAAGTGGCGGCTGTTCTGCGAGACCAACCCGCACCTGGACGGCGGCGGTGGCGGCGGCGGGCAGCCGGGCTCGGAGGAGAACACCAACACGTCCACCGCCTCCGACTACGCGCCCAAGCGCCCGGCGCGCGCGCCCAGGGAGCCCAAGGTGGGTGCTGGCTACTGCCTCTACGATACGAGGGGGACAGGTTTGCCAGGCGGATCCAAATGTTTCTCTTGGTCTTCAGAGATCTTAATGTGTTATACATTATTAAGGTTTTTCGTTTATGTATAAATTTGTAGATATTTAAATATTTATTTTTAAATAAAAAAATCATACAGGTAAAAAATATAAACTCCTATTAGTGTGGATATTACTAGCGTTTCCTCGCGACTCCGGCCTGCATTAAAAAATGACGCGGGACGAATCGCAAATAAAAACTTCTAGATATTAATCATTTTTAAAAAATCTTATAGTTTTCAAATAGAACAATATATCATTTTTAAACAACGTAAAAAGCCCTTACGTAAGTATATCAAAACAAAATAACTAGAGAAAAAAAAATATGCAAGCATCTAACATTTTTTACATTCATAGTTTACATCAGGGCTCGGAACCGATTAAAAAAACGATTTATTTCAAAAATGTTATGGGTAATTCATCGCTCGTTCTTTAATCAACCGGTTAATCAAAACAAATGATTTAGTAAACCGAAATAATAATTGTTAACGGTTATTCTTGGAGAAAGGTTGGATATCGGTTTTGACACCGAAATAAACCGGTTATCTCATTCATTAGTAAGAAACGTAAATGTATCTTATTACTAAGCCAATTATCATTAGCAAAGACGCGCCAAATGTAAACGCACAAAACTCATTTTAACCAATTAATTTTGGTTATGGACGTTAGTTAGTAAAAAACTGGATTTAACCGGTTACAGAACGTAACCGAAACCTCAACCGAAATGCCTTTCGGTTTGGGGTCAATGACCAAAACGGGAATTGAATTGAAAAATTTAATGGGTTTACATATATATGACAGAACTATAATATTTTGCAAAACTTCATGGGGGTGATACGCATGAAAAATAATTTTCATGCAATATAGCGTGTAATATTTTTTAATTCAGGTTTTTTTTTTAATTTAACTTTAATTCGATAAGCCGGTACAGCATTAAAAAGTACCAAACACGAATTTCGTATTGCTTATATAAGTATAGTTATTATTGAGGTTGTTAAAATTTTGGTGTACATGGTTTTGCAACATTGAATCTATTTCCTATTTTACCTTAATATATTTGTGATGTTGTATTAATTTTAAGATGCGATGGGACTAAATGTCCTCAAAGGATAAAAATTCCAAAATAAAAATAGATGAATAAAAGTATGATATCCATACAATATTATAAATGTGAAAGTGTGTTTGTGTGCGTTTGTTTGTTTGTCTGTCTGTCCTTCTTTCACGGCAAACAGAGTGAATAATTTGATTGAAAAACACGTTATAACACTTCAAACTTGGTATTAATGCCCTTCAATAAAATTAAATAAATTCATGTTTTAGCATTTTTCGAAATTCATCCCACAAGGGGGTAAAATAGGAGATGAAAGTTTGTATGAAATCTACTTTTTTTAAAGATTTTTTTGTAGTTTTAGCGCGAGTGAGGCCGCGGGTTCTGCTAGTGTTAAATATAAACATGTCATCAGATCGAGGACTCGATAGAGGAGCCGGAGGAGGAGGAGGAGGAGGGCGGCAGCGACGAGGGCGCGCCGGCGCCGCGCAAGCGCGGGCGCAAGCCCAAGCATGCGGGCGCGGCGCGCGGCAAGCCCGGCCGCAAGCCCAAGCTGCCTACGCTCAAGATCAAGTTCAGCAAGCGCAAGCGCACCAGCAGCGTTAGTCGACACTTTTCTTTGCTATCTACGGGTGAATTTATGAGACGGGACCTTAACTGTTATAGTTACAGAAAAACGTTCCTAGGAGACCATGGAAAAAATGTACAGTCAGTAAATAAAATATTAAAGTAGCAAAAAATTTTTTTATGCCAATCGATCATATTTCATGTAGGGATCAAAAGACTATGGAAACATTAAAGTATGAGTACTCGAAATGACAGAAATCGCCAAAAACTTTTGCCATACATTTTGTACAGAAAAACGATTAATCAACTCGAAATATTCTTTGTCCTTACTGCCTCGTCTCAAAAATCCATCCTGTATAGAACGTTTTTTGTGTGTGTTTGTTTTTGTTATGGTTCACATCGCTCGGTGCGCCCATATCTCCATTGGCGCATCTTTTCGTTCTTATAAAATTATTTAAGTTAAAAATGGATAACTTTAGGATTTGTTTTTATTAATTTGTTTTTGCCAATAGGCAAAAAATCAAATATGATTGTGTTTTTTCTGTCTTTGTTTAATTAATAAAATAGTTCTTTTTTAATTAATTTAAAAATACATATGTATATTGGAATGTTTTTTACTTAAATTTTGTCATATTATTTATTATGTCATTGCTTATATGTATGTAAAAATTGAAAAATTGTGTAAGTAATATTGATATTTTTGGATTTTTTTTATTGCAGGAGGAAGATCAGGAAGGCAGTGCAGGAGCAAACACAGACTCCGATGCAGAATTTGAACAGATGCTAGCTGAAGCTGAGCCCAAACAAGCTACTAGTAATACAGATGAACCCACACCACCGAAAGAAGAAGATCCCAATGTACCTGTAAGTTATGATTTGACAATAAGTTTGAGATTTAAAATAAATTAAATATCAAAAAAAATATTAAGATATTTACAACTTTATTTTAATTAAATTGTTGCTATTACAAGTTAAATAAAATGTCAATTAACAGCAGCAGCCAAAAAAGAAGGCTAAAACAAAAATTGGAAACAAGAGTAAGAAGAAGAAGAAAATGCGGACAACAAACAAATTCCCTGATGGTGCTGAAGGGGAACAGGAACATCAAGATTATTGTGAGGTATAATCCACATTTTTAACTAATATATTATTTGTTATTAAACACTCTATTTGTGTTATTTTATACTATCGTAATTCTACCCGATACTGTTATGCGTATATGTATAAAAATCCTGTCTAAACATGTCTAAAATAAAAATTGTATTAAAAATCGTACTAATAATAATCCAATACTTTCTTCGATTTACGCGAATATTTGACATTTTAAATAAAACAATCGTTTCAGATTTTTGGTATTGATTTTTGGCTTTAATTTTTGGTTCCCGACGTTTCGAATGCTTTATAGTAATTATCGTCACCGGAGAAACTCTGACTCTCACGAGAGAGACGAAAAATGTCGAAAAGATAGATTTATTTAAAATAATAATAATGTTTTATGTACTTAAGGTTTGCCAACAAGGAGGCGAGATTATCCTCTGCGATACTTGTCCAAGGGCCTACCATTTGGTATGCTTGGATCCCGATTTGGAAGAGACTCCAGAGGGAAGGTGGTCTTGTCCTCATTGTGAGACTGAAGGCAACCAAGAGCAAGAAGATGATGATGAGCATCAGGAGTTCTGCAGGTGAGCTTGAGAATATGAAGTGTACATCATTATTATTTAAAGTTATTGGTAGTCTACCTAGATTTCTCTATTGCCAGAACTGCTATTAGATAGAATGGATAGATAGTGTTAGTGTTATTAGAAGTTATCCACACATCCTAGATGCTTGGCATCTAGCACAAATGTACGTGCACCTCGTTCATTTCTATCTCGCACGTGCAAATTGTAGAACAATCTTCCCCCTGATGCTATAATATGGGGCTCTTCAAGAGTCGTGTCTTCAGGATCCTTAAGACCGGCAACGTATTCGCAAATCCTTTTATTTTGCAGATGTCTATGAGCGACGATAGCCATATTACCATCAGGTGGATTGTTTGCTCGTTTACCCTTTTAACCATTAAAAAACCAAGATTGTCCATACTAATATTATAAATGTCAAAGTTTGTGAGGATGGATAGATGGATGCTTATTACTCTTTCACGTCAGAACGGCTCAACGGATCGGGATATAATTTGGCACAGAGATAGATTATAGTCTGGAATAGCACATAGGTTACTTTTTATCCCGAAAAAATGTGCGGTACCCGTGGAATAGATTTGTTTTTCTCTTGGGATATAAATAGTAGTAATTATTGCATACAAATTTAATGTGAAGTATTAAAGAATCTCGCACACAACTATCAGTATAATTTATAGGCAAAAGTTGAGGCTGTTTTGTACTATTAAAACATATATCCATAAACATTTTAAGTAAATTTCTTTATTTAATATACATTTTCGTCAACAGGATTTGTAAAGATGGTGGGGAGTTGCTTTGTTGTGATTCCTGTCCATCTACTTACCATCGCTTCTGCCTTAATCCGCCCTTGGAGGAGGTGCCTGACGGAGTATGGAAATGTCCTCGATGTAGTGTGAGTTTTTTTAGTAATATTTTATTATTAATAGTAATATACTATTTATAAAATAATTGTTTTTTTTACTAAATATATGAATGACGCTCAACATGAAATCTGGTTAATAATTAAAAATTTCATACAAATGAAATGTCAGAAACCTCATTCATGATGACATACAATTGTAAAGTAAGCTTATAATAATTTGATGCTTCTAGTGCCCACCATTAGACGGCAAGGTGTCGAAGATTTTGACGTGGCGATGGAAAGAGCTACCGCCCAAATCCAAGGCACCACGAACCAGGGAGTTCTTTGTAAAGTGGCACGAGCGATCTTATTGGCATTGTAGTTGGATCTCGGAAATACAGGTATGTCTTTACGTATACATATGAATAGTCTAAACATAGTTTGTTAGATTTACTTACTCATATATTTTGACGTTTTAATATGAATATTTAAATATTTATAACTTTTACTATTGTCGAACAAAAACAATAGTAATAACTAAGAAATTACTAAGTAGTAATATATTTATAGATTATTGCATTACCTAAATATAGTTTGAAATTGTTTAATATTATTTTACAGTTGGATGTGTTCCATCCGCTGATGTACCGTTATTACATGCGCAAATCGGATCCTGAAGAACCACCCAAATTGGAGGAGCCGTTGGAAGAGCGCGAAGGTCGCAAGCATCGCAATAAGCACAAACAAAACCACCAAGAACAGGACTCTGATGAGAAGATGTTGGAAGAAAAATATTACAGGCTAGTTTTATTATATTATAAAATAGTAAAATAAAGCTTAGGTTAGATATTCTTATTTAGTATATACTAGCGACTCACCCTCGCGTTACTTAGGTTCGTCCCTAGGTGATTCTCTAAATGACATAACTTTTTTTATTTATAAACAGATTGAAATAAAATAAATACTAAATGTTTAATGAAGCTTACCACAATACATTAGTGAAAACAGCACGTAAATCGGCTAAGCCGTTTCTGAGATTAGCGCGCACAAACGCACAGACAAACAGACAAACATTCTAAATATCATTGTTTTGGATTTTATGGCCGCATTGCGTTAATAAAGACCCCTGATAATAGTTTTTCTCAAATATCTTGTATGTACGACAGCAATCAGTTACACTTTTATTATACAGTAAAAGTAAAATACAGTAAAAATGATTTTTTTATCATAAAATATTTTATAAATATTTTTTTAATTAATCTTTTACAGATATGGCGTGAAACCAGAGTGGTTGATTGTGCATAGAGTAATCAACCACAGGACGTCTCGCGACGGCACCACGTACTTCTTAGTGAAGTGGCGTGACTTGTCTTACGACCAAGCCACCTGGGAGTCTGAGCATGAAGATATTGCTGGGCTAAAAGTTGCCATGGAATATTATCAGGTATACATCTTGATTATATAATAAATAAGAAATGAACAAGCTCTAAATCAACATTAAAATACAATACAAAAGTGGAAGATTTGATGAAATAATATTGATATTTAAATTGTACCATAGAGACCAAAAAATTCGTAAAAAAGGCAGAAATCTTTCAGTTTTGGGCATTAGTTTGTTGGATGCAATAATAATTTTCTCATCTAATTTATAGGCTTTTTGGCTAAATAGGCCATTAGGCTTCTATAATATACTGCAGACCTCTAAAGAAATTCATATTTGACTTTATTAACATAACTGTAAGAAACTTACAAGTCGGTTTCTATAAGTCTGCAAAACAAAATATTGATGCCTAAGTAAAAAGTGGTATGATAAACAACTCTCTCATAAATCAGTATTATCTTGAAGTTATATTAATATAACGAGACTGAATATTTTATTTAAATTTAAAGTATTAATGATCACTAAAAATTTCTTTTCAGGATATGCGTGCCTTCATTACATCTGAAGGTAAAACTAAAGGAAGTAAGGGCAAGAAAGCGGGACGTAAGAGTAAGAACAAGGATAATATTGACGACGACGAAAGCAGCAGTGGATTGCAAATTAAAGGCAAAAAATATAACCCTCCACCAGATCGCCCCACAACCAATCTCAATAAGAAATATGAAGACCAACCACCATTTGTATACGAAACTGGAATGCAGCTTCATCCGTACCAGCTTGAAGGTCTCAACTGGTTGAGGTACTCATGGGGACAAGGCATCGATACCATCCTGGCCGACGAGATGGGTCTCGGAAAAACTATTCAAACTGTAACATTCCTGTACTCACTGTTCAAAGAGGGCCACTGCAAAGGTCCGTTCTTGGTGTCTGTGCCGCTATCAACAATCATTAATTGGGAGAGAGAGTTTGAACTGTGGGCCCCAGATTTATATTGCATTACGTATGTAGGTGATAAAGATTCCAGAGCTGTGATCCGTGAGAATGAGCTCACATTTGATGACGGCGGTAACAGAGGCGGGAGGCCGTCTAAGATAAAATCTCAAGTGAAATTTAACGTTCTTCTAACATCTTATGAACTTATATCCATTGATTCTACTTGTCTTGGTTCAATCGAATGGGCTGTGCTTGTAGTAGATGAAGCTCACAGGCTTAAAAGTAATCAATCCAAATTCTTTAGGCTTCTGGCTGGCTACCATATTAATTATAAACTACTTTTGACTGGAACCCCTCTGCAAAATAATTTAGAAGAACTCTTCCATTTGCTTAACTTCTTGAATAAGGATAAGTTTAACGACCTAGCTGCTTTCCAAAACGAGTTTGCGGATGTTTCCAAAGAGGAGCAAGTAAAGAGGCTGCACGAAATGCTGGGACCGCACATGTTGCGACGTCTCAAAGCTGATGTACTGAAAAACATGCCGGCTAAATCTGAGTTTATCGTGCGTGTGGAATTGTCGCCGATGCAGAAGAAATATTACAAGTACATCTTGACAAGGAATTACGAGGCATTGAATCCAAAGAGTGGTGGTCAGACTGTGTCCTTACTCAATGTTATGATGGATTTGAAGAAGTGTTGCAACCACCCTTACTTGTTCCCCGTGGCTGCTGAGGAAGCGCCTCTCGGACCTCACGGAAATTATGACACTCAAGCGCTAATTAAAGCATCTGGTAAGCTTGTCCTCATGTCCAAAATGTTGAAACAACTAAAAGAGCAAGGCCACAGAGTGCTTATTTTCTCTCAAATGACAAAAATGTTGGATATTCTCGAAGATTTCTTAGAAGGTGAAGGCTATAAGTATGAGAGAATCGATGGTGGTATCACTGGAACAATCAGACAAGAAGCTATCGATAGGTTTAACGCACCGGGTGCGCAGCAGTTTGTGTTCCTGCTCTCAACAAGGGCTGGCGGTCTGGGTATTAACTTAGCAACTGCTGATACTGTAATCATCTATGATTCTGATTGGAATCCTCATAACGATATTCAAGCGTTCTCGAGAGCCCATCGTATCGGGCAAGCCAACAAAGTCATGATTTACCGATTCGTAACACGTAACAGTGTAGAGGAGAGAGTCACTCAAGTAGCAAAGAGAAAGATGATGTTGACTCACTTGGTGGTGCGTCCCGGTATGGGCGGTAAAGGTGCTAATTTTACTAAACAAGAATTAGATGACATCTTACGATTCGGTACTGAAGAACTTTTCAAAGAAGAGGAAGGTAAAGAAGAAGCTATTCATTATGACGATAGAGCCGTCGGAGAGCTACTCGATCGATCTAAGGAGGGTATTGAACAAAAAGAATCTTGGGCTAATGAGTATCTTAGCTCGTTTAAAGTGGCTAGCTATTCTACCAAAGAAGGCGATGGTGAGGAGGAAGTGGACACTGAGATTATTAAACAGGAAGCCGAAAATACTGATCCTGCTTACTGGATAAAACTTCTGAGGCATCATTACGAACAGCATCAAGAAGATCAAGCTAGGACCCTCGGTAAGGGTAAACGAGTACGTAAACAAGTTAATTATAACGACGGTAGTGTTGCCCAAACTGAAAACAGAGAGGATACAACTTGGCAAGAGAACGGATCCGATTATAATTCTGACTTCTCTCAGGGAAGCGAGGATGACAAAGAAGATGATGACTTTGACGAAAAGAATGACAACGGTGACCTTCTTAGTCGTCGTAGCAAGAGGCGCCTTGAGAGGCGTGAGGAGAGAGATAGGCCCCTACCACCGCTACTTGCTCGCGTTGGTGGTAATATGGAGGTACTCGGGTTTAACGCTCGACAGAGAAAGTCATTTCTCAATGCTATCATGCGATACGGTATGCCGCCACAGGATGCGTTCAACTCGCAGTGGCTAGTGAGGGATCTTAGAGGAAAGTCCGAACGTAACTTCAAAGCCTACGTATCTCTGTTCATGCGGCATTTGTGCGAGCCGGGTGCGGATAATGCTGAAACATTTGCTGATGGCGTACCCAGAGAAGGGTTATCGAGACAACACGTATTGACGAGGATCGGCGTCATGAGTCTTATTAGGAAGAAAGTGCAGGAATTTGAACATATCAATGGATATTACAGCATGCCGGAACTTATTCGTAAACCAGTTGAACCAGTGAAGATCGCGGGCGCTGAAAGTGCCGCGCCGAGCCCAGCTCCTTCGACTGCGACTCCCATTACCTCCGCCGCGCCCTCGCCTGCCCCCACTCAAGTGACACCAGCTCCCGGACAAGCACCAACCCCTCCTGGTGGCTCTGAAAAGGATGAAAAGGAGGAACCAAAGGACGAGAAATCTGACTCTAAAGATAGTAAAGATAAAGATGAACCAATGGATACCAGTGAGATTAAAGAAGAAAAAGAAAAGGATGACAAGGATTTATCAAAGGATATTAAAGAGGAGGTGAAAGAAGAAAGACGCATGTCAGTTGACGAGGAGCCTAAGGAGGAGGAGAAGTCTGAAAAAAAAGAAGAAGACAAAGAGGAGAAAGTTAAGGAAGAGGCCAAAGAAGACGATAAGAAAGAGGACGTGAAGAGTGATAAGGCTGAATCCGAGGGTTCAGAGAAGCCGAAGGATGAGAAGAAGGAGGAAGATGACGATGATGTAGTGCTAGTTAAAGAGGAGGAGGATCTCAAGGTGGAGCGGCGTAAGTTTATGTTCAACATCGCGGACGGCGGGTTCACGGAGCTGCACACGCTGTGGCTGAACGAGGAGCGCGCGGCGGCGCCCGGCCGCGAGTACGAGATCTGGCACCGGCGGCACGACTACTGGCTGCTGGCCGGCATCGTCACGCACGGCTACGGCCGCTGGCAGGACATACAGAACGACCTGCGCTTCGCCATCATCAACGAGCCCTTCAAGATGGACGTCGGCAAGGGCAACTTCCTTGAAATCAAGAATAAGTTTTTGGCCAGGAGGTTTAAGGTGATATTTCATTTTTTGTAGTTATATGCTTTTTTAGTTATATGGGTACAGTCGTACAGTCATCATCATCATAATTGTCATCATCATCTTATTCAGCCTGCTTTGTACACTGTTGTACACCACTGAACTTGATACGGTACACAGTCTATATTCTGTGGACTACATTAATATTTACGTTTCTGGGTTATAATATAATAATATTATAAAGAGTCAAAGTTTCTAAGTTTAGATATAGGGATTAATCTCTGAAACTACTATATTTATTTCCAATAAATGTCATAATAACTAAGTGAGAAAAAAATTGCCGTTGATTATTTTTGTATTTTGTATTTTCGCATAAAATTCAAGAAGTAAATAAAACGATGAATGTAGTCCAATCCGATGTAACATGAAATTGCAGCTGCTGGAGCAGGCGCTGGTGATCGAGGAGCAGCTGCGGCGCGCGGCGTACCTCAACCTGACGCAGGACCCGAACCACCCCGCCATGTCGCTGAACGCGCGCTTCGCCGAGGTGGAGTGCCTCGCCGAGTCGCACCAGCACCTCAGCAAGGAGTCGCTCGCCGGCAACAAGCCCGCCAACGCCGTGCTGCACAAGGTTTGCTTGTTCATTTTTTATATTTGTCAAATATGTACGTACTCGTAGTAATATCGCGTCGATCAAAAAAGTATCCCATGCAAAAGTTTTCTTAAAACTGTCACCAATTGTGTTTAGGTAATTATTCTAGTTTAAATATTTACGACGATTGATAAAATATCACTATTTACAATATAGTAATAACATTTATATAATGATATAATTGATAGTTACCGAAAATATGAAATTCCATTATTTTCTAGCGTCCTAAATGTCTGATTTTTGCAATTTTTAAACGAGCATCGAGGCATGCTCACCGTCAGAGCGTTCCAATGCTACTAAATTAAAAGCGCGGCTAAATGTTCAAATGAGCGTTAATTCGGTGAGGTCATTTTTTGTCGCTAATTGTGTACCTAGTTTACTTTTTTTTATCGATGTAATATCGATATAAATAATGCTTTATATCTAAACTAAATATTGTCTCATACTAGGAAGCTAAATTTTACATGGATGCTTCTTGGGTTATGGATCGTTTGGTAATATAGGTATTTCATGGGAGGCATGTTAGTATTTGTTATAAAATATATTTGTAGGGTTACTTATGTGTATATGTTTGTCCGTGTGTCGCACAGGTGCTGAACCAGCTGGAGGAGCTGCTGTCGGACATGAAGTCGGACGTGTCGCGGCTGCCGGCCACGCTGGCGCGCATCCCGCCGGTGGCGCAGCGCCTGCAGATGTCGGAGCGCTCCATCCTGTCGCGCCTCGCCGCCACCGCCGGCAACCCCGTGCCCTCCGGTCGGTACCGCATCGAATGACCGGACGACTATATTATATTAGGGACCGTACATGCATAGGATACATTATAGTTTCATTTTTTTTTAAGTTTTAAAATTAATATATATGTTAGTTTTTAAGGTATATATGTTATGGGCCTCTGTTTACATATTTGAAATCTTTTTGTAAATATTACCTGAAATAAATGATTAAATTAAAAACTTAAAATTAAATTAAATTAATAGTGCACAAGTGTGCGCGTAAACACAAGTGCACTCTCGATACCTGTCAAAATCATACTCCGGTGGGATGATCGTTCGAAACCATCGGTAAAAGATCTTTATGTGCTCTCTCAACTTCTCAACTTTAGGATTTTGCTGTGAATTTCTTGATAGGAAAACTCAATAATAAAACTTGGCTCGACACTTGACTCGAACCCAGGACCTCCAGATATGCAGCCGTTTATGAGATGTATAAATTTCCTGGGCTGATAAAAGTAAAAAGTGCAGATGTGTTCGTGTCTATAAAAACGCGCTACAGAGCGCTCACTGCTCGAACGCGCTTTAAAAAGTAATTAATGTACTCGCTTGTTTTGATAAAGTAAAATGATAAAAGTGTATTACTTTAATAGTTTACTATACAAAAATATGTATATAATGTAATGTTTGATGCGTTTGCAGCGCAAATGGCGCAGTTCCCCGCCGGGTTCGGCGCGGGCGGCGCGCTGCCGGGCTTCTCGCCAGCCGCCGCCGCCGCCAACTTCACCAACTTCCGCCCGCAGTACTCCGTGCCCGGCCAGCCCGCCACGCCCTCCTCCAATGTGTGTACCCCTACATTGTACACCATACACATACTATATTTATTTTATACTAGCGACACACCCTCGCTTCGCTCTCGTTCGTCCCTATTTACGTTTCAACGATTAGTATAGAATAGAAGATATTGAAGAAAGTAATCCGAAGTAGTGATTTCCATACAAAATATCCAGTTTTAAACTTTTTGATTTTTAGCTGTTCTTATGGGTTTTTCCTATTATTTTTTTATATTTAAACCATCCCTGATATACCTCCAACAAAACAAAAGAAGAATCATTCAAATCGGTTCAGCCGTTTGTGAGTTTTAGGGAGACTAACGAACTGCAATTGATTTTTATATTTTTTATATAATATTTTAGGAATAATTTATGAATTAACAATTTTGACTATACTATTTATTTATAAAAATACTTTTATAAAGTAGTTTTTATTTTACGTAAATAGTTCATATCGCTCTCGTAGATTTCGACGTTATTCTACACCCTAACCTTGCCTGGGAGAGATTGCTCAGAGATGTTTTTGTTCTTATATTTGTTTTTATGTGGGACTGGTGTGATCTGTTTTTTTACTCACTTTTAAATTGTTTGTTACAGAAATCATAAGTCTGCGGTTAATTATAGATCGACGTAAATCAAGTTGACAAGTATGCAGGTAAATAGCATTGTTTTTATTTAATTAGCGACTTACCCTCGCATCGCCCGAGCGTCAGTTTTAATTTTTTTGAACGGAACCCTAATTCTTTTTCTTAAATAAAAGTAGCCAAGTTACTTCTTGTAACATCAGCTACCTGCAATAGCAGATTCAATAGAAAAACTTGTCAAAATCAGTCCAGCCATTTCGGATATTAGTCGGAAGCAAGCAGCCAGACAAACATTTAAAAAATTGTGTTTTCCTTATAAGTACTGTATATAATTTCGTATGCATTTACTAAAAAGCTTTTATTTCGACATTACAAACAGAAAATTCCAATTTCATTTATATGTATAGATTATCTAATTTTATCTTTATTTACATAAAAATGTTGTACATTTGTTTCAGTGAGCGGTCTCAGCATCGCGCTTAGACGAATAATTTAGATGTAAGCTTTCTAAGATTCCTGTTCCACCTTGGGTTTGAAGTGATACAATTAGTGGTTAGTGCGGTTATGTTAGGTAACATAATATACGTCATACTAGAACAGAACTCTCACAATATTATTTATTTCATCCTGATCTGTATGAATCTTGTTTTGTCGCGTAAGTGATTGTGGACTTATGAAATCTTTTATTTTTAATTTACCAAAAATGAAAATTGAATAAATCATACAATTACGTAAAAAATATTGTTTTATTGTTTTCAGTCCATACAAATTACAGAATATTACATGATTGTTACATCTTTGGAATATAATACACACGTCAAAATGGGCTCAGTTATATTTTAAACATGCACATAAATTGTTTAAAGGATTTAAAGAAGCCTTATATCAAAACTTGTAAAGGCCGCTTCGATCTACATTTATTTACACTGGCAAGTCCAAGAATAATAAAGCAGATGTCACCAAGTAAAAGTATCATCTTCCGAGTTATATTTAACACTGTCCAGAGGCTTCACATTGCTGGGGTCGGTTGAACAAAATAACTTCAACACGTCTTCACTGAGGCCACAATCTGATAGATTTTCTTTATTGAACGCTTGTGCAAAATCGTTAGGTTCTTTTTGTTTCGATAATTCTTCTGCAACAACAAGTATAAAAATGTTATTTTTATAATAGTTTGTAATAATTATCTCTGTGACATTTTAAAGTAAGATAAACTCCAGAATTACTTTAAATTCTTTGATAAATAAAAAGTTAAATTATATGATAGTGGTTTATTTTTCTTTTCATTCTGCTCGATCAACTATTTTTTTTATTTATTAAGAGCATTGTCGTTACAACGACCATGTCGCTCTGTAAGGTATATATACAAAATCTCTTAAAATTAACTACGCGGTTATTAGTTTAATAGTTGTCAGGTCTCGCAAGTATACTGTTACCTATCTATTTCTTGTAAAGAGGTGAATAAAAAAAAGTAGTGAATGCGTGTCTAGCAGTGTGACGTTACCCTCGACGATCCTCCTGGCGGCGGAGGTGAAGGCGAGCGTGGGCGCGAGGTGCGCGAACACGGCGCTGTAGTCGGCGCGCGCGCGCAGCACGCCGCACAGCGCGTGCACGGCGCTGGGCAGGATGGGCCCGCGCAGCTCGATCGAGTAGTACTTCGTGCTGTCCGACTGGATTATGTTCTCTCGCATCTGCCGAGGATATTGACACATGCAAATGTCAAATCTACAAATAATGGTGCCAGCTCTTTTGTGCAGTGTTGTACCAACGATTACGATTTTTAGCTTTTTCAAGCGATTCGTTTCAAAGTTTTATATTCGAAAGTGTATCATTAAAATTCACATTATTAATTCTATATCATTAAATATCATATTTATTAATTTTAAATCATTAAGTATCATTAACAGATTAACTGTCCGCAAAATAGACAGAATAGTTGAACAATCGAAATGTTCATATATGACTCATGGGACAGGGAAACAGTTAAAATTCACATTATTAAAATAAAATTTGCATTATTAATTTTGTATTATTATGTTTTAAATAAGTACCTACACATTATTTCAGGATAACTTATTATAAAAATACGAGACTCGATATTATTAACGTTAATTTTCGATTGTGGCACATAACTATTTAAGAATTGCAAAAAAACTGGCAACCCACGTAATATCAGTTTTGTATCCGAGATTAAAAAACAGACTATATTATACAAAAAAGTCGCTCCCGCTGTTTGTACGCTTAGGCCTTTTGAACTACGCAACGGTTTTAATGCAGTTTTCAGCAATATATATTAAGAGGAAGGTTTATATGTATAATACTTATATTCTATACTAACAGTTAAAACGTTCCTAGGGACGAATCCGAGCGAAGCGTGGGTGAGTCGCTAGTATGTTATAAATGAATTTATAAATTCCTATTAAACTAATATAATGCTTATTTTTTTTCGAAAAACATTACTACTACAAAAATATAATTTATTGGGATATTATTATATAGTTGTTACCATTTTATTTTTACTAAATAACCGATATGTCGCTATTTTCGTCCGTTTAGGATAGAATTGTAATGGTATTGAAAAAATCCTTTTATAGCCACTCCTAAAAGGCCCAGCGACTATTAACTATTATATATTCCAAAAAGACTTACAGATATAAGATTGACGGTGTATGTAATGTAGATTAGAAAATCGAACGATTAGTTTAGGCGCTACGATGAAACATACCAACTACAACTACAATATAGCTCCTTTCTTATGACTACCGCAGTTTGGTAAAACCGATTAGATATGAGTGCGAGTATGTGTGTGAGTGTGCGTGCATGTGACCTTGAGCGACTGCAGCGCGGCGCCGTGGAAGGCGGCGGGCGCGAGCAGCGTGGGCGGCACGGCGGCGCAGGGCCCGGCCGCCGCCACCGCCGACCGGCAGTTCAGCAGGAAGTTGAACAGCGCCTGCGCGTCCGCGCCGCGCACCGCCGCCAGCGACGCCGCCGCGCCGTCCGCGCTGCTCTCCGCCGTGAGCCGCGCGCGCGCCTGCACACACACACAATGTACACAATCCAAATATATATTTAGTTTAACTGTTAATGAATAAAACTTTCTAGTTGGACGCCAGCCTCGACACGACGACACACAAAATATCAATTCATTTCATTGTTTATTTCAATTTAATGGTTTAATAACGTGCCACTTGCCAGTTGTGGACGACTTCACCAGGTCGCACATTTGTTGAGTAGAAGGGAGGGCCTGTCGAGAATACTTTTTCTCATGTTAAAATTAGTTGTACCCGTCGACCCTAAAGTTAATTCCTAATTGTCATATAAAAACACCCGTTTTCTCAGTTTTAGCTATTAATGTAATGTCCTCTGGACCAATTTCGGACATGACGATCAATATTATTAACACGTTCAATGCCACTACGATTTTCATGATGTCTTCGCGGATGCCGCATACATTTCACGTTGGACTCGCCAAGCGAGTCGCCGGCACTAGAATATAATTTGAATGGACTCGCCACGCAAGTTCACTGGCATTATGTAAGGGTAAAATTTATCTTTTGTTGTTATTGTGACTGTCTTAGTCTCCGTAACGTTTGTATCGGAAGTATAAAGTGTTTGACGACTATTCAGTGTGTTTTAACTTACAAACATGGCAAAAAACTCAAAGGATAAAATAAAAGGTAAGTTTGTTTCGTAATTTAGGCAGTGGTTGTCAACTTTTTATACAGTGGTTATTTTTAATGTTATTTTTTGTACTAATAATATTTCTGAACAGCAATTTCGCTCTGAATATTTAACGCTGTCTCCTAGTACTACGAATATGGTATCAACTTCTATAAATATATACCATTCGTTTTTAATGCAACGCTAATAATAAAAGGAAATAAATTCAATAATTTTTGTATTTAAAATAATTTAAAATGAAATTAATCAACATTGTACCTATTTATTATTATGTAATATTATTTACAATAATAGATAATATTTTTAAATAATATAATTGAAATTTGACAATAAGTAACAACCTGTTTTTTTAGTGCTATTAGTCCCAGAAACGGAGACTTATGACGAAGACTCAAAATGGAGCAGGTGAACGCATGTGATGACGAAAGGGTCGTACAAATCACTGTTATGACATTAGAAAAAAGTTTACCGTGGTTTACAAGAGTAGTCAATGACGTCACGAATAAGGGTCCAATAAAATCGGCGAAATGTTTTGCGTCCTTGGAGTGAGACTTAGGATTACCCAATGAGAGCTTCGTGAAAAACAATGTTATCAGTGCTTTTGTTTAGTAAGAGCGCGCGCCGGCGCAATGTTATTTGTCTTAAAATTGTAAATGCAATATAAATATGACAATAATAAAGTCTACTTTTCTGAGAACGGGCCACCCTATATTGTGTTGTAAATTTGTGATGTCTGCGATCATTTATATAAAAGATTCCGAAAAGGGTAAATGGGACACTGTAACTATATATTTATAGTTAACTCTAGTACCTGTTTTGTTTCCTTATTTATCATCTAAAGTATGAACCTAACATAATTTGCGAAAGGCTGGGACTGCGAGTGTTTCTGAATAAAAATAATATCTCTTTATTAGGTATACTTTTTGTTTATTGTGAGTATCTTACCCATTGGAATCTCAACTATAATATTATAAAGAGAAAAAAATTATTTTTATTCATAACTAGCGACTTACCCTAGCTTCGCTCGGGTGTCGTGCCTAGCTTGCTTCCCCATACAAACTTTCATCCCCATTGTCACCCCCTTAAGGGATGACTTCCGGGATAAAAACTATTTATTTCACTCACTTTCATATCACGAGATGAAAAAAAATATTTTTTTTGTAAAAAATCTTTTAATTTTCTTCTATACGAAACTTGTCCTGACAATAAAAAATACAAAAAAAAAGAAATATCCAATTTGGTGCAGTTGATCGGAAGATGCGTGTAAATATATTTCGATGATTCATTTTTATTTATATAGATTTACATTTTACAGTGAACGCCACATCAACCTACTAAAAATCGAACTTATTGTGTTGACGACGTTAAAATTTGAGAATCTGCGGCATTGAACTCACCTAGCGAGTTCACGGCATTGCAGAATAATTTTTTTCTTTTAAATGTAAAAAATTTCTTTACATCCAGGCCACCATGTAAACGTGAACATGACATCATATTAAGTCTACACCGTAATTTTGAACAGAATATACAGAAGCGTTTTGAAAATATTACCGAAAAACACTGAACTCGCCGCGCGAGTCCCCGGCACTGTAATAAAATTAACGTAAACTCGCAGAGCGAGTCGGTGGCACTGAACGTGTTAATAATATCGACTTTAAGGTTAGCCATCTACCTGCACAGGATATATTCTAGTTCACAAGTATACACACAGACACAAGTGTAAATTGCATTCATACACATCCCTTATCGTTCTACACTCTGTCCCACGACCGGTAAAAGATCAGGACCATAGTCTTTACATGCTCTCCGAGGCCGTGGGAAAACACCACCAACTTTCCAAAACCCGGCTGCTACTAAAAATTTATTAACAGAAAAAATCCGTAAAAAAACTCGACCCAATCCGAGACTCAAATACAGAATCTCCAGATTTGCAGCTGTACATGCTAACCACTAGACAATAATACTTTTAAAAAATCTATACCTGCGCATTATTTATCTTTTTAATCTCTTCATTTTCGAGGCCCATTTGCGATAAGAATTGGTCAGGATCCTCTTCATCGCCAGAACAGTTGTCAACATCCTGTTCTCTCACATCATCCATCGTGTCGTAACAACTGTCGAAAGAAGAATTTTTCCCGCGATCTTCATCTGAATTGTTGAACTTCTTTTTGCTGTCTGGTCGAAGGGGCATTGTAAATTCTACATCTAAAGACAAAAATAAAATATTTGTGATTATTTCTTAAAAACTTGGGACTTAAAAAAATTATGGTATTAAATGAGAAATTTTATATATTTAAATACATTTCGTCAATCTTAGTAACGGCTCTAACAATTTGGATCAAATAAATCTAATATAATAATAACATTTTTTAATCTTGATTGTATTCAGCCCTTTTTAACGTCCCACAGCTGGGCGCGGGCCTCCCTTTAATACGAGGGGATCAGGCCATAGTTCATCGTATTGGCTGAGTGCGGGAGCTATCTCGCTATTTTGATTACTCTCACGCAAAAACTACAATACTGTAATTTAAAATTATTCGTCAAAGTTGATTTCGAGATATTTGAAGTTTTGCCTTAGTACCTAATAGTAGTTTGTACGTAGCTACAATGAAAATGTTTATGGTATCTCTGAATTAATAATACTTAGAGCTTTATGAGTGAGACTATCATAATGTATTATATATCTATTCAAGCAAACAAAAACAGCCTGAATTAGCACTGTCCATTTTTTTTGTATGGGCTGAGGCACGTGTACTAGTATAGTGTAGTGTAGCAAGGTCACCGTCCCGGCGCAGCGCGCGGCGCAGGCCGCGGGTGGTGGGCGCCAGCAGCGCGCAGGGCTCGCGGCCGCAGAGCCCCGCCGCCAGGAACACGCACGTGAACGAGTTCGCGCACACGTAGAAGTACGGGCAGTGCAGCGCGCGCAGCAGCTGCGGGACAAGCGGGGACAAGCTACGGTCTACACTCTACATACATATCCTCGTCGTCTTTTTTAGGATTTAGGAAATGCTGACTGCCGGTTGGCCTAATAAAGATAGTGTACATTAGACATAATATTTGGCAGTCTTATTCTCATTTTGTTTTAATTTGACAGTAGGTAAAATATACATAAGCAATAACATGATTCAAAATATTTCAAAAATAATAAGTTATTTTACAATAATTTAAAAGAACATACCTGAAATAAAGATCTGAAGCTTTCTGTCCACTCTGTGAACAGTGCCTGTTTCACTTCCTCATTATTGGCCATAAAATTAGTTGCTGCGACTTTGCCCGAAGACCTTGGATATAAATTAATCCAAGGCAGGTGTGGGTGTTGCCAGTACAAGCAGACCTGGTGAAAACGTGCCCGGGGAGATGTATCCAGGGTCGATGAAGACGCGGTGTCGAGACAACGGACGAAACTATGAAATAAAAATATGTACACATCAAAAATGTTTACATTACCAGATGTTCTCTAACTATAATTAAATGGCATCAGAAAGTGTCCATACTGAGATGAGTAAGCTCACTCTTTGTATGGAATTCTTTTAACGCATAAATAACCAAATTACATTTCATAAAAACACCTTGGATGCAGAAGGACTCCCTTCTCATCTATATCTATTAATTTAAATGTTTGATGTAAGAATAAAAATATAATGCACATATTGCACATAAAAGTAAAAAAAAGTAATGTGTTAGAGCTTAGCCAATAAATATTATTCTCTATAAAACCTGCATTGTAACTGTTTGTAAAGTTTTATATTGTTTACGTAAAAATATATCCCTTACCTCTTCATTTATTTCTTTGATATCTCCTTGTATGTTAGCATATGGAATTAAAAACTACATTTTAATTTATAGTCTAGAATAGTTACTAGCAATAAGTGTGGATAAATGCATATAGTTCCCTAGTTCTGCTACTACTCATTGCGAGGTTTATTAGAAAATAAATATTTAAAATGAGTAAAATTACTCAAAATAAATAAAATAAAATCCATACTGGTAGTACTCATGAAGTTTAGTAAAAAAAATTAATATGTTAATGCTGAATAAAATATATTGAATTTGAAAAAAAATCAAAACTCACCCAGTAATCCCTGAAGCTTCTTCGCTGGCTTTCAATTTAGAGGACCAAGGAAATGGTTTAGGAGACATTATCCTTAATTTAGTTTTAAGAGCCCAGTCTATTGTGAGGTGTTTATATTTCTTTTCAATAACTTGCTGTAAAATATGAACTAGTATTACATATGCAACATATTTTTTATAGATTTTATAATATAATTATTATCTAATTATAAATGAAGTGCAGATGAAATGTTTGCATTTTTATTTTTTCCTATTTTTAACAAATTTGTACCAATATACAACTCAAGTCCCTACCGTTTCTACTGTATGCTCAGCAGTAAATTTTTGTAGTAAGTTTGAAAATGTTGCAAGTTTCTCTATGTTTACTTCTTGTGCAGGTTTGTCAATTATTTTGGTAGGCATCTTTAGTAATGCAAATAAGGTCTTGTCATTTGATTCATCTATTTGTGGAGCTTCTTCTAGTTTGGATTTTTTATTTGGTTCTGCATTATTTCTATAACACAAATGAACATATTTTAAAGAAGGTTAAATTAATAATAATATATATGTAGAGAAGTATTGAACACTTCATTTATTGCTTGAAAGTTTAATTTTGAAAGGTAAAAAAGAGTATAGATAATAAAGTTTTTTACTTAGAAAATGGATTTTTTCTTTTGTCACCATTAAGAATTCTTGAAAAGTCTAAATCAACAGTAGACTTATGACTAGATGTTTCTACAGCAATCGATGTAGACGGCTGTTGCATTCGTTTCTGAAAAATAAATAATTAATTTAATGACAAAACATATATAATCAATAAATATCAAAAATGTAATAGAAAAACTTTTTACCTTCTACATTAAGTTACATCTATAGCAAATACCTTGCAAGTCAAATTTGATTAATATCATATTAAATATGAAAAACAGTTTAAATTATACTTAGAAATTTAGACAAGCAAACCTTTTTAATGAAATTAAAGTTTTCATAAAATATACCTGCAATGCTTTTTTGCGTTTTTTTAACTTGTGCAGCTGCATTACTTGATTTGGAGTCTTCCATGGTGATGGAGGATTCATTGCAACGTAGATATTGATTTATAAGAAATTTATATTATATTACTAGTTTTTCTAAGATGTAAACAACAATTCAACACACTATCTCCAACGTTATTTATGACATTGACATATAGTAGGTATATAATAATCATAGACCAAGAATGATATTAATAATCTATGATTGACATCTCTTTAGTATTTACACATATAGAGTATTTTCAGTTTACTGTTATTAACAGACTAACAATATGTCTTCGATCAACAACACTAATAGATATCAAACAAGAACCAACGACCAACCAGCAACAAAAGAACCAACAAGAATCACTGCTACCAGTGCTACATGTATTGACAATATATTCACAAATTGTAAACTATCCCCTAAATCTATTATAAACAAATTAAGCTCAGACCATTGTGGTCAGTATAATTGCCTTTAGCACACAAACTTTCTTTAACAATTTTATATAAAACTATTATACAATAAATGATTTTATAGAAGATGGAACACCTTGAGAATGAAATGATTTTGAATTTATCAGGTCGGCGTAAAAAATCCGTCTTGGTAAATATAAGCTCATTTGCAAAGTGAGCGTATATTTCGATTAGTTCTATTCAAACACGGCCAACGTAAACCATGGATGACAAATAAAAACGTAAACACGTTCACATTAAGACGATCCTGCAACGCCCCATTAAGATGGCGGAGGTTCTGTTGGGTTTTAGTGGGTAGTATGGCTTTGCCGGTGAGTCCCACATAAGCGCCTCACCCGGGACTTGAACCCAGGATCTCCAGATCTGCGGCCATGCATGCTAGCCACTAGACCACCGAGGCAGTTGAATTGAAAAATGCATATTATTCTGTATATAATCTAGTATAGTATAATATGATTTGTGTTATAACACATTTTGTTATCACCAAATTAAAAAATGCTTCGCAAGATTCTATTAGTATTTTTTTTAATTTTCAGAACCTATGAGTAATTGCCAACTAATTAATGCTTTTTAAACGACCTCAAAAAAACGGTTATCAATTCGATTAAGATGGCGAAATCCCATTAAGATGGCGGAGGTTCTGTTGGGTTTTAGTGGGTAGTATGGCTTTGCCGGTGAGTCCCACATAAGCGCCTCACCCGGGACTTGAACCCAGGATCTCCAGATCTGCGGCCATGCATGCTAGCCACTAGACCACCGAGGCAGTTGAATTGAAAAATGCATATTATTCTGTATATAATCTAGTATAGTATAATATGATTTGTGTTCTAACACATTTTGTTATCACCAAATTAAAAAATGCTTCGCAAGATTCTATTAGTATTTTTTTTAATTTTCAGAACCTATGAGTAATTGCCAACTAATTAATGCTTTTTAAACGACCTCAAAAAAACGGTTATCAATTCGACACGTATGTATGTAATATTATTGGAACTGCAAAATATTCACATATGATAATCCGTTCTAGCAGGGGCTTCTAAGCAAATATACAAAATTTTATAGGTGTATGAATGTATGTTTGTATGTATGTTTGTCCACACATTTCTCCAAAACTAGTTATTGGATCGTGATCATTCTTTCTTTATATGCTTACATTTATTTCAACTTAGGGAATAGTAAAGATTTTATCAACTATCTATAATTGTATCACTTTTTATGATATGGACTAGAACGTGTAACTAAAACTGAAATAGTTTTTTAATTACTACTTAAACTAAAAGTTACAAAAGAAAAAAGTAATTTAAAAAAAATAAACCAACTCCAAAAACATACTAAAGAATAAAAAATAACTGATTGGTAGATACTTTTGATTTACTATAGATACCTGATCAGATATTTTCGAAGTCGGTGTGCTTTGTGTATCGGCTGGAACTGACTTCGAAAATATCGGATTAGGTATATCTATAATAAATGAAAACCCTCGTTCAGTATTTTTTTATTTTTTTTGAAGTTGGTTTAATATTTTTTTATTACTTTTTTATTTCTAATCTATAAATTGATGTCAAATTTTATATCCTATACCTCATAGCCGCTTAGGTTCAAAATATATTTTATAAATTAATTTTAGACCACAAAATCTATATATATATGCGTCGTAGCTTTGCCAAGTCACCAATATGAAGCATTGGACATCAGTGCCGAGACAACTCGTTACAGATTAAATACACAAACACTACAACAACCAAAATAAAGTGATAACTTGTTTTACTGATTATAATTGATTAAATGATTTTATCTAACCATAATTTTCGATTTAACTGAGATATTTCTAAAACTTACAAATAAATTATTTGCTAAATTGTTATAATTGTAAGTAAATCTTAATAAAATAAATATCTACACTGAATATGTACAACTAATAAAATATATTTGACGTTTATATAATATAATTAAATGTATTTTGTAAAAATACTTATACTAGGAACAGTTATCTAATGTAAGTTGTAACATTTATAAAGTTACTGTACTGTATTATTTAAGTACTGATAAACTATATCTAATTTTTATTATATTATATCAAATTTATTGTTAATACATATATCGTTTAAATAACATTTGTAGATATTATAAAAACCGACTTCAAACAAAAGCGCTAAAAACTAAAAAATAACTGATTGGTAGTTTTCATTTACTATACATATCTAATCAAATATCATCAATCAAATAAAGTCGGGGCCAGCCAATACAAAGCAGAGCACATCGACTTCGAAAATATTTGATTAGGTGTGTATAGTAAATGAAAACTACCAATCAGTTATTTTTTAGTTTTTAGTGCTTTTGTTTGAAATTGGTTTTTATTTTTTATGTTAAAAAGTTTTTCTTTATTATTATTAATATTGTTTACTATTTCCTTTATTTTATGCGTCTCGTCATGGACCGTGAAGAGGGATAGAGGTGTCTAAATTAATTTGGTAATAATCACGTGTGATGTGGCGAAGAAAAAATAAAAATCAACCGGCCAGTTAGGGGCTTTAATAGCAATAACATTTTATACAAAAATTGCTTATAACTAACTTAAACTAAATTACGGAAGCTTAAAAACATCCAGAATAGGAAATTGTTCTGCAATTCCTCCTCAGTATCTTCGATTGTGGCTTTAAAAAGCTCGTTCACCATCTAATCACAGTCGATGTGGCACTGCGGTTGGTATACATAGGTTTGGCTAGCGTTTGTAATAATCACTCGGGCCACATGTCAGATGGACGATTGAACCATTTTCCAGCTGCGATTGAATGAGATTTGCGGAAGTCCTAAAGATGCTCATTAGGGAGAGGGTCTTCGTCTACAAGTTCACATCTATTCGTTGTCCCGTCGTTCCACACATCACATAATTCCATTAGAGATACAGACGTATCTCGTCCTTAGTTTCAAGGCAATCAATTAATGCTATGGAATCATTGTTGATCACATTGTGTAATAATATGAAGCTTCTATCTCTTATTAAATCTTTCCACCACAACATGAAAGGCTCAGTTATGTACAAAGGGGATACATCGAAACCATTTGACACGAAGAGAGAAGTACGACAGGGCTGTGTCTTAGCACCTACACTGCTTGGCATATTTTTTTTATTTCTTTTAAGAGTCGCTTTTGGTGAAGCCAGGCAAGGTATACATATACACACGAGGGAAGATGGTAAGCCGTACAAAATAACTAACGTAACTTCTAAAGTCCAAACGTCATCGCAAGAACCAGTTTATTGATTCCCTTTTATTTACTGACGACGCAGCTTTTGTTCCCGCCCCTCCATGCGAACTCCAGGACACAGTGAATAAATTTGCGCATGCGTGTACACTATTTAATATGTCCATAAACGCTAATAAGACTGTCATATTAGCGCAAGGCTGCACGCAAAAACCAGACATTTGGCTGAACGGTGCACCTTTAGAAGTTGTTGAAAGCTTTCTTGAAATTGTATCAAAATATAGCTATTAATAATTGTATTAACTTATATTGTAAACTACTGGCAACATCTAATTCTGTTCTGTATCTGTACTGAATCTAATAAAAAATCTTTAGTCTATGACTTTTATTCAAAGAGTATAGTTATAAACTGCTTTTATTTGTCATCCATGGTCTATGACAAGCACGCAATCGTTGAATCGTATAAATTAGGTTTTTACTTTTTATATGTAGCAATATAGTCTATGTTAATTGTTAATACATAATTATAGCTAGGTAATGATTTTTTCGTCGAACTCATACATCAAATCAACTCATAAATCAAAATATGAACATTGCCATAACTGGTTTAGGTGAAGCAAAAATATACTCCCGCGGTGCGACTACCTTAGATATTGTTATATAAGTATAATTATAAATATAAAAATGTTATATTTTACATTGTTCCAAAGACTCAATTCCTTGGAAAGTTATTCTAGGTAACACTTTTGCGTAATGTATTAACATGTATGAAAAATTATGTAGTATGGTTTACCTCAACAGATGATAATTGGTTGAGTTGTATGATGAGTAGTTGCTTTTGTAGAAGCGAACCCGAGCGAAGCGAGGGTGAGCCACTAGTCTATATATATAATAAAATTCTAACTAAGCCGAATCTGTACATTAAATATTTGTTTGGAAATTTTATTGAAATAAATGAAATAATAATTATAGATGCAGAGGCCGATTCTATAGTTTTTAGAATTTTTGTTTGTCCGACTGTCTGTCTGTATGTTACCGCATCACAGAAAAACCACAGGAGGGATTTTGATCAAATTTGGTACGGTGATAGCTGGTTATACGGGTCACCATATAGGTTACTTTTTACCGCGGGAAAAGTCTCGTTTCTGAGAAAAAATACAAAAACTGCAATGTAAGAGTATACTAATATGTAAAACCTAAGAATTTGGTTTTTGGTCATCTGAACGCGGGCGGAGTTGCGGGCAATGCTAGTTATCTTTAAAATAAATGCCTATTTTACTCAATAAAATAATTATTTCCTTCTTTATGTGTCATTTAATTGCACTGTAATAAAATACACAGTATTTTGTTCCATAAAACACAGTATTTTTCTCGTAAATACCGTATTTTAATGTGGCCAGCACAGTATTTTAGAAAATCTGATTTGGCAACACTGACATCAGTTCTTATACCTTCAGGTTATAGTTACATCGGCAACAGCTTTATCCGCTCCATCTTCTTTCTCTTTGTTGGTCGTAGCTCGCTCATACGTAGCGAATTTACAACTCTTTGCCACGTTTTTGTACATGTTACTTAGGTACTTTATAATTTATTAATATATATATATATATATATATATATATATATATATATATATATATATATATATATATATATTAATATATAGTATCGTCATCTTGTACATAATATACAAATAATTTACTATATTACTTGCCTTCAGTCTACTTGTCTGCTGAAACAGCAAAGACAACTTTGAGCCTAAAAGGTATTATATTATTATACGTATCTACCCATTGAGTTAAAATAATAATTAATGTTCTATACATTTGCATATTTTAGTAAATGTAATAATACCTTCTGCCTACGGTTTACTCTATTCCGCTGTTTTATAATTGAATTTCAACATTATTTTAAGACAATTTTTATGTTTCTTTACGATGCAACCGAGAGTTTATTTGATACTTAGTTTATCTAATTCATATTGTGTTCTAATATTTTAATTTTTGCAATTCTGCCACATTGAATTCATAAATTTATACAAAGTTACGCATATCCATAGAATATTTGTTAGTTTAATATTAAAAAATATTAACTAGTCTGTTCAAAATATAGAAATCATTCATTTCGCGTAATCAGCTGCCCACACTATGATGTAGCGTAACTTCTATAGTGAATAACATATGAATCATTTTAACTATAGTGGGAGTGTATTGAGATGGTCATTTTTATTTATGTTAATTCTATTTACATTTAAGCTTTAAATTATTAATTATATTTATTTTGTTGAAATAATATTCTATAAGACCTTTAATTTTAAAAATATGTAGTCGTATTTTTAATAAATGGCCTTAATTTGAGTTACAATTGCATTGTGAAAATAAATTTAGTAGGTAGGACTAGGTAATGTACCACTTAATAACAGGTTTATTTATTAATATAGAATTTTATAAAATTCGCATTATTATTAATATTCATTAAGTATTATACATATTATATTAAGTAAATAGGTAGTTAATATAAATAACTAGACCTTGCTTCGTTTTAGCATACGTCTCTTACTGTAGTACTTAATTTAAAAAAAAGATAACGTAACCTATTCTGATTATTGTAATATACACTGGGGACCGTTTCATATTACGAAATATAAAATAATATTATAAATCTATATAGCACTTTTTCTATAGGTACCTACTAATGTAATTTTTTAATGCACTTCTATCCTCTAACTCCTTTGTTTTTCCGTTAAAAGTTATAAATCTAATATAAATATAATAATAAAATCAGTAATTATACGTTTTTGTTTTCCCTTTTTACCCACCCAACTAATCTACAAAATTTCTTTGTTGAATCAGCTTTTCAGCGCTTTGTTGGTATGAAGTGATAGGCAAACTGCCGTTTTAAGGCATACAAATATCATGTACTGGGTTATATAACTTAATGTGTAGCTGCTCGCATTTTGTAATCACATACCTACTGCTATTTTAATTCTAGTTAAAAGCAAAAAATAAAATAATAAAAATTAAAACTAGAGTCTACACTAAAAGTAACTATTTATCTACATATTCTTTATTTCTTTGTACATCGAACTGGTTTTATAACTTTTCTGGGTTCAAAACAGCTGGACTATAGCAGGGAGTGAAGCGATGACCTGTCAAATCTCGGCTTATTTCTCCCGCGCTCGGACGCGGCACAACGGGCACCGGCAGTCAGCCACTACACTCGCTCACACACGCTATAATGGAAGTGTATATAAGTTCAAAGTCTTATTGCGAATAAAAGAAATATATAGAGGCGGGAAAATTTGAGCTGTCAATAATGTTGTAATAATTTCTTAAATAAATATAATAGTTTATTTAAGTATATTTTCAAAATGTCTTCTACTTTGAAACATAATTAATAATAAGCCAAAATATGCCACATAATTTATGTGATTTTTGTGCATTTTCAAGAAGACGCAAGTATTTGGTAAGTACTATTATTACCTACTTATTCGAACTTATATTCAGTAAAAAATAAATCTACTGAATAAAACTCAACTAAACTTTTATCTAGGAAAAAATTCAAAAAATCTTTTGCGTGTACACGGTTAACTACCAAGATAAACATGATTACCGTGACCTGAAAGGCTGAAATTGTTCAAGTGAAGGAGTAGAAGCGCACCAATTTTACTTTTTAGGCCGTACAAACAAAAGAAAGGCTCTGCATTCCTGTTTTTTTAACAGCCCTAAAATCACTGTAACCTTTTTTTGTGAGAATAATTTCAATTAAGTATTTAAATGAAAGTATATTTTCCTGTTACTTTCAAAAGTTAACATGTAATGATTTCGCGTGCCCTTTGGTTATGCAGTTCCAAGAAATACTGGATGATGTCAACCGTGTATCAAGTAACAATATAATTCTATAGAACACAAATACATTACGTCACACCAAACATTCTAAATATTCAGCTTGTTAATATAGCAGCAATGTATTTTAAGATTAAGGTAACGGCCGTGGAGTATAGTTCGCTCGGAATAGCATACTTAATCGTGAATCAGTTTTATTGCATTCTTCAAAAAAACAGAACTTAGGAACTTTTGTATTGCCTTTAAAGGTAACTTTTACACGTAAAATAATTATTACTTTATAATGAATCTAAGTCACATTATCTATGTTATTTAGAAATTAATTTGAATATGAAAAGTTTTAAAATATGTATTTTATTTTTCACCAAATTTAATAAGTAGAAATAAAAAAACAGGACAAATTATATTAGTATATTACCTATATAGAAAAAAATCAAACAATATTATCTTTCACATACATATATTCATATGCTAATATTTTTGGAGTTAAGTACTTTACGTAAGCTTAAAACAAACATCACGGAAAGTCTAGTCTAGTTACACAGTACCGAAGTTTACTGTATAATTGATTAACGAAGGTGTAATGATAACGTACATATATCTACATATATTCTTTTAGAATCACCACAGTTCAGAAATTAATGTTATTAGTTTTGAAGTAAAATTCGATCATAAACTTAATGTAATTCTATTTTTATTTAATTACAACTCTAAGAAAATGTGTATCTAACATATTTCATATTTGGCATGTTCATGTATATTTTGAATACGATTTGAGTATACAGCTAATTGGCAATCATTTGAAGTTTATTTTATAACGACTCTTGTTGTATTTTACTTAGGAATACGCATCAAAAATGTTTATGTTATATAAAGATGAGATATGATTATATAATTTTTATCATTATTCGTGACTTCGTAAACAAATGAAGTCGTACTTTTAAGTCAACTGTAAAAGATATAGTTTTATTTCTTAGAGGAGAGGGTAAGATTACACGCACGAAAAGCTGTCACAAGCTTCTCAGATGCAAATGAGAATCCGATAATGCGTTCGACATGTATTAATTAATGCGGGACCACACTCTAGCTCGCTGTCATCGGTTCCATTCAGATGTTCAATAGAGGTGGGCTGTCAAAGCGTTGTATAGACTGCTGTCGTTACGCATAAGATTTGAATAGCGTCTGCACTGAAGTGGCTAGCTGTGCCAGTTTAAACTTCCGACGCATGTCATGTCGTTTGCTGGAAGTTGTGTCCTTTTTGAGGTTTGATATCTCAATGAAAACTGTCTCTAAGGAACTGGCTCATACTACGTATACTTAAACGTCGTATTACGAAAGGATATGTAGAGTCCTTTGACCAATGGTAGAAATGTACAGAATTATGTTCTTGTCTCTTTCATCATTTTGAATATCTACTTCTATATGGATATAGATTTTGTAGTTTGTTTCATTTTCAGCATAAATTTTGTAAAGATATTGCATATGTAGAATATTCTGTTTTATACCTACTATTTTAAACATGAAATGTTTAGGTTGCCTAACCTTGCAAAATGTTCCCTCTTCTGTAAACGTAACGCTAATTTTGCAAAGTAAATAAATAATGGCAAATGGGTGATGTAAATTGCATAAGTTATTTTACATGTTTATTGAAGCTGACCAATTGAACGCTGAACAGACTAAATCTGTTTAACTTTAGTTAAATAAATAAAATTAAGTAGATACGCCAAGTGGTGGACATGATACTCAAAATCTCTTCTATTTTAAAGAAATGCATAGTGCACACCGTTTTAGGATATTCTTTTTCAGCTTAAAATAAAGTTATTTTAAATCCCCGACATTGTTGCTAGAGGCATGTCATTTGCTGCACAATAAATACGCTAAGTTTACGAACAAACGTGACAGGTTGATTAGATGACTTGGGGGGATGTGAGTCACAAGTCAAGCATTTTGTTCAATGTCCTAGTAACAGTGTAGTGTGAGCTATAAACAAATTTAGTTTCATTATGACCTCAAAACAGTTTTTAATATTTACGAATTATCCATATCCATACTAATATTATAAATGTGAAAGTAAAAGTGTGTTTGTTTGTTTGTTTGTCCTTCTTTCACGTTGAAACAGAGTGGCAGATATGCGTGATTTTTGTATGAAGATAGTTGGAGGGCTGGAGAGTGACATAGGCTACTTTTTACCGAGGGATTATCTGATCCTACGGGAATACACATCATAATACAACCCAAAACAACTTATCATACCTATGTATATGTATAATATATAACTTATCTATTCCATACTAACCGTTAAAACGTACCTAGAGACGAATCCGAGCGAAGCGAGGGTGAGCCGCTAGTAAGTTATAAACTATTAAACTGAAAGTGTGTTTTAGTATCTATTTTAAATTACACGAGAATGATTGAGGCATTCAACTAATTTATGGATAATGGCTGTCCCAAAAAACATGAGGTTGCCAAATTAGATATCTTGGTTGATTGAAAGATTTTTATATTTGAAAAAGTAACATTTTCATTTTTAATACTGAAGAATAAATACCTACTTGGTGATTGTTTTATATTCGTTTTTGTTAATTTACCTTTATAATCATTATTATATAAATATTTAGTGTCATGCTCTAATTATTTCATAACCTTCCGGCATGGATTAGAGTAGGTATAAGGTCGTGTATTGGATTCCCGTTCAAGGAAATGTTCATTTTCAATTTTGGTAATACCAAGGTCAGCCGTCATATTGCTGGTCATTTTATGTGACTAACGAATTAAATAAAAAGTAAATAAAAAAGCAGTATTTACATAAAATTTAGTTGACCCACATATGAAGAATAAAAAAAAGATTTATATCACTCTCCGAATTCCGGTCTGAATTTCAATTAATAATAAAATAGTGCCAATTCTTCTTTGATGATTTTATAATTTATATTAATTTATCGTTTATATTCATCACAGAAAGATTTTTATTAAATCGTTATATTTGTTTCAGATATTATGGATCTCATTAGTTATATATCTTTTTTACAAATCGTTTACATTTTATTTAAACGGTCGCCAATTCTTTTATTTGAGGCGAATGTTAGGGGTAAGTATTATACTGATATTTAAGCTATAATAAAATCTTTAAATTTAATATAAATACGTATATTTTTATAAAGCTTTCATAACAAATATAAATATTCTATCTAAGGAGTAGGTAGGTACATACATAACAGTATAAAGCATGTTTATAAATAACTACTTGTTACGTAGTATTCTTAGCGGAATTCATGATTTATAAAAAAAATTATATACATATACATACAAAGATGGGTCTATACATTGTTTTTAAAGTATATTTCTTTCTTACAGTTGGGTTTATGCGTGTCTCGTGGCACTGCAACAGTCCTCAATCTCTGTTGCGCTCTAGTCCTACTGCCATTATGTAAAAAACTAAATCAATTGCTGTACAGAATTTTATCTAAGATATGCCCTGGATTGTTTTTCTTTTGGTTGGAGAGCGCGAAAAGTTTTCATATGACCGTGGCGATAACTCTTGTAATTTTTGGTGGTGAGTAGTATATATTTATTAATATTAACTGTAAGTATAAATACTTAAAAACCTCTATGGGCATACTCTGTGTTACGAAACAATATAGCCTAACCAATATTTTTTTTTTTGAAAAAATGTTTTTTTGAGACCTCCGCTTCCAAATATCATGATAATAACGTGAACAAATGTTTTATCCAACTTTTTATGTATTTTTCCATAGCATTGTCACAAGAATCTCGTTTCTCTCTCTTGAGACGGTCTATTAATTCAGGTGAAGTAGTAAAAATTAGCAACAATTTTAACTTAAAAAGCAGACTTAAACCGCTTATACTCCTAAACACCTCTTATACACCATTATGTTCTTCAGACAAAGGCTAATGACTCCGACACAATTCCAACTTCTAGACTTTAGCGTAGTGCGTAAGATCAACGCACGATTAGCCTAGAAAACAAAACCATTCTTTTTAGTTTTCTAAAGACACAAGACATAATCTATTATCTGTGTTTTTGTTTACGCATGATTGTTTTTATCAAATAAATTACTTTCGAAATTGTCTCATACTGTATTTTTCGGATTACTAGAAAATCTGTTAGAAACGTTATGCTATATAATATATGTTATATATTTGGTCGTAAAATTAAAAAAAATCTGGTCTCAACAATAGCGTTATGCCAACCAGACAGATCCCCCTCCTCCCCCTTCAAAAGTACTTACATAAAAATTTCATCAAAATTGGTCAAGCCGTTTAGGAGGAGAAGAAATACGAACACAGAAACACCAAAATTATAATTTTAATGTAAGATATGTAAAATGTTGACTGATTGATTGACGTTTGTGTTCCATCTCATGTTCTATAACAAAATGAAGCGAAGGAGATAAGAAAATAAATTTAACGCTATATTTGTGTAAATACTAAATATTGCATTTTATTAACCATTTTAGGGATAATTAAAACATAATACAACTCACATCGAATAATAAATAAATGTTAATTTACTTTTTGTAAATAAAACAGTGCCTGATGTCGATCAATGTTGGTTTGCACGTTCGCGTGTTTCTAGCGTATAAAATTAAGAATATCAAGCTTATAAATCACAGAGTAATTTATTTATGAACTACTGAAACCAATTCAAAGTATGAACTTAAAAGCATGTTCAACTTTTATTGCATGTTTATTTGACGAATTGTACTCTATTTTTGTAATAAGCTCTAATAATATCTTATTTAATCTCTATATGGGTATAACTTATTCAAGAAGTGGACTAAAGCCAATAAAATTGTTTCCATACTGTATATTTCTTTAGGGACAAATATTTAAACTTTATATATAATTTCAATTTAAATATACAAACGGACAGTATCTTTTAGAAGTATATAATTCATTTTGGAGCATTAATTTAATTTTATATATCTTTGTTATGGTAAGAGTCCTTTGTCGAGTTCGTATATAGGATGATCTTGGTGTTAAATATCACCTACCAAAGTATTATGGCATTATCTCTATGGTTTCCCTAAACTTTTCTGTTCCTTTCTAGTAATACATTCCGTATCGCATTTCGTGAACTTGTGGAATTTTTCGCGCAGTTACGACGAAGTAAGGGAGGAAATCAACTTGGCAAGATATAAGAACGAGGTAAGTGTTAAGTTTTACGCAACTTAGTGTAAAAGCTATTTAAATATAGGTACTGTATAATAACTGTTTAACTTATACTACAGTTTTATCAATTGCCGCTAAAATATTATATATATTATGTCCTTGTATTATTTTATATATGTACATTGTACATACATATGTTTTTCTATTAGAATTCAGACTTGTTATAAATTTAAAATGATATTTTAGCTTTAAACTTAAACTAGGTACCTATATTTGCAATTTTTTAATTTATTTTCTGCTTATGTGCTTAAAGAAATAAAATAAAATAATGTCGGTAAACAAATTTATGTTTTGAAAGATTTGAAAGTCAGCAAATCTAGACGAGGAACTATAAAAGGGGTAAATTATGCTAAACACCTCTTAAATATTTAAAAAGTTTTTGCACACAAAGATGCAGACTGATTTCATATCTGAAATGACGGAGGGTTGTGAAATTAATGCGAGACAAGTCGAGGGTATGCAAACACTTGTCGAGAGTTCCAGGTGTTTGAAACATATTGTCAGGAAACGACCCCGGGCTAGCCGTTTGTCAAAAGAAAAAAAAAGGAAAACGTATTCTATTTTGAACAAATTTTCCAAAAAATGACGTAAATGTATAGAATATCTACCTTTTTTATTAAAATACGAAAAAAAAAATTACCAATGCCGAGCAATATTTGCTAACTCAACTTCTGCATCTATTCATTTAGATAACAAGTACAATGTTCATTTTAAAGAAGCATAAGGTAAATGCTATTAAAATATAATAGCCATTAAAATGAGCATAATGGAAGCGTATACTTTAATAAATAATTGAATAAGTGCTAATGGGTGTCTGTATTTCATGCTATGCGCTGCACGGCCATTACAATTTATTCATCGCTGCACAGCGGTGATAAGCAGCAAATATTACCAGTTTACGTAAAATTTATGTTATTTATGTCCTGAAAATACTATGTAATGTTACATTTAAGCTTTATGAAGTCTAAATGGCTTTTACGAATTTCATATGCAAAATGCATATTCATCAGTTAAGCTCGTGATGACAAAGAACAGTTTATATGGCTGTTTAGTTATTATTGGACGAGTTTCGTTTTGTTTGCTTACATAGAAATGATTTTGTTTAAATAATACATACATTTAAGAAAAATAAAGTATATATTGTAATGACAGTTGATGCGTTGATTACTCCATATTTACTAAGGAAGCCACTAAAAATTACATTTTTATTTTATTATATGACCTACATTTTATTGAAGTATTAAATTAAAACTTACTCGTAACGTAAATCTCAAATATAATAAGTTGAAATTTAAGATAAATATTCCTGACGTGGATATAATACACGTGCATAACATCCTGAACCGTTAAAGCTCGAGACGCGTACTTGTGACCCACTGTACCGTACTCACGAGGACTGCCGGTGACGCGACGGTATCCTGCAGACTCTTTTATTTCATTAATGAAGCAGAGGCTCACTTTTGAATGGTTTTCATACGAGCTACATAAATGTAAAATTTTATTTTCATATATTGTAGCGCTCCGTCATTATGACACTCGCATGGCTGCCCTTATTCTGAGTGTATCATTAACTAGACTTAAAAAGATAAATGGTATTTCTATTATCTCTTACGAAATTGTTAGAAAAAAAATACACAATCGGGAAACAAAAATACAAATAAATCCGCGACAAAATCCGAAAAGATAGTTTTATTTAAAATGTCAAATATTCGCGTAAATCTAAGAAAGTATTATGTTAGAAAAAAGTTAATATTTTCTTTTATTTTTAAGTAGTTAAAGAGCGAAAATCGAAAGAATTTATTAAATCATATTTTATCAGTATATTATAGGTATACGTATATAAGATGCAATGGTACAAAATAATTTAAATGTTATATTAAACTTGTAAAAAAAGATTTACAATCATTCATTGCTACACAATCACCCATAAATAAAATTTAATCGTAATTGATGTTAGATAGGGTTTCCTTGACAGACTATATCCGCTTAATATGGAACTAAGCAGTCAGTACTTGGTATGAAAGAGTATTTTTGAATTATTCTTAGTACAATCTATGTGATATATAGCGACGATGTTATTTCCTAACGTTTTTAAACTTTAAATGTTTATTAAATATTATAATAAATGTGATAAATAAATAAATAAAATAAATAAAAATCTATATATTCAGACATATTTTAATTTTTAAATAGACAACTTCCGTTTGGATTCCTTTGGATTATTATACTAAGTAACAGTTGACTACTTAAATAAAAACAAAAATACCTACAACTATTTGTCTAATCTGCTTCCATATTGATATCAAAGATTATGTAGATATTTTTTGTGACCAAAATTATCTTGAGATTCACTTGAGACACCTTCCTTTCAGCTCTATAGTATCACTAATAGTTTCGGAGAAGAAATTATAAGGCCCGTTTTTGCTTTTTGGCTACAGAACCCTAAAACAAGTATTTAATGGAATAAAAATATTGCCAAACAGACACACGAATAATAATTGTGCATAAAGTATTTCATTTTGATAGAACAACAGCCTATGAAGGATTTTTAGAATTACACACTTGTTCACTAAATTAGACGATTATCTATTCTAATGTAATAGGAAAAAATTGTTTGTTTGTTTGTACCGAATAGGCTCCGAAACTATAAATATTCAGATGAAATTTGGTAAGAAAATAGTTTGAGACCCTGGTAAGGACATAGGATAGTTTTTATCCCAGAAATCATCTCTTAAGGAGGTAAAAATGAGGATGAAAATTTGTATGGGGAATCAACCTAGGGACGAACCCGAGCGAAGCGAGAAAGATGCTAGTTGAATAATAAAAATAAGAAGAAGATACAAAAGTTTCTTCAAATGAAACATCCAAACATAAGAACCACAAATGATATCAAAGACACCGTACATATTTTTTATTTTTCAGAGCCCTTTACTCCTTTTAATGAGTGTAGCAGGCGTTACTGGAATATCGATGCTTATTATAGTAATTAGTATGGGATTAACGTCTACTAGAATCGTCAGACGGAGAATATATAATGCCTTCTGGTACACCCATCAGTTGTACCTGCCTTTTATGGTGTTGCTGATGATTCATCCTTTGAGGTAAGAATAGAAAACGAATCAGAAACTAGCGTTATCTTAGTTATTTTCATATAAAGAAATGAAAGTATTTTTATATACCAGCGGAGTATTAAAAGAAGAAATCGTAGACGAAAACAGATACAGGACTGATATACCCACAATTAATGTAAGCGGATGGAATGTGACACATGATTTTCCAAAGTTTGCTGCGATACAATCAATGGTAAGTTTTTTTGATTTCAAATATCTTTTCTGTTTTTGAAGTGAAATTAGAATAGTTGTGATTGCAAACTCGATGAAACGAAAATGCGACACGAGAAAGAGATACAAACACATAAATATATAGGATTAAGCCGGCGAGAGAATGAGATAGAATACATTACACGCTATTATGACTAATTGTTGCCATGGTAACCGTTGTTAATGTCTGACAAATGATATACTATAATATTATATTCTTTCCGAACATGATAAATATATGATTATAATATGCCTAACATACCTTATTTAATTATTGTTTTGTTTTAATTTAATTGCGATATTTGCCAAAGAAGTTTAACTTCACCGCGCGTTGCACGCACCCATTTTTTTCAAGACTATTCATTCCTATTTGAATATACTATTTTGTTACAATAACGCTACTGTATATATGTATGTTTGTTACTCTTTCACGATAAAATAGCTTTAGATGGAATCTTATATATGGATAATAGTTAAGTTAATATACAATTTTGAGGAATAAAATGTGAATAATGAAAATAATACTATATTCTTTAACCTTTTGAATTTTTTAAACATTAGTTCTCTCCTTATAAAGGGAGATAACATAATATTTTTTTCTTTATTATTATAAAACCAATTAGTTGTTTATATTCATTTACTTTTCACTCAGTGTACAAATTGCCATTTGCATACTATTTTCAAACTTTATTATCTGGCTTCATTCTTTAGTTCTATGACACTGTTGATTATATTCCTTAGTCTTAGGCTGTTTAGTGACTGTTCTGTTAGGTACTTAGAGATGCGCTCAAGGGTAGCAAGAGTAAATTGCTAAATATAATACCGTCATAAGAAGGCCGCCACTTGGTCAAAGTTGATTTCGAGATATTTGAAGTTTTGTCTTACTTTAAATTAGTACTAGTTTTGACGTAGTTACGATGAAAATGGTTATGGTATCTCCGGATTCCTAAGACTTTAGAGCTTTATGAGTAAGACTATCGAGTAGCATTTTTTTGCTGATTCCGAATCTGCATTTAAGTCATTTTTGACCAAATTATTAGTTAGGGCCTTCTTTATTATGGCGGCAGTATTACATGTGACTAATTTCTAAATCAAGTTAAACGTAGACAGGCTCCATCAGAAAGCACTTAAGTGAGAATTAATTGAGTGCTACGTGAGCAATTGTTTTTGATGGACCACTTTGTGCTAACAGAGTGCTGACTCTAAGTGCTGGTTATATTTCATATTCACAAACAAAAGTTAAATTAACGATAGTCATTTAATATCTGTTTTGTTTTTTCTCATTTTCCTTTCCAGTCTTTAATGGTCTTGTTTATTTATTTCGATTACTTTTTTATTCATCATAAGCTTCTGTCGGTTATGTTTTATAATAATATTGACTAAGTGCTCTCTAACGTCTAATATCGCATTGCTGGGCAAACGGGTTTCCTTTCAATGCAAGGGGATCAGTCCACCATACTGGCCAACTGCGGGTTGACTGATTTCATATACGTACGTATGTATTCAGCCCTTTTTAACGTCCCACTGCTGGGCGCGGGCCTTCCTTTAATACGAGGGGGATCAGGCCATAGTCCACCACGTTGGCCAAGTGCCGGTTAGCAGGCTTCACATGTCATTAGAAATCTTGATAGGTTCTCTCAGACATGCAGGTTTCCTCACGATGTTTTCCTTCATCGTAAGGCAAGTGGTAATCATGTTAGAAATGATTCGCACATGAAAATATCAGAGGTGTAAGATCCGGGATTTGAACCCGCTTCACTCGGTTTCTCAAGCGAGCGCCTTACTACTGGGCTACCACTGCATTACATACGCATCTGTCAAAAACTAGTTTGATTCTCTCAAATATGCAGGTTTTTATGGTTTTATCCTTTACCATGATTTCTATCTTTATTTTAGAGCTTGTCTAGATACTCACACCATCGACTGTATAAATTCACTAAATTGTGTTCAAAAACATGGAACATTTAATTATATTCAATAGGCCTTTCATAGATCAAAGTTAGTATAGAATCTTTTATGTTAATCTTATTGGTGTATCGCTAACATTTCATTCAGCAACTGTGTCGAGTATTCATAAAAGAGTTTACGAACCATCGTCGGCGCGCCCGAATTTGTTAGCATGTGACCTTCGTTAAATGCTTTATATCAAGCTTTACATATCAATAATTCTTCATCATTCCATTTGTGATTTGATTCAATGATGAACAAATGAAATACATACTTATTATGTATTTTGTTTGTTTATTTAATTGATGGGTTTGAATGATTTTAGTATGTAACTAGGTAGTACCTACCTACGTGTTATTAATATTGTAGGAATTATTTTAAACTAAAATTTACTTATTAAATTTTACAAAAATTAATTTACTATAACTTTAGGAAAAACAGTAGATAACTATTTCTAGTAATAATCAGAGGTACATATATGTTCCATTGCTGTTTAAAACGAGGATAAACCGGATAATCTTACACGCGCTTTTTCATTAAAAAGGAATTATTTTACTACAATGCATCATTTTATAAATATTCAGTCTGTTGCTGCTCATCCGAAAAATATTTTTTCTAGTACAAATTTTGCGACAATATTTCTTCTCTTTAGCGAATTAAAAAAAATCTCTTCCTATACGAGTATATAGGATTATGTCCAGGACATATATGTCCAGATAGTGACTTATTTAATGTGTCGAGTAATCATTTACATTGTAATGGAAGTGACGTGTCCGAGGCGGTATTGTTAAAACTCTATCATGCGTGCTATTCAAGATACTCTACAATTCTTGTAGATCATCTTAATACTAACAATAAGATTAAATGTTATTGCCGTTTTGATTTTATATAATAAACATATTTTTTTTTATTATTTTTAGAATATTTTATAATTAAAAATCTTTTTACACTATATACGAAAGTTTGATCAAAACCGGCCCACTACTATTATTAGCAATTTGCTCATATCATATTTGTAACTATGGTATATCCATTTTTTTATCAAAGAGCTAGAAATATGTCAATAAAATAAAGTAATAGCATTATTTTGTTGTTTCATGCTGATTTCAGGGTGATTTAGCGATGTTTTAAATTAAGTATTTTGTTAATTTTTAGACGTGGCTGTGGATGACTTTACCTTTGAGCTGTTTTTTTATGGATTTATTATGGAGGATATTCACGAGGAACCTGGCGAAAGTTCGAATATTAAAAGTAAGTTTTATAATCTCTACTGAATATTTTTTTATTTCTTTTTTTAAACGCACTAATCTCTGTAACTACAAGACCGATTTGTAAAACTGTTTTTGCATTTTATAATTTTTTAATTTGTCAAGTTATGAAACGAAGCAAATATATTGTATGAATATATAATCTACGCGAGCGGAGCCACGTGTAAAATAAAGTCATAATAGCATTATAATATGTTAATATTAAAAATAATTTAACTCGATCTTTCAGATGGAAACTTTAGCCGTATATACAGTTGAAACTTTACAATATTTCAATTATACGGTAGAACGAAATGGAATCGAACGCCGCGCGATTAAGTCCACTAGCCGATTAAACTTTGCATAATTCTCTTATGTAGCGTCCGCAAAAATATCCTTTTTATCGTTTAATTGTGTAATAGTTTAGATTTGTTATATAAAATGTCGTAAATTAAATAAAAATTATATTTTTTATTCAGGTTTATTTTACATCTATATATGGTTCTAACAAAGTGAACGAGTTACATTATACGGATGAGGACAGCACTAACTTTTATTTTTTTAAATTCTTCATATAGTTGTAATATCCATACTTAATATTATAAATGTAAAAGTGTGTTTGTTAGTTTGTCCTTCTTTCACGTCGAAACGAAGTGCACTGGCGTAATTTTTTGTGTGGAGATAGACGGAGGGCTGGAGAGTGACATAGGCTATTTTTTAATCGCGGAAGATTATCTCATTCCCTTGTGAAAACACGTTATAATACAATTCAAAAAATATTTATGATCAGAATTACTTGAAACTTGGTGTTAATGCTCTTCAATACAATTAAATAAATACGTGTTTTAGCATTTTTCGAAATTCATCCTATAAGGGGGTAAAATAGTGGATGAAAGTTTTGTATGAAACCTGTCTTTTTAGTTCTTTTTGTAGTTTTAGCGCGAGCGAAGCCGCGGGTTCTGCTAGTACCTAGATATATAAATGTTATTTGTATTAAATATGTATCAAGAATTATGTAAAATGTAAATATCTCGACCGAAGACGAAAGAGTTTTCACATAAATAAATATAAATTATCACTGGCTTTAGTCACTGGGATGGTTTCGATGGATAGGTTTGAACTTTGAAGTAAATTCATGTGAATTAAGTTATTGTAGACTTACGTTGGTTTTCAATAACGAATCTGGTTTTTTTCTTATTAAAGATAGAAACTTGACGTAAACTTTATACAGAGTGTCAAATTATAATTATCGCTAGTTAGGGAACCCACATACCTATAGATAGGTTATTGGGAACAGCGATTACGCACGTACCTATTTATGTATTATTTTAATAACATTGGAACGGATTTAATATTGACCTATTTTAATAGAGGAAGCCTGTTATTTGCACGTTGTGAATAGATTTTCGTTATTCTTTATTTAATAAGTACCTAGTCCATGACTTGTAAATTTGAAAAAAAAAATACATCCCTAAAAATCATTTCGAAGTCGATGTTCTTCTCCATTCTCCGTAATATTAGCGAAATAATCTGTGCTCAACTAGCACGCTTTGAAGCCGTTATCAAGAGAATTGACTTGAAGTCGATGCCCCCTTTTTGGTTAAAAAGTAATTAAAATTAAAAAATAAAACATACACTTATAATCAAGCAATCTAATGTTTAAATATATAATTAAACTTCAGGTAAGTCACATGGCGGGTCGCACTATAAGCTTGACCCTGAGCACTCCGCACCGAGAGTTCGTGTGCCGCGCGGGCCAGTACGTGCTGGCGCAGTGCCCGAACGTCTCCGTGATGGAGTGGCATCCGTTCACTGTCGTTGAGGTAACATCTCTTCATCTCACTTAAAATTATTGTACTCACACGAGGACTACCGTTTCTAGTGGCTCACCAGTTGGCGCCACTGTGGAGTATGGTCTTATCGTTATGGTTGAAAAATAAGTTTAATATAATACTGATAATAATTGTTAGCACGAAAACGCTAAAATAAGATTTTATTTAAAAAAAATGATAATAAACAAATAAAATATTGATTATGCCTCAGTGTTGGCGCAGTCCCGTTTTGTTCCGTAAAATACATTATTGAGCCGTATCATATGTCTGCTAAATTAATCAGAAAAAGCACAATCTTTACAACAATTAATTATGAAAATTTACTGAAAATCCGAGATGAAAAGCTCGAAAAAAATAGACGTTCAGTGACATTTGACATTTGTAGAGACCTCACTCTTCTGTACCGCTTCTCACATAGTACTTTAAGAGATTTACGCGAAATTTTGCATTTTAAATAAAATTCTGTTTTCGGATTTTTTCGCGAAGAGTTGGAGAGCCTTTCCCGTGACCATGATTGCTGTAAAGTGTAAAGTATTTGAAACGTCGAAAACCAAAAATTAAATTAAATCCAAAAAAATATTTTTAATATTAATTTTAATATTTATTCTGTAAGGATTATACTATGTTTTGTAATGCACGTTGTCATAATTACATATACTTTGTTCATTTTGTTCCTACCATTCCTGTCGGTAAAGTTACCTACCGTCAAGTGTGTTAGGGAGTGAGCACTGCGTCAGAAATGGTGGTATAAAAGAATTAATTATAATACCACATCTTCAGCATTTTCTTCTTTACTTTATTTTTTAGTCTGAATTTTTCTATTACAAAAGATAACGGCACATTGGATATTATAGAACACGCGCTTGGGTCGTAAATTCGAAGTCGTGGAAATTGATCATTATCCAGTAATGAATGCAATTTGAATTTCAATGATGTAAATTCCAAACAAACAGAAACAGTATTTTGAGATCGAATTTGAATTCGGCAAGTACTTCAATTATTGATATTACAATGCAGTTTAGTTACGACATTTCACAACATGTTCAAGTCGACATGTTTGATTTGGTCCTATTGTGTGGAAAAGGTTAAGTAAACTTAGTCAGCATATTGACAGAGCATATTCAATTTTGGTCGAATTCTAACAGTTTCGTCAATCAAGAGATAGAAAATGATGTAATATTAAATTTTATAATATTAAATTAACAATTCTTGTATATACATAAATTTATTTCGTTGGTAGACTTTTATGTTGGTAGACTGTAAACTGACACGTGCTGCCAAACGTTTAAGATTTCCTCCAAGACCATCACATGGCCCTTTTCCATGAGCTGTGGCATGAAAGTGTAACTGTGCTTCTTTGTTAAAATCTTGTTTATAATAAAACAGATTGTCCCTTTTTAGCAAGTATTGACTATAGATATTGTATTTCTTAGTAATTCTTTTTGCTACGGGATGGCGTTCACAATCTTATCGTTTCGGATATGACTCCTTTATGTGAACTTGTTATTTTATAACAAATATTTGTATTGTTAATAATTTTTATATAAAAAAAGAAATTAATTTCGTCTATTTTTATATTTATGCATGTGAAAATGAAAGAATAAAATGGTAACAGCATAGTATTTTAGCATGTTAACTCATAAACATGACAGCTACGAAAATTCTTATAGCGATGTGTATTTTTCAATATGCTCTAAGTCCTAAACTATTGGCGATTTAATTCAAAGTTAAAATATTAAAAAAAAATTATGTTGAAGTTACTCAAACATTCATTTGAAATCTTCACTTCCGGTTTACTATACGTAAAAAGAAACAAATTTGTAATTCCATAAAAAAAATAAAATCTGTATCCTTTTAACTTTCAGAAACGATATTTTTTAGATATTTTTACATATTTATTGATACAAATAATAAGCATTCAAAAAGTACGGATTTCATACTTCGTAAATTTTTAAAAGCTCATAACTCAGCAATAAAGCATCATACGAAAGAAATAATGTATTTGCACATCCATGTCTACTAGAACTATAACTGACCAGAGTATGAACAATTTTCACAACCTCACTTTATTTTCGTTGCCTGCTTCACGTGAAATGCTCCTATATGTGTATGTGGTCTTACATTTCAGATTCCTAGTAAAAGCCAAAGAAGATTTACTATATGGATAAAAGTTAAAGGAGATTGGACCGAGACTTTAGAAAAAATGATAAAAGAAAGAGGCCCAAATAATCTTAGGTAACTTATATACTTTTTTTAAATTATTTAAAATTTATTTTAGTAAAATTTGTTAAAAAATGTGAGCTAAGTTTTGAATTGTATGAAATTTTAGTGTGCTTATCGACGGCCCATTTTCAAGTCCGATGGAAGGTATAAGTAGCAGTGAAATATCTATTTGTATTGCTGCGGGAGTTGGAATAACGCCTTTTGTTTCTGTGCTAAAGGATATGTTAATGTAAGTATATATCGTCTAACATGTTGGGGCTATAGATTCGGAGGTCTTATGAATACTCTCTATTTTTTTCTCTATAAGAGAAGGTTTTACAGGATGGAAATCCGATACTGTTAATGTCAATTCTAATTGATCTCAAAAGGTATATATTCTGTAGTTTACGAGTAGTTACGGAGAAGTTCCATCTGTCCCATATTTAACATATTTTTGTACATACAAAATTATATGTATTTGTATATCACTTATGTCGATTTAAGAGTTAAGAGGTATCTGCAGTCGTAAATTCTATAAAATGTATCAATTAAACAAGGCTTATTAATTAACATACGTTTTATATGATTTAGGAAACCAAGAAATAAACTACCTGGTAGAGTCCATTTAATATGGATAGTGAGACATGAGGGAGAACTTACTTGGATCGCAAATTTAGCCACTGACACTATAATTCAATTGCGAAACAATAACCGACTTGACCGACTACAAATAGAACTGTATGTAACTAATTCAAACAACAATATTGAAAATAGAGAAAACAATGAAAAATCACATTTAATAGTACTTAATGAGAGTGGAAATCTAATCCACGTAGTTAACAATGAAGAAAAACCTTTGAATACAAGCAAAAATGGTTATCTAAGTAAAGAAAAGAAAATGGAGAACATGAATAACCCTACAATTGATACAGATATACGAATGGAGAAGAATTATTCAAATAGTGATGAAAGAAAATGTCTGTTAACTCCCATTAATAAGAGAAGTGCTTGTGAAGAAAGTGTTAGTGATGTTAGAGGGTTGAATAATATGGAGAATATGAATAATGAATTTGAAATTGCGAAGAAGTATCCGTTGCTAGGGTGTAGGGTGAGGAGAGGAAGGCCGCATTGGGACAGAGTGTTTGGTTATTGGGCCCATTTATATCCTGGGTAAGTTGGCTTATTATGTACTAGTTGCTCACTCTCGCTTCGCTCGGGTTTTATTTATAATATTTATACAGACTAGTGAGTTAGCCTTGCTTCGCTTAGATGCATCCTTGTTTGTCGGGGCGTCGCGGTGAAGTGCGTAAGCGATCCTGCAATGCCCCATTAAGACAGGGGAGGTTCTGTTGGGTTTAGTGGGTAGTACTGGATTTTCTATGAGTGAGTCCCACATAACCATGTATCTGTACAGGTCTAAATGCATTTCCCAACATTAAAAAAAGAGATGCGTTCTTGGTTGCCTAGCGGTAGCTTGTGTTATTTAAGGTGGTAGCCTATTTGTATATTAAATTAGGAATGATATGAAGGCAATATTTAGCCTGTCGGTAATATTTACAGTATAATAATAATAATAATGTCATTCTGACCACGTCGGCCAATCTTACGGAGATTAGCCAAATGCGCGAGAGATATCATAGTGAGCTTCCACTGTGATAACGAACGATAGATGGTTTCATATGCTTATTTTCGGCTGTTATTGAGAATTTTATGACGGAAAATCCGGGGGTGATGTAGACACAATCACAAACATGTATACACCCGTATATACGCACACATTATTTTTTATACTTTTCTATTTTTATTAAGACCTTTTTTATGAACCTTTTTATAAATTATATTTTTGTGACAAATTTGTAAAAAAGAAAATAGTGATATTACGAGTATATAGCATACAATAATAAGTACGATCGTTATTTCTATTTTTAATAAAATGAATTAAAATAATGTAATATTGTTGCATCGACCATACTGGTGACGCCCATCGTGCTTCACCCGCGCCGCGGCTCACATGTCGCACCGCGAGCGTCCCGCGCCCCGCGCCCGAAACAGTGCACGCGCGCTGCTCTATAATATCTCCTGCGCAGATGGCTAGTCTCAATGAGATTGGCCGCCGTGGCCGGAACCACCGATATTACTTCAGGAAATATTACTAGAGAAATCTAGTCACTGCCGATATGTTATTAGCCTATTATGAAGCGATTTTAATGATTATTTTAAGAATTTAGCCCTTATTTTATTTTTCAGGCATCACATTAACTTATACTGCTGCGGACCAAAGAAATTAGTGAAGTTACTACGGAACAAGTGTAAATATTCGTCGAGGCACACTAAGACAAAGCTTACGTTTATCCACGAAGCTTTCTCCTGAATTGTATATTAAAAGATATTTAAAATATGCAAATTTAGTTTTATTTAAAAAAAAAAAACTAATCACATCAAATCTAATTTACATTTATAAAATGAGTTATGTATCGAAAAAAATAATAATAACATTATTTGATCAATAGAAAGAAAAATACCTAAGAATTATTAAAATAATTATGAATTTGAATACATTTTTTATTGCTGAACAATTCATTATAGAAGTTTATAGGTAACTTCAAGGGTAAACTCAAAGTTAAAACTTTGATTGGACAATTATGCCATTACATTTAATCTAACCTCGATATCATTTATTCGCAAAATGTCTTTCTTGAAGAAAATCAGTGAGCAAGTGCTTCATAGAGATTTGTTTGATTTTAATTTAAAATATCTCACTTTAGTCGGATTGTGGCCTGAAGATGTTTGTAATAAATATAAACTAATTTTTTACAAGATATACGAAATTTTCCTCCATATCTTATCGATCGCATTCATCATTGTGACCGGAATCGGTATATATGAGCATAAACATGACATAACTATTTTAATGACAAACTTAGATAAATGTTTAGCGGCATACAATTTTGTTTTCAAAATACTCTTTTTTATAATAAAAAGGAGACATCTTAAAATTCTTATTGATGAAATAAGAAATTCTGGAGATAAAGTTAGCGATGATAGAAAAAAGTTAATGGGTATATATATTATATTGGCCACTTTGGTGTCCACCACTTTGGTTGGTGCCTTCAGTTTTTTGAGTCAACTCAAAGGTGAGATGACTATTGAAGCGTGGATGCCGTTTGATCCATTTAAAAACAGAATGTCTTTGTTGCTGGCCGCTCAAATTTTAGCAGTTGGTTTTGCTGTACCTTGCTTGTATAGAGCGTGTGCTTTACATGGCGTGGTTTGTTGTATTATTATGTATTTTTGTGATCAGTTAATTGAGCTACAGGGTAGGTTAAAAAATTTGGGTTATTCTGAAGATAGAGACCGCGATGTGAGGGAGGAGTTCAAAGAAATACTAAAAAAGCATGTCCGCATAATGAGGTATTATTTATTTACTGAACATTTTAATATATACGATTTCTGAATAATAATTCGGAATATAATATTCTTTGCAGATATTCTAAGTCTTTTACAAATATTTTCAAGGAGTTCTTTTTGATACAAAATTTAGCAGTCACGATCGAGTTATGTTTAAATGCTATAATGGTTACAGTGGTACGTTATGTTTTAAATAAAAATATTTGATACTTTATATATTTCGATATTTTTCTTTGTGTTTTCGATTTAGATATATTCATTTTTAGGTACGTCTTGAAGAAAAAATGCTTTTGGCTAGTTTTATAGTGTACCTGGGGATGGCATTGATTAACGCTTACATTTTTTGTTACTTAGGAAATGAGTTAATCGATCAAGTAAGTTATTATAACCGCTTATCTAATTCATCTTCATAATTGTCATAATTGCAAATAATACAGCATCAAGCCAGTATTCAAATATATCACGTTTTAGAGCACAGGTATAGCTCAAGCGGCGTACGAGTCTGGTTGGACATCATGGCCGATAGATTTACAGAAAGATCTATTAATTTTGATTTTAGCAGCGCAAAAACCGCTTATTTTAAGCGCTGGTGGCATGACTATTATGTGTATCCAGACGTATAGCCAGGTAAAAGAATATACCTTTAGCTACCTATAAAGAAAACTTAAGTTAATAAAAATATAATAATGAATAAGATAAAGAGAAAATGTAGTGTAGTGTTACTATTTTATGGCAGAGAAGTTAGAGAGAAAAAATAATTAGATTATTCGGATTACTGGAGAAGTATTATAATTTTTTTAAATTAACTATAACGACTTAGCTGTATGCAATGTTTTAATTTTTTTAAAGTTATATTTTAATATATAATTTTAAATTACTTTATACATAAGTCATTCAATTTAATATCATAATCGTAATGTTTTTTCAGGCGCTCTACAACGCTTACTCTATTTTTGCTGTGCTCAATGATGTTGTTGATTAGAAAAATCTAACTTTTATATAATTCACGTAGTTTTTGTTACTAGAAACACAATATAATAAATGCGATAAACTAAATAAATTTATATTATTTTAATTTTGCAAATAAATGAAAATATGCAATAAGAATTTACTTTCCTGCTTTTTCTCATTATCGACTCATTAATTTTCTTTATAATACTAACTTTTCTACTAATTAAGAGTTTGTAATATTTTATATTATAATTGATAATATAATACATTGGCAAATTAGAAAAATACACCAAAGATGACAGACGTACACAGTAATACGTTTCTACGTTTTGGATGTTATGAGGATTATGAAGCTGTAAATTTTCATACAAAAAGCGATAACGTTTTTCCTCCCATAAACATAGTATAATTATCATAATTTTTGGATATGTTGTAAATATAATGAAAAACTAGGTCTGTAAGTTTTTATTTTAAAGAATTATTGCGTACGATAGAAGTTATTAGCATCTAAATATCTATATTATTGACTTAAAAACTTTTTAGAGCGGTTTTTTTTATTAAACTAAACTGAATTACTAAAAAAGAAAACGTACAGACCTAGATTAAGGTGTACTGAATCTAATGAGACCAAAATTGTCTCATTTCGTAAATGTTTAGGGGTGTGAAAACGTTATCGCCCGATTCAATATTTCAAAAAAGAAATATAGGTAAATGCATGTAAGAATTGCAACTCTCTCTATCGCACCATACGGGTTGGCAAAGCGAGCGGATTGAAACAGATAGCATTTTTTTTAAACCTACTCGCGCCTCTTATCGGCACTTCACAATCCTCTTATTTATGGAGGGTAGAGAGAAGTAAGGAGAACCTTCTCTATATATGACAAAGTATTCATCGGAAGGATTTAATTAGGAGTGGCGCTACAGCAACAATACAGTAGCAACAGGGTAAATTTTATATCACCACAGTTTTTAAGAGTGCGCCTCATGGCGCATATCGGTCTCATGACCGATACGATTCGGATTCGAAGGAGTGAGTATCGTGAGTGAGAAGTAGGTATAGAGCGATAGATGCTCAACGTATTTAAATGTCAAAACAGTCTTTAGTTCACTATAAATTAATTAAATAACTAATCGAAAAATCAAATTCGGTAACTGAAGAAATACTCCTAGGCTTTCTGACAAAACCAGAACCCTACAAAAATAGTAAGCTGTTTGTGAGATAAATAGCAATAATATGTATTTTTCAAAAAAAAAATCTGAGAATTTTCACTACAATTCAAGATAAACGTCCGAAGTATCATTTCCCTAAATATCACAGATTCTGTGATAAATAACGATATCTAGGTACAAAATTGCTATATGCACACTCTTAAAATTATATTTAATAACATTATTTTGGACTACGTAAATAGTTCCAATAACTACTCAAGTCACCCTGAATAATAAATTTTTCAACTCAGCATACTTCACTTTTTTACAACTGATAAATTCATATACATTTTTCCTACATTAGCATCATTCTGGTCGGTTGTCGGACAATTATTTGCAGTTTTCAGGTGGTCACTTTTTCAACTTATCCCCCATTTTAGATGGTTCTCCTTACCTCCTTCATAGTATTAATCAAAGAGGAGGTAGTTATAGGTTATATACTCTCATATACTTCTAGACAGCCAAAAGAAATAAAATGATTGTCTCTTCTTTACATGTCACACGCTATCGCTACATATTAAATTTTTTGTGAAATTATTTAATTCAATTTTCTTGTTAATGGCTTTAAAGCGTATTTTTGTGAAATAATATTAATTAATACTTCTTGAAAATGACATCAGGTATAGAATTTACTAAAATAAAATCTCCCAGAAAGAGAAAACCGAAGAATGAAAAAACCGAAGGAACAAAGGTTACTAAAGTAAGATTGAGAAACATTGTTTATTATATATAATAGTTTTCAGTATTATGAATTAAACTAATTTAATTTTTTTAATAAGCATATCATAACTTATTTTTTATTTATTTACTAGCGACTCATCCTCGCTTACGCTCGCTACCCTAGCTTTTCGATAAACGGGCTATCTAATGCAAAAAGAATTTCTCAAATCGGATTAGTAGTTTCTGAGATTAGCGCGTTCAAAGAAATATACGAACATACAAACTCTGCCTCTTTATAATATTAGTATAGATTTTACCTACAAAGCGACTGAGCTAGAAGTTATTCAAAAGCAACAAACCTGTTAATTTCAATCTGTTTATTTACCTAATTTTTGTATTTCTTAAAATTGAAAGACAGTGAAAGATCATCGAAACATTAAACATAGATAATATAACGAATGTATTTTTATATCTATTTTTTACCGACTTCCAAAAATCAGGAAAAACCATGAAATTTAAAGTATAATAACAGATCTAGTTAGACTTTTTTACCCACTTCTAATTATCATATCGACTTGAAACTTTACGAGTCTTTGTAATTATGATGATAGTATAGTAATTTGGTATCTTGAAACTGATCTGATAGTGAGGCCAGAAGATGGTTAGTGGAACGCTTCAACAACTACTAGGAAATTACGTTAGAATTAGATTTTACAGCCTGGCTTAACAGACTTCCAAAAAGAGGTATGTTTACCGATTCCTCGGAGGTGCTTGACCGATTTTGCTACTTTAAACTGTATTCTATTAAGGTAAGACCCGAAGTGGTCCCGTAAATAGTTTTTGGTACAGAGTTTACCGTTTTTGAGAAAAACAGAAAAAGCCAGGAAATTTAAAGTATATTAACAGATCTAATTAGTCTTTTTTATTAAACCTGAGACTCGAGCTTCCCACCAGATGTGTCCGCTGTTTTTATTGAATAACAAAATACTATTAAACATAATTGCTTTCAGAGTAAATCAAAACAGAAAAAGTTTTTGAACATGAAATGTCCAATATGTTTCAATAATTTGGATAAAGGTTCAGTGTCATCTACTATATGCGGTCACGTTTTTTGCACTGACTGTCTAATAAAAGCTATAATAATTAGACCTTCTTGTCCAAACTGCCGAAGAAGCTTACGAGGAAGCAAAGCTTATCACAAATTATTTTTAGATAATAATGTCCATGAATGGGATTAAAGAGACGACTGATTTTTTTAGTAAAAGTATTACATGTTGTAGGAATCTTGCGGAAAATTTGTGTTTGAAAAATCAAAATGATTCTGTTTTTGTTTTTTAAATTGTGTTTTTAAATTTGTTTTTTTTTATAAAATTATGTTTTTAATTTAATCTCCTATAAGTTTAATTTTGTGAAAACGTTAAGAAAAAAATACACGGATTACAAAATACAAGACAACAAAGACATTAGAAATATATAATATACTAGCATTGCCCGCGGCTCCGCCCGCGTTCACATAACCAAAACCCAAATTCTTAGGTTTTACATATTAGTATACTCTTACGATGCAGTTTTTGTATTTCTTCTCAGAAATGAGATATTTTCCCGCGGTAAAAAGTCCTATATGTTGACCCGGATAACCAGCTATCATCATACCAAATTTCATCAAAATCTGTCCAATGGTTTCTCGTGATGCGGAAATAGACAGACCGACAAAAAATCTAAAAACTATAAATTCGGACTCTGTATCGATAATAATGTCTATTTCAATAAGATTTTCCAAAAAATATTTGTTGTACAGATTCGGCTTAGTTACAATTTTATTATATGTATAGATAAATGCACGAAAATCGGTATTGCGAAAATCGGTAATGTGTCAAATATTTTACAGCTCTAAATTGATTCGTGTAGCTGTCAAACTCAAAGTCTACTGTCTAATGATTTTTTTAGACTTTGACATATATGTATTATTGTCTTTTTTCTACATGATTTGTAAATAAATAATTTATCGTAGAGATCCACCATTTTTTTTAACGATATCTAATTTGTATATATTTTAAGTATAATGAACTTAGCAATGGATATCAACCATTTGGGCCAGTCCAGTCAAAAACTATCATCTAAAACAAACGATGCTGATGTTACTCACCAAACATTTATGAAGAATTTGGCCAAATATCATTTTCAAGTAAAAGCTATAATTCAAGTAAGTTTTGAAATCTCAAATTAAATATAACAAATCTTTTTTTTAAAAGTGATAGTTACGTTAATTATTTATTTTAGGATATTTTAGATTGTCGACGGTCCATGGAGACTTTAAATGAGTTAAATGAAAAAGGTAGAGCCAAAATATCATTGTTAAGAGAAGAATTAGAAAACTTAGTTGCCTATGCCACTGATTCTGGGGATCAGAAGTATCTCCTAGAAGTGGTTTCACAGAGACATCTACTATCTGGGTAGGCACTAAATATACGTAATATTAAATTTGTAACTTGCATTTTAGTAATAATCTGATATTTAAATGTGATTATATTAGTTATTGTGTGAAAGAATTTTTTAAAAAAGATTAAGTGTTTTAGTTGACATTTTAACATATTGTTTCTTAATCCCCTAAACCTTGTAATTCAAAGTTATCATGTTGTTTAAAAAAAGGATGTCAAAATTGTATCCCCTTAAATTTGGTGTTTTATAATATTTAATGGTAACTGTATCCCATAATTATTTGCCAGTCCAGCCAAGCAATTATGGCTGTACATCCTGACACTCGGAGTACTTGTAACAGATGAGCCAAGATCTTTAAAATATCTAGAGTGCATACAATTGTTACAGTTATTATTATACATTAGTATTACACAGTAATTGTATTATATTATAAAATATATGTTAATTTTTCCAGGCTACTTAAAGAATTTAAAGAAGCAAATATAAGCAGCATGTTTGCTATTGAGAAAGCTCAAAGAGAAGATTTACTTAAATCTATAGATGGAGAAGAAAGTGTTCTAAAAAATAGAAAAAAGAAAGCTGATAGGGATGGCTTGTTAAAAATGTCAACTGGTTGGTAGTTCTTTTTATATAAACAATATTAATTCAATTACCTACTTATATGAAATTAATAGTTTTACTTAGTTTATGTTAATGCAAGTGTATTTTTATGTCAGTTGTCACTTTTAAAAGCCTTCAAAAAATAGAATCATATATTTTAAAATTGTATTATTTAAACACAAATCGACATAAAAAACAAATATTAATTAAATTAATAAGTTTTATTTATTTTGTTTTAAATTAAAATAATAAAACTTCTTACAGGGGTCACAGAACAACTGCTCTCTATTAGTAGGCAATTAGCTGCCACAACACAGAGAAGTCAAGATACTTTGGACAGTTTAGTTTCATCAAGCACAATAGTACATGTAAGTTTTGTTTTAACATCTTTGATAGCTGATATACATAATCTGTGTGATATAAAAAAGAATATGTTAATATTTTATTATTAATTCTGAGCAGAGAAAATAGACTTGTATGTTCTATAAATATATTTTTTTCTTAAGGACAGATTATGTTAAAATAATTAAAAGTCACTATGTACATGTCTATAATATTACTTCATGTTTATTGAAATAGTAATGAATAAATAATATTTTTAGGGTACACAAGCTGAACTGCAAAATACAGGGAGTACAATAACACAATCGAGCAAATTATTAAAGAAATATGGCCGACGGGAATTTACAGACAAAGTGATAATGTTCTTTGCATTCCTTTTCTTTTTAGCTGTTTGCTTGTATATTGTTGAAAAGAGGTTATTTTAATTGAGACTGATTACAATTGTATTTAAATTTATTTTTTTTAATTTATTTTTATCTGATCATTGCTAAGCAATAAATGACAACTGTACATTAGTTATGGATTTTATTTAATACTTTTTGACAATATATGATTACATTGGACACTGTTGCGAGTGCAATATTATATTTAAACTTATTATTATTTTTGTTTGTTTCATAATGACTCTCAAACTGAAATTATTAATAAAACTTTACTCCACACTGCACAGTAAAACGCATTATTGCCATTTTTAAATGATAAAAGTTATTTTTTATCCATTATTTTTTAAGTTATCTAATTTAATTCAATTCTTTGATTTCGTGGCTTCTAGGAATTCTTAATTAAAAAAAAAAACTATATAATTATTAGAAGTAACGTAACTCGTAAACAAGACACGTCATATTATTATATTTAAAAAAATAACAATAATAACATGGTTATGAGCAACTGCAATGGAACTTTGTTAAGTTTCAAATCGAGTGGGGTATCAAAATGAAGGGTTTCATAAATGGCGTATAAAAATATATACAAGTTATATGTTTAAAATTTAAATCTGTTTAGAACAAGAAATGCTAAAAAACAATGAATAAAAAATTATTTACTAAATAAAAAAAAAATCGATTGCGTAAAACGCGAACTAAAAAGATGAAAAAAAATTGACGAAGGAACATAGTAGGTAAATATTAAGCTGTCAGAGACATGCACACACGCAGCTATTATAAAACGTACTTATGTCTCCGGCCTCCGACTGCCTATTACAATGTTCCTTCATGTTCCTTCGTCAACTTGTTTTAATTTTTTGACTTTGCTTTTACACACTCGGGTTTTTTATTTAAGTTTTTTTTTTGTTAAGGCTCACCGAGGCAATTACGAAATAATTGCATTCGTTTGATCCCTTGCTGTATTGTTATTACTAAAACTTTAATTATGTAATTAATATGTTGGATATTTAAGGATTTATTCTATAAATCGTACACTTTAGAAACACTGTTACTTGTAGTTTCTTCGATAGAAAAGAAATCCTAAATGATTTCTAAAAAACAAAATAAACCCTTAGTGCGGCGTAAATAATTCAAGGAAGTTCATCAGTTTTTTAATAATAACAAAACTGTACGTTTTCTATATCGTATACACTTTACATTTTAAAAATGTGTATTTGTTTTAATAATACAAAGGAAATATCTAAATTCGCACGCGTTCCGTCCATTCTAGCCACACACCCCCCTGCCCGCTGTCGTCCCACTAAAATAAAAAGCTCCATGCCCCTCTTTAAGACATCGAACAAAAAGTAACAAAAGTTTAAAGTCATTTAATTAAGTGAGAAATATATAATTAATGCCTCGACGAACGAAGTGCGTCAAAATTCCTTATTATAGCATAGCCTTAAGGGTGAAAGTTTGATGTATATTTGGGACGAATATTACAATTTTTATTAAAATGGAGGAAAGCTTTGAAGAAGGACATTACAATTTACCAAAAATTAATATTTATATTCGCATGTCACGTAGGTACTTATAAAGTTTTAGATTATAGGTACATACTGTAGTTATCTACTTAATTATGAGTTTTGAGTTTAAACAGAACTCTACATTCATTAAGATATCTCGGGCAAAGGTTAATTTTGTATATTATTTATTTATTTTCCATAATAACAGGATAATAACTTTCCTTTGTGGAATATCATAGATATCATCATGACGTGGTTACTTGTATAATTATAGCAGCTTGCGTAATGTCAGACATCGGTAAAATAAGCAATGAATTGTGCGTTCAGTTTATAAAGTACGCTCGTCGAGACTGACCGTCCGTCATCGCAGAAATACGCGAGTTCATTGACCCCACAATGGCGCATGTTAAGCTCATCCTGTTAAGTTTTGCGATATCGCAAATTTATTTTGTTTGCGCGTTGAATGTACTCGCGATAGTCTCTCTACCTTTGAAAAGTCATTATATGTCCTTTCAAACACTTTTCCAAGAGTTATCTCTTAGAGGACATTCAGTTACTGTTATTAATAACTTTCCAGACAAAGATCCACCAAAGAATTTGAGCTTTATAAACATGAATGCCTCGCAACGACATAATTTCACAGCGCTGTCTGAATTCGAGAAGTATAACCCATTTTTCAGTGTATTTTTTAATTTCTACGCACACTTTACTAAGGGTCCGCAAAATACAAAAGAGGACTGTGAAAGTTTTTTTGCTAATGAGAATATTAAAGCGATTCGTGATAAAGGAGACAAGTTTGATGTGATTTTTGTCGAACAGTTTATAAGTGACTGTGGACTTGTGTATGCGGCTGTGTTTTATGATGCACCTATTATAGGCATTACTTCGCATACTCTATTACCATGGGCTTATACCAGGCTTGGAATACCATTTGATGTAGGGTCAGATGCGTTTTATTTTTCTAATGCAGGCACAAATCCTCCGTTACACAAGAAGTTTCAAAGCTTTCTCATGAACACTTACGCAAATACTATCGGTAGATGGCAGTTGAATTCTGTGATTTACCAAGTTTTCAATCAATACCTCCCTAACATAACTTTCGATATAGAAAGGATAGCAAAGGAAAGGATGGTAATGATGTTCTCTAACCAGCACCATTCGGTCACTGGGGCAAGGCTGCTTGCGCCCAGAGTTCTTGAAATAGGTGGAATGCACATTAAAAAATCGAATACTATACCTAAGGTAAGAGTTCATGCAATTATCAATATTTGCTTGTCTGCACTAATATTTTATAATATTACCTACCAGTGGCGAAGGGTCCATACAAGACGTCTTACCTAAAATGTGTTTTGCCATAATTTTACACACACATACATTAAATTTTTTAAATGTATAAACGTTCTTTTGGTAATATATATACTAGCATTGCCCGCGGCTCCGCCCGCGTTCAGATGACCAAAAAGCAAATACTTAGTTTTTACGTATTAGTATAGTCTTGCATTGCAGTTTTTGTATTTTTTCTAAGAAATGAGACATTTTCCCGCGGTAAAAAGTATTCTATATGTTGACCCGGATAACCAGCTATCACCATACCATCAAAATCCCTCCAGTGGTTTTTCTGTGATGTGGTAACAGACAGACAGACAGATAGACAGACATAATAATGTCTATTTCAATAAGATTTTCCAAAAAATATTTAATGTACAGATTCGGCTTATATAAAATTTTATTATATGTATAGGTATAATAATAACAGCTTTATTTTTACGTGTATAAAAATTGTATGTTTTTGGAACGGCTTACCTCTGCTAAAATTTCACCCTTCGCCACTGCTTTATAGTAATTAGTACCTGCTGTATTATAAACTGTAGGTAGTTGTTCAGATTCATGTACTTATTATCACTACTTTGCCGGTTGTAATTACTTACAAATAAACATTTAACTAAAGAGTTCAATATTCAATAAGAGTAATTTCACCTTTGGAAAATATTTTTTTCTTATTTAAAATTTAAATGGATTCCCGTCAATATATGTATACGGTCAATGTACATTGTACATACCTATATGTCAATGTACGTCTATTCTTTAAAAAAGAATAAGTAATTACATAAAATGTGTTCACAAGATATTGCTTTACGTACACACAATAAAAAAACCGACTTCAAAAAAAAGCTTAAAAAAATATTACTGATTGGTACTTCTTTTCATTTTTTTATAAATAGGTACCTAATCAGATATTTTTGAAATCGGTTGAAATTTGTATCGGCTGGCACCGACTTCGAAAACATTTGTTTTTATTTAAGTTTTTATTTTCCCCTTTTTAGTGTAGACATAGTAGTAGCAAAGTAAGAAGAAAGCATTTTTTTAATAAAATAATATTCGCTTAAATGGGACCAAAGTGGAAGTAAACACTTTCAAGCAAAACAAAAATTGTCAAATTGTTAATAAATGACGGAGTTCTGAGGTAACCAACATAATAAAAAATACAACCGAATTGAGAACCTCCTTCTTTTCGATTGAAAAATACAACCAAACTGAGAATAGAGGATTTAACTAAAGTGTGTATATTAAATCATTTTAAAAAATCTAAATAACTTTGTTAAATTAAATTCTCAAAACAAGTTTCGTTATCTACCACCTATTAAGATTTAATGTGACGATTGATTAATTATATTTTGATTTGATTGATTTAAAATTACTCCTCCCACTACGTACTACATCTTTTAAATTATAAATGATACTTACTTATTTTTACAATTAAAATTTTCTTTCCGTTATAACGGAATAAAACGAATATACCTACTTAATTATGTGAACAGAATAAGCGCAAGTGTTAGATATTCGTTTACAGACCTAACATTATAAAGTATTTAATGTAATAAATTATTAGATTATATACCTATTATTAAGACTGATAAAAAAATCGGTCAAGTGTGAGTCGGACTCTCACTAGAAGGGTTCCGTACTAAAATGGTTTTTTTTTATTTACTTGTCAGGCTTTTTGAAATTCGCCATATTGGTTTTTTATCAATATATTCGCATTTGTTAGTAAAATATACGTAATAATAAACATTATCACCAAATTTCAAGTTCATAGGTCAATGGGAAGTTAAAGATTTCTTCGGAACAAAATTTTGTAAAAAAAGCTGACTTTGGTAGCTTCTCATTCCTTTGTTTTCCAATATTTTTTAAAACAAAAAACAAACAGTATTTATAAAGAACGATACCTCACAAGATGGGGTAGGTCAATTTTTTTTCTCGCCCCCCTTTACCTATATGGGATCCCCGCTACTTAAATCATTAAAAAAATATGTTTTGACAATTTTTATGGCTTTGGGTTGACAAGATGCATAAACAGTGAAATTTAGACTGTCGCTCCAACCGTTTGGCTGTAAAACCTGTGTGCCAGACGACGGAAGACGTACACGTGAGTGACACCAATACGACTTCGTTTGGACCCTTCCGGTACGGAACCCTAAAAAAGGTCTAATGCTTTTGTGTTTAACAAGACTTAACATACTTTATATGCTTTAAGATAAAATGGTTTTTAAATAAAAAGTAACAGAAATTTTAGGGCCAGAGTTTTCTACCATCAAAGACGACGATAAAATTAAAATTAGGCCAGATATAAAATCATTAAACAAAGACTTCTTTGTGAAATTGTCATAGATAACAAATACCTTTTCATTTAAAATAATTATTTGAGGTAATTGTATGTATAACACAAATACTTACTATAGATGTAACATTAACTCTAGGTTTAATAATAAAATTTGGAAGAAATGTGTACTTATAGTAGGTATACTCATAATTAATTACTTAACTGTTGACATATCTAATCACTATTTGCTATAAATACCGAAGGAGATCAAACATCAGAGTTGTAAAGTGATATAAGACGTTATTTATTATATGATATATTTGATTTTTCAGAGTATACAAAAAATTTTATCCACTGCGGAACATGGCGTGGTGTATGTGAGTTTCGGATCTAATCTCAAAGCAAGTACGATGTCGAAACACAAATTTCAGCAATTTCTCGACGCTTTCAGAAAAAATCCCCAGAAAGTGCTGTGGAAATTAGAAAATGCGACACTTCCACCTGGACACGACCACGTATTTTTATATGAATGGTTTCCGCAATTGGATATTTTGTGTGAGTTTTCAGTTTTATATATTATAAGCTAATAAAATTATCAATAAAAAAATTAAATAGCTCTACTACGAAAAGTGATTGAGGATGAAAATAGTATTTAAAAAACTACTTAGGTAAGAGGTTGTCAACGTTTTAATTATTGAACCGGTTATTTTTTAAGATTATAATAAGGAAAAAACAACTTGCTTATTGTAAGTAGGTGTTCTGTAATTACTTAGAAAGTGAAATCACAGTGAATTTATTGTTAACTGACACCCTGGGGTGTCCGCGGTCGTGGTGGGAATATTGTGGTGGGACGAGTACTCGACACGACCAGTGAGAGTTAAGGCGCAGGACCGACGGCTTTACGTGCTCTCCGAGGCACGGGGGTGAAATACCGCCAACTTCCCAACTCCGGGCTGCTACTGACGCTTACTAAATAGAAATACTCAATAACTAAACTTGGCCCAACCCGGGACTCGAACCCAGGACCTCCGGATGTGCAGCCGTACATGCTAGCCACTACACCACCGAGACAGTTTATACATATATGCGTTTAACGTATAGATATACCTACTTAAGTATAAGTAGGTAGCCTTTTTGAAATTAATATAAAGTATATAAACCCCACACATATAGATGGACTTCTATAAATAAATATGGGATCGAAAGAAAAATATGTCTGGGAACCTTGTACGACCATCACCTGTCGTCGGCTGCCGCTGGAGCAAAAGCAAGGTTGAGGTTAAGAATTATCTAATAATGTTAGCGTCTCCGTCCGGCATATTCAATTTAAATAGATAGTACTAGGTTTCCTGCGATTTCGTCTGCATTTATATAAGCTATATTCTCATAATGAGATATAATTTATTTAGGTAGACACTATATAATAAATATATGCTTTGTTGATACTTTAGTATTTGGTCGACCGAGTCTCGCTCGGCGTTTTTTTTAGAAAAGATACACTTAAATAACAAAACCTTATCTAAATACAAAATTTAATTCAAATCGTTAGTCGTTTCGGAGATACACGAAAAAAATATATACAAGAATTGCTAATTTTATATTATATGATACAAAGTTATGATTATGTAGTGGTGTTCTTATTAGCACCTTAACTACATATAGCACTTAAGTCTTAACTATAAATAGAAAAACAAACTATTGAGTCCAAAGGACAAAAAATAATTTCGTTGGAAATCAATTTAGTTAATTTGTTTCTTTCCTTATCGTGTTTGTGGGGAAAAACAAGCCCATATTTATAATATTTTTTCCTGTAAAGATAAAAGCGCAACAATAAATTGGAGATGGAATGAAGAACTGATTACGGAGGAGGTTTTATTGATAACATTACCTAGTACCTAATATATACATATAATAAAAGTTAAATCTGTACATTAAATATTTTTTGGTAAATCTTATTGAAATAGACATTATTATCGGTACAGAGGCCGAATTTTTAGAATTTTTGTTTGTCTGTCTGTTACCGCATGACGGAATGAGAAATCTATACTAAACGCCAAAACGTAAGTAGGGACAAATCCGAGCGGAGCCAAGGTGAGACGCTAGTTTACTTGACATCAGTTAGGTAATCGTATGATAAAAACATAACATGCACTGTATTTAAATATTTTTTTCCAGGTCACCCCAAAGTCTTAGCGTTTATATCACATGGTGGTATGCTGAGTGTATCAGAAGCGGCTCATTGCGGAAAACCAATTCTAGCCATACCATTTTTTGGAGACCAGTTTTCTAATGCCGCTGCTGTAGTAGACAGTGGACTGGGTTTAACTATACATTTTAAGGATGTAACCGCGGAAAATTTAGCCGATGCTATTAAAAGTTTGACGAGCTCAAGGTAAGTTCTTATACAGGGTGTAGGTACTAATATTAACGCAAGAAGTCATTTAATTAAAAAATGTCATTGATAGTGCAACAACATTTTTCAATGACAGTAAATGTATATGTACAGTTGATTGTGCAAAAAAATACTACTTTTAGTTTTTTATACAGAAGCACTCAGTACTCCACACTGAACAGAATCTCTATTTTCATGTAGTAGCGTTGCTAAAGATTATTTTTGATTTATTCATACATTCATTTTGCTTAATTGCACTGCAAATTTTCCCTATATGATTCTCTTTGGCACACTTTTATTAAACTTCGAACTCGACTATAGCTTACTTCTAATATTACCTATTAATTGACGAGTCGATTTCCAACTCCGTGATGACGTTTGCGCTCATTTTAATCGTTTTAATAAGTACAGTTTCTATATATTACATCTACGTAAACACTTTTTTTCCTTTACAGAATGCAAAACAATGCCAAACGAGTTTCGACGCTATGGCATGATAGACCGATGAATGTAATGGACAGCGCCATCTATTGGACTGAATATGTAGCGAGGCACAAAGATGTAGCATCTTTACCTACTACGAACAAATATTGGTTCGAAAGCTCACTACTAGATGTCTATAGTGTGCTTTTAGCATTATTAATCGTATTGTATTTAATTGTATATTTTATTTTAAAAATAGTTTATTTAGTAATGGTAATGTTGTTGGGTGTACTTGTAACCAAAGAGATTAAGGATAAGAAAAAACGTGCGTGATAATATACTTTTTTTTGTTAGAGTTGTTTTATTTATTACTAGCGATTAACCCTCGCTTCGCTCGGGTTTGTCCCTACTTGCTTCCCCGTACCAACTTTCATCATTTTCACTCTCTTAAGGGATGATTTCAGGGATAAAAACTATCCTATGTCCTTACCAGGGTTTCAAACTATCTTCTTACCACATTTCATCTAAATCGGTCTTCAGTACTTCGGAGCTTATTCGGCAGAAGCAAACAAACAAATAAAAAATCTTTCCCCTTATAATATTAGTATAGATAATAATTTAAAGCATACCTCCAGGTATAAATACTTTAAATAAGTTAATGCAATTTTAATAATTCATATGAATTACCTACATAAGTATTGCAAACCTGTAATATTATTTTGAATATCTCTACCAATATCAAAATATTTGGCAGTAATATTTATTTATTAGGTTATATATTTAGATTTTAATACATCGAAGTATTGTTTTAAATTGAATTAAAGACACTTCAACAGTTTTGTATTGGTACTTTTTTATGTCATATTGTAGAATAAAGAGAAAGGAAGATTCGTCAAGTACTATATCAAATTAGCAAAAAGTAAAAAGGTCAGTTTTAACGTTTTTCCTCCTGTTTTTTTGTTAACCGTTTTTTTTGTTTTTGTTTAGTAGATATTGACGAATTTAGTGTTATCAATAAAAAAATGATTATGGACGAATTTCGAGCACTGGGCGAAGTCTTTAGAAATAGATGAGTTCTATTTTATTACAAATACATATGTATAAGGTACTGAACAATATATAGTGTACAAAGTATATGTATACACGTCACGTTATTATCATACGCTAACTTCGTCACTCATGACGCGAAGGCCGCCTGATTGCCGACCCTGGACCCTGGACACCGACCTCACTATCAGTTATGCGAAATGATATTAGTACTTATTTTCTGTAAATAAACTTATTTACTGGAATTATTATTTAACCTCATATAATTCATACATTCTTATATTAAGGACATAATTCTAATAAAGTTTTCAATTAAAACAAAGAAGTAGGTTTAAAATGTCTTCGACTTAAGGATTCATATGGCAAAGCTATCATAAACTCCAAGGTCTGCATATCATGGTTAATAGTAGTATCTTTTGTAAACAATACCGGGTGACAAGACTTCGTACTTACTCATTTGTGAAATCTTCTAATCGATGGATGAATGAACGTCCTATTTACTGAATCTGGCAACGGCGGATAATCACTCAGATAGTTATGTGCGTAAGAGATATTATAGTGCAAATTATCTCAATTTCTTTTATTCTCGGAAGACTTTCCGAATTTCCGGTGGGACAGTAATTATTTAACACAATTGGTGAGAGGCGTCGACATCGAGGAGACATCGACGGTTGTACATCCTTCTCGAGACATGGGGCATGGTTCACCACCAACTTCCTAAGTCCGAGATGTTACTGAGGTTTTCCCAAGTAACTATAATAGGCCTAAGCCAGGATTCGAATATTCTGTATTCAGGATCTGTAGTTAAAATTAGAATTAATAACACGCAGTATATTAAAACAGACAAGTTTATTTTCAGATAAACGCTTTCATAGTAGTATCGTTAAGTACGTGCTGGTCTTCAAGTCTTAAGTAAGTTTCGGTTCGAGCTTTGTTCTGGTAACTTTGACTACAAATGCACTGGTTTTGACAGACTTACTACTTCTTAGCTTACTTCTAGCGTAGCAAAAGCTTTAATTTTATTCTTAAATATAATTGAAGAATAAGTGCTTCGAAACTTTAATTATATTTTGTTACTTCTTAACGCTGGCACTGACACTTATTATAAACACTTATAGACAAAGATCTGTTATAATCTTTTTCTACATACATAATTTTTTAATTCAGAATTACTTTAAAAAATGACCCTACTAACAGCTAAAAATGAAATCTAGCAAATTGATGCAAATGAAATTTTAGTTCAACGCTATCGCAGCTGGCGCTTAGAGCGATCGCTATAATATCATAGGGATGAAAAAGTTCCTGCAAACATTTTTTAATTCCGTAACCGTGGGCACTAGTGCTTATAACGGAGCCCGGCGTGACGCTGCAACACGCAGCCAGTCCTGCCGGAGCTCGCCCTTAACCAACGACTACTCAGTTCCGGCTGAGTAGTTGTTGCCCTCAACAGATTACCACCACCATCTGGTGGTGATCAAACAACAAAAACCAACAACAACCAACACAAACAACAACAACAAACTTCAACTACGTAGCATTTATTATTTATTTGGTGTTCTTTGAGATAACTGTAGTCTTATACGTAAATATCGTAACAACTTTGTATAAAGTACAAATGGTCTCAAAAGTTTCGTTCTTTAAGTTTATCAATGGAAACTTGAATAGTTTAGGAAAAAACTCTCTCGGTGGTGTAGTGGCTAGCATGTACGGCTGTACACCTGGGGGTCCTGGGTTCGAATCCCGGGTTGGGCCAAATTTAGTTATTGAGTTTTTCTGTATAGTAAGCCTCAGTAACAGCCCGGAGTTAGGAAGTTGGCGGTGTTTCACCCGGGGGTACTTCGGAGAGCACGTAAAGCCGTCAGTCCTACGCCTTAACTCTCACCGGTCATGTCTTGTGTCGTCCCACCGGAGTATGAGAGTGACAAGAATAGAGGGTGCACTTGTGTCTGCGCGTACACTTGTGCACTATAATATCTCCTGCGCAGTTGGCTCATCTCAATGAGATTGGCCGCCGTAGCCGGAATCGGTCAGAAGAACATCATCATTCATAATCATCAGTTTAGGAAAGCATAAAAGACAAACGTCTAAAAAATTATTTTTCTAACAACCTTCACATGCGTATACAGTAAATGAGTTCACCACAATGGGATGAAGAGGAAAACATACGAACATACATTTTTATTTATATAGATAGATGATGTGCGTTGACCATTAAATATGACCGGATTTGCAAAAAACTTGATTGGCGGCTCACAGATTTACTCGATCTATTAAAATTAAATATAAGTATTATTTATTATTCAAACTATTAACAGGATGATTACTTATAATCATCCTGTAATCTGTAATCATCTTAGCCATTTCTGATCCATGCGAAACTACCCAGATATATTTAACTTACGTCACCGTATACTATGTATGGAGTTAGCTTTTATTAGATACACATGTGTATATCCTATTGTCCTTTAAGCTCTGTATTAAATCTTAAATTCAAATCGTTTTTAAATGTTTTTTTTCTTTTCTTAGTAACCGCCAACATTATTTTTCTATAATAGCATAGAAATGGTTAATATAACTCTAATCTTAATTTTCCCATGTAAAGAGTTGCTGGTAAAAGTTCCATTGAAATCGGATTAGCCATTACGAAGGTTAACAAAAGCGAACAGACAGAGAAGACAATTTAAGGGACTGCTGATCACATTATTCCCAAGATGTACCATTTTCCTTAAAAAAAACGTATAATAACTAACATTTAGCATACAAACATATTTTTTTTTAAACTGTCTTTAAACTAGCAGAAATATATCATATGCTTACTTATAAGTCGTCGTTATAATTAAGTTTGTTATTAATAAAAGTATTTTCGTAGAATTATCACAAATGGTCAAAGATTTTGATATGAGATCAAGGATTGTGGTAATTCAAATAACGTATTTTGTTTGCGCAAGTATAATTAATGAGGATAATGTAAGCGATAATTTGATGATTAATAGGGATATTAGTCATGGGCAGGGATTTTTTATGATTTTATATTAATGAATGAATTAATAATAATAATATAAATTAAGAAATAATAATTGAATGATAAAAAAACTAATTTGATAAAATATTTAACGAATTTATCTCTTAAGATTTAATTAAACAAATTTTATTTTATTTCAAACATATCAGAGATAGAGCTATATTTTAGATCTATCTTGATACCTTTTATTTAATTTTATACTTACTATGTGAAAGTTTATGATATACTTATCTAATATATAAATATCTCGTGTCACGGTGTTTGTGGTCGCACTCCTCCAAAACGGCTCGACCGATTTTAATGTTTTTTTTTTGTATATTTGGTAGGTATGAGGTCGTAAAGTATTTTTCACCCCGCTACCCCCCACCCTTCATTTTTTTTGCACTTTTAGTATTTTTGTATGAACCATATTATATAAATACATAGAGTCGAACCCGAGCGAAGCGAGGGCGAGTTGCTGTATAACATAGAGCCAAAGAGTTTTTTTTGTACATTGAATGCGGGCGTAGCCGTGTGTTCTGCTAGTTCTTATAATAAATATAAATATTAATAATATAATCATGACGCAAAACTAATAATGATTGTAAAAAGGTTATATTTTTTGGCAACAGACTGAATTAAAGATACTAACATGAACGGATTTGAAGTTATTATATTATAAATAGCTTCTATAGTTTGCAGTATTCAGCCCTTTTTGACGTCCCACTGGTGGGCACGGGCCTCCCAATACGAGGGGGATCAGGCCATTGTCCACCACGCTGGCCAAGTGCGGGTTGGCGGACTTCACATGTCTTTCGAAAACTTGCTAGGTTCTCTCAGACATGCAGATTTCCTCACGATGTTTTCCTTCACCGTAAGGCAAGTGGTAATCATGTTAGAAAGTTTGCATATTGATAATGAAATGCATTTAGAAACTCTCTAGCTGGAAGAAATGACGTAAAGTCGGGAGCGATGAGTCATGCGGCATGCGGCCTTAGCGCGGCATTGACTCGCATTAACAATAATACGTATGTATTTGTCGCAGGCGCAGGGTCGTCAGGCGATAGAGCGAATTCGGAGATTATAGCTGAGGCCGTTAAGATGATTGATGCAAAAATTCGTTTGGCAATGGATTATAATTGGTTTTTCCGCTAGATTTATAACGGTAACGAGTGTTTTGACTGAATTAGAGTGATTGATCGCGCTTCGAAGAGATAAGTGTGTGCCTGTGTGGTGAAATGTTTACGTTAGGACTTGAGCATAATTGGTAAATTAATTTTAA